CTAAGATCATGGCCACTGGTCCCATCACTTCCTGGCAAATAGAAGGGGAAGAAATGGAGGCAGTGAGAGATTTTACTTTCTTGGGCTCCATGATCACTGCAGATGGTGACAGCAGCCACGAAATTAAAAGACGCCTGCTTCTTGGGAGAAAAGCAATGACAAACCTAGACAGCATCTTAAAAAGCAGAGACATCACCATGCCAACAAAGGTCTGTATAGTTAAAGCTATGGTTTTCCCAGTAGTGATGTATGGAAGTGAGAGCTGGACCATAAAGAAGGCTGATTGCCGAAGAATTGATGCTTTTGAATTCTGGTGCTGGAGGAGACTCTTGAGAGTCCCATGGACTGCAAGAAGATCAAACCTCTCCATTCTGAAGGAAATCAGCCCTGAGTGCTCACTGGAAGGACAGAATCATAGAATAGAATCATAGAATCATAGAATCATAGAGTTGGAAGAGACCACAAGGGCCATCGAGTCCAACCCCCTGCCAAGCAGGAAACACCATCAGAGCACTCCTGACATATGGTTGTCAAGCCTCTGCTTAAAGACCTCCAAAGAAGGAGACTCCACCACACTCCTTGGCAGCAAATTCCACTGTCGAACAGCTCTTACTGTCAGGAAGTTCTTCCTAATGTTTAGGTGGAATCTTCTTTCTTGTAGTTTGGATCCATTGCTCCGTGTCCGCTTCTCTGGAGCAGCAGAAAACAACCTTTCTCCCTCCTCTATGTGACATCCTTTTATATATTTGAACATGGCTATCATATCACCCCTTAACCTCCTCTTCTCCAGGCTAAACATGCCCAGCTCTCTTAGCCATTCCTCATAAGGCATCGTTTCCAGGCCTTTGACCATTTTGGTTGCCCTCCTCTGGACACGTTCCAGTTTGTCAATGTCCTTCTTGAACTGTGGTGCCCAGAACTGGACACAGTACTCCAGGTGAGGTCTGACCAGAGCAGAATACAGTGGCACTATTACTTCCCTTGATCTAGATGCTATACTCCTGTTGATGCAGCCCAGAATTGCATTGGCTTTTTTAGCTGCCGCGTCACACTGTTGGCTCATGTCAAGTTTGTGGTCAACCAAGACTCCTAGATCCTTTTCACATGTACTGCTCTCAAGCCAGGTGTCCCCCATCTTGTATTTGTGCCTCTCATTTTTTTGCCCAAGTGCAATACTTTACATTTCTCCCTGTTAAAATTCATCTTGTTTGTTTTGGCCCAGTTCTCTAATCTGTCAAGGTCGTTTTGAAGTGTGATCCTGTCCTCTGGGGTGTTAGCCACCCTCCCAATTTGGTGTCATCTGCAAATTTGATCAGGATGCCCTTGAGTCCATCATCCAAGTCGTTGATAAAGATGTTGAATAAGACCGGGCCCAAGACAGAACCCTGTGGCACCCCACTAGTCACTCTTCTCCAGGATGAAGAAGAACCATTGATGAGCACCCTTTGGGTTCGGTCAGTCAGCCAGTTACAAATCCACTGAGTGGCAGCATAGTCAAGACCGCATTTTACCAGCTTCTTTACAAGAATATCATGAGGCACCTTGTCAAATGCCTTGCTGAAATCAAGGTAGGCTACATCCACTGCGTTCCCTTCATCTACCAGGCTTGTAATTCTGTCAAAAAACGAGATCAGGTTAGTCTGACATGACTTATTTTTCAGAAATCCATGCTGACTATTGTATTTGTAGACAGACAGATCCTGAAGCTGAGGCTCCAAGACTTTGGCCACCTCAGGAGAAGAGAAGACTCCCTGGAAAAGACCCTGATGCTGCGAAAGATGGAGGGCACAAGGAGAAGGGGACGACAGAGGACGAGATGGTGGGACAGTGTTCTCAAAGCTACGAACATGAGTTTGACCAGTGGAAGACAGGAGTGCCTGGCGTGCTCTGGTCCAGGAGGTCACAAAGAGTCGGACACGACTAAACGACTAAACAAGAACAACAACAAAGAGCCCATATAGAGTCCTTTTGTAGGTTCTCTATCAGTAGGAGAAAAGAAGAGAGGCCAACCGGAGAATATTGAGAAGCAAAGCAGCTAGTAAGCCTGATCTTTATTGAACTGTTGCAACAGGGTGACCCCTTCACACGCAGGAGGAGGAGGAGGACCCAGAACCCAGGTGTGCCCGCCCTTATATAGACATTTTAAATTGCCCGCCCTGGAGTCCAAGACCACCCCCAGAAACATCATACATACATCACAGAAAGGGGTGGTCTACAACAGAAATCTGAGCGCGTTGTTTTTTCTCTCTTGTCTGCTAGGTTGCTCAATTGGATTAACTGGGCATCCTGGCCACTCTTTTGTTACTCAGTTTCTGAATCCAGGTCGCAGGCTCACACCACATTCATATCTTAAATGTGCCCTTAGGACAGGACTTGTGAAAGAGACAATGGGGAGATTTCCCATTTCCTTCGACCTTGCAGAGAAATATTTGAGGTCATTTTGGGAGAGAGAAAACGGTTTCGGGACTTTTCTGTGGGTTTCAGACATGTGGTTTGCATATTTGTATGTGTTTGCTTGGTACATTTATGAACATCTATTATATATAAAGGGATGAGAGTGCCGCTGTGGATTAAACCACAGAGCCTAGGACTTGCCAATCAGAAGGTTGGCGGTTCGAATCCCCGCAACGGGGTGAGCTCCCGTTGCTCGGTCCCTGCTCCTGCCAACCTAGCAGTTCGAAAGCACGTCAAAGTGCAAGTAGATAAATAGGTCCCGCTACGGTGGGAAGGTAAACGGCGTTTCCATGCGCTGCTCTGGTTCGCCAGAAGCGGCTTAGTCATGCTGGCCACATGACCCAGAAGCTGTAAGCCAGTTCCCTCGGCCAATAAAGCAAGATGAGCGCCGTAACCCCAGAGTCAGCCACAACTGGACCTAATGGTCAGGGGTCCCTTTACCTTTACCTATTATATGTTGTTGTTGTTTAGTCGTTTAGTCGTGTCCAACTCTTCATGACCCCATGGACCAGAGCACACCAGGCACTCCTGTCTTCCACTGCCTCCCACAGTTTGGTAAGACTCATGTTTGTAGCTTCAAAAACACTGTCCAACCATCCCGTCCTCTGTCGTCCCCTTCTCCTTGTGCCCTCCATCTTTCCCAACATCAGGGTCTTTTCCAGGGAGTCTTCTCTTCTCATGAGGTGGCCAAAGTCTTGGAGCCTCAGCTTCAGGATCTGTCCTTCCAGTGAGCACTCAGAGCTGATTTCCTTCAGAATGGAGAGGTTTGATCTTCTTGCAGTCCATGGGACTCTCAAGAGTCTCCTCCAGCACCACAATTCAAAAGAATCAATTCTTCGGCGATCAGCCTTCTTTATGTTCCAGCTCTCACTTCCATAACATCACTAGCCTATTATATATAAGACCTTAAAATTCTTATAACAAGTCTCTCCCCATCCCTCTCTCTACCCGCTTTGGACAGTAATGTGGGGTCTCAGGAAAAGCCACAGAGGCCTGTTCTTGTGCAAGGTAATTCTGAAGAGAGGAATGCTACCCCCGCGAGTTAGCAGATAACCTCAGCCACACTTTTGAGGCTGCAGGGCTGCAAAATAAGGCAGATGGACTCTGTCAGTACTAAGCCGTCCCCCCTCCAATGCGCATTTTGCAGCAGTTGCATTCTGCGGAGGGTTCCAGACAAAGTAACAGTGCGCCAAGGTGGATTGATTCTGCTTTATTGGTGACTCTGCGATGCTTCCCCGAAGCTGCACCACATGCTTGCTAAAGCACAAAATCTGCAGAACGAAACATTACAGGGTTTCAGCAGGAGGTTACAGAATGTGCCCCAGCTGGGGTGAAGCGGTGTGTCCGCCCCAGAACTTTTTCAGTTATGAAACAGTGCTGAAAGCAGGACTTATGTGTGACAGCCCCAGCAACATGCCGAACACAGATGATCGTAAATGTTCAATACAAAAGACACCTGGATATATTCCTGCACGTAGATACATCAGTCCTAAGCGTGTGATTTCTTAACAATGACCACCACCACCCCTCGATTCACAGTTAATATCTGAAATTCCCAGAGCTTCGGCTGGTAAGAGAAGCTGCAACTGTTGTTACCCTAATCACCTCCTCCTAAACATGAACCCAAACCAAGAATCCTGCGATTATTATTATTATTAAAAAAGCAAAAACGGCTTCTTGATACAAAGAATAATAATAGGAAAGAAAATGTACCATGAGGCTACTTCAAAAGAATAAAGGATAAAAGAGGCAGATCCTGGGAAAAGATTTAAAATGTTTGGATGTCCTACCTAGGCAGATGTTTGTTACTACAAACACTGGCCTTTAGGGAAGGAAGTTCTCATAACCTACTTTTCGCTGCCCGCAACCCAGACACACCCTGATATTTGTGAAGTGAAGCTCCCTCCGATATCCGGAACACAAGCCATGTGGTTTGTAAATGCAGCCTTGGTCCCAGAAAACCTGCCATGAGGCCCCTAGCAGGAAAGACCCACAGGGTCTTGCTCTGCCCTGGAATGGCTGATTTAGCGAGGCCAAAGCCTTCTCTCGCACATCACATCTGCACCATAATCTCCCATAATCTGGGCAGCAGTCTCTCCGCACTCTGAAGCCCAGCAAGCAAACGGAAACAAGACTTTTGGGCTTCAAAGTTTGCCGTCGGAACTTCATTCAGGGGAAGAGAACGCCGACGTCCCGCTCTCTTCAAACCCTCAAGGAGGCCGGCGGATCCTCAGGCCGAAAAAGGGCAGAACGGAAAGCCCCTGGGCAAGACGGGATATTTTTAACAAGCACAAAGTTCCACCTTCAGGCTACAAGTCCCGAGCATGCAGGGATGTCGCCCGCCATGCTGGGTCCCGGCAGGAGCGCTGCATCATGGGATACGTAGTCCAGGAAGCACGCCACACCGGTGATTAAATAAGGAGCCAAAGGTCAAAGAGTTGTTGGGACGCTGGGCCAGGAGGCTGGGCGAGAGGGCGCAGCCCTTGAACCCACGGCCGAGACAGATCTGCTCCCGTCTCCTCACCCCGCCCCAGGACGGGAGGGCGCTAGCGGATGCCGCAGTCCCCTTCCCCGCCCCGCAGCTTCTCCAGCTCGATGGAGCGCACCAGCTCTTGCACGAACTTCATCTCGGACGCCAGCTGCTTGGCCAGGGCCTCGTAGCGGTTCTCCAGCTTCCGGTAGCGCCGTTTCAGCCCGTTGGCCGCCAGCGAGGCGCTCCGGGCTTCCTCCTGCGCCTGGCGCTTGAGGGCCTCTGTCTTCTGCATCTCCTGTCGGATCTGCCGCAGGTCCTGGCCCACAGCCTCGTTCTCCTCCTTGTACCACAGCTCCTTCTCCTCGTAGATGGAGCGCAGGGCTTCGATGTCCTCGCGGAAGGACTTCTTGCTCCGCTGAAGCTCGCGAAGGCCCTCCTCGGCCGCCGCCACCTCCTCCATGACCTTGGAGAAGCGCTCAAAGTTGACGTAGGTGTTGTTGGGCGGCATGCTGGAATGGGACTTGATGGTGTACTCCTTCAGGCGGGTCGTCTTGAGGCGGCGGCGCTCCGGCTTCTTGCTGTTGTCCTCGTTGCGGACGTTCCGGCGCTTGATCACCTGCAAAGGGTCAGCGGGGAGACGCTCAGAAAAGAGGCTCGGGCAGTTGCTTCTCTTTCCCACCCGCCACCCCCATTCCAGGGGGTCAGTCTAGAGCAGGGGTCCCCAAACTATGGCTCACGGGCCGGATAAGGCCCAAGGGACTCGTTTATTTGGCCCGCGGCGACCCCCGCCGCCCGCTCTTACCAGCGCTGTGCAGCTGCCCACTTTCGGGTTGGAGGAGCACCGGAAATACCGTATTTTTCGCTCTATAAGACGCACATTTTTCCCCTCCAAAAAATAAGGGGAAATGTGTGTATGTCTTACGGAGCGAATGCAGGCTCCTTGGCTTCAGCAATAGCAACGCGAAGCCTCCGAAGCGCAGCGGGAGCGCTCCTGCTGCGCTCCGGAGGCTTCGGGTTGCCTTCACTGAAGCCTGGAGAGCGATAGGGGTCGGTGCGCACCTCCAGGATTCAAAGATAGCCGCCTGAAGCCTCCGGAACGCAGCCGGAGCTCCCGCTGCGCTCCGGAGGCTTCGGGTTCCTTTCGCTGAAGGGTAGGTGCCCTTCAGCTAAGGCGCAGCGCCCCTTCAGCTAAGCGGGAGGAGAAATGGAAGGGGTTCCGTTTCTCCTGCCGCTTCACTGAAGGGGCGCTGCGCAGAGAGGGGGAGATTTTTTTTCTCGTTCTCCCCCTCTAAAACAAGGTGTGTCCTATGGTCGGATGCGTCCTATAGAGCGAAAAATACGGTAAATTGTGCGCATGCACAAGCGTTATTTGCGCATGCGCAAGCCTTAGTTCCTGTGCACCTCTGGGTCAGAGGAGGCCCGTGCACACGCGCACAAGCTATTTCCGGTGCTCCTCCGACCTGGAAGTGCGCCGGAAATAGCGTGTGTGCACACATATGGGCACGCGCTCCTCCGGCGTGGAGACACCGGCCCAAGGCACAGTAAGTTTGCTGACCCCTGGTCTAGGGGACCCACAGAGTCTCTCCCCACTCGGCAACACTACCCATCCTTTTCATCTGAGACCAAAAGTTTCTTTCTTTTAAATCTTTACACATCTATTTACTTGGGGTTTGGGCTGGGGGTTCATCAGTATGCGGACGATACCCAGCACTACCTCTGTCTTAAATCGGAACCAGTGAAGGCAGTGAATGTCTTGTGTGAGTGTCTGGAGGCGGTTGGAGGATGGATGGCGGCTAATGGATTGAGGTTGAATCCTGATGAGACAGAAGGACTGTTTTAGGGGGACAGGGGGTGGGCAGGTGTGGAGGACTCCCTGGTCCTGAATGGGGTAGCTGTGCCCCTGAAGGACCAGGTGCGCAGCCTGGGAGTCATTTTGGACTCACAGCTGTCCATGGAGGCACAGGTTAATTCTGTGTCCAGGGCAGCTGTATACCAGCTCCATCTGGTACGCAGGATGAGACCCTCCCTGCCCGTGGACTGTCTCGCCAGAGTGGTTATCTCCCTGGTTATCTCTTGCTTGGACTACTGCCATGCGCTCTATGTGGGGCTACCTTTGAAGGTGACCAAGAAACTACAACTAATCCAGAATGCGGCAGCTAGACTGGGGACTGGGAGTGGCCGCTGAGACCATATAACACCAGTCCTGAAAGACCTACATTGGCTCCAAAGACGTTTCTGAGCACAATTCAAAGTGTTGGTGCTGACCTTGAAAGCCCTAAACGGCCTCGGCCCAGTATACCTGAAGGAGCGTCTCCACCCCCATCGTTCTGCCCAGACGCTGAGGTCCAGCGCCGAGGGCCTTCTGGCGGTTCCCTCCCTGCGAGAAGTGAGGTTACAGGGAACCAAGCAGAGGGCCTTATCGTATCGTATCGTAACCTAACAAAAGGGGAGGGGAGGGGAAGCATCGCGGACCCCTCCAGGACCTCTCCTCCAGCCACCTTGCAGCCCCCACTTCAAAACAAAAGACAAAGTGAGTGAGGAGGATTCTAGAATCCATTTTGAACCTGCAGGTCACAGTCAGGGTGAGCTTGTCAAGAGGAATGTGCCCTTCTTCTGCCACCACCGCCAACCCGTGTGCTCCAGCCCCTTTCACCATCCTTCCCCAGCAGCGCCATCTAGCAGTGAAGGCTGCTTACTGGGCGATTTTGTTTCCCAAGGAGGCAGGGAGCTGAATCACCGTCTCCTGAACTTGCCGGCTCCCATCTTCTCCCCAAACTGCCCTCCTCAACATCCCCTTCTTCCTCTGCTTAGTGGCTTAGATCGTAAGGCTTCGCTACCGATCTTACAAATCTGGAAGCCCACCTGGTTCAAGAGCGGGTGGAAAATATAGCCTAGGAAACGCAAGCCAGCATTCTGAAACATCTCGGTTTTTACCTTAATCCATGGATGCTCCAGGCTCTGGTCAATTGTCATCCGCTTCCTGAAACAGAACAAGGAGCAGGGGTCAGTTAATAATAATAATAATAATAATAATAATAAATTTTATTTATACTCGGCCCTCCCCGGCCAGAGGCGGGCTCAGGGCGGCAAACAGTAAAATTACAGTAAAAACATAAGGGGGAGGGGATACCATTTTAAATACAGGTTAAAATCCAGTTCTGAATTCACTCCACAAATATCTCAACAATAAAGCGTCATTGTTTGACTTCCAACGCTTCCATCGAGTGAATTTGGAGGGAATTCTTCCAATTTTTCTTCTTTTTGCAATTTTTCTTTTTCCTTTCTTCCTTTTCTCATTTTTTTATATGTGTGCGCTTATCTGAAAAAATATGTATGTATGTATTTGTATGCTTGTCTTTTGTAATAATTATGTTCAATAAAATTTAATATTTATATTAAAAAAATAAAATAAAATAAAATGCAGTTCTGTTGGGGAAATCATTAGCGCTGTGGAGTTGGGCCTGCGGGTCACCTGGCTTTTGCAACTACCGTATTTTTTGCACCATAACACTCACTTTTTTCCTCCTAGAAAGTAAGGGGAAATGTCTGTGCGTGTTATGGAGGGAATGCCTACGGGTGGCATGCCTACGGATTTTCCTCCTCTAAAAACTACGTGCGTGTTATGGTCGGGTGCGTGTTATAGAGCGAAAAATACGGTAAGCAGTTCGGTTATTCTAACCCCCTTGCAATGCGGGAATCATAGCGGAAGAATCCCTGGCAGATGGCCACGCAACTTCTGCTTCAAAGGAGAGCCCAGCACCTTCCACGGAAGTCCGTTCCACTCTCGGACAGCTCTTGCCATAAGAAAAGTTCTTCCTACTGTTTAGTCAGAATCTCATCCTTTCCACGGAGGCGCACGTTACAGCAACAGCCAAGGCGACATTTTTCCACCTTTGCCGCATCAAGCAGTTGGTCCCTTACCTTTCCCGCCCTGACCTGGCCACAGTGATCCATGCGACGGTCACCTCCAGGCTTGACTACTGTAATTTGCTCTATGTGGGGCTGCCCTTGAAGCTGTCCCAGAAACTCCAGCGGGTGCAGAATGCTGCAGCGAGGCTCCTCACGGGGTCTCTGCCATGGGAGCATATTCACCCAGTGCTTTTCCAGCTGCACTGGCTCCCGGTGGAGTACAGGGTCAGGTTCAAGGTGCTGGTTTTGATTTTTAAAGCCCTTCACGGCCTAGGACCCTCGTACCTACGGGATCGCCTCTCCTGGTATGCCCCACAGAGGATCTTAAGGTCCATATATAGCAACACCCTAGAGGTTCTGGGCCCTAAGGAAGTTAGATTAGCCTCAACCAGAGGCAGGGCCTTTTCAACACTGGCCCCGGCCTGGTGGAACGCTCTGCCTCATGAGACCAGGGCCCTGTGGGATCTGATTTCTTTCCGCAGGGCCTGTAAGACAGAGTTGTTCTGCCTGGCCTTTGGCTTAGAATCAATTTAATCCCCCCCCCCCTCTTTTTTCCTTTCGCCTCCTGTGATGAGGCTGCATTTTAACATTTTAATGTTGTATTTTAATCTTGTTTTTTAAGTTGTATTTCAATCAACTTGTTTTTATTATTGGTTGTTAGCCGCCCTGAGCCCGGTCTTGGCTGGGGAGGGCGGGGTATAAATAAATTTTATTATATTATTTGTATCTTTCGTCACTTGAATCCGTCGATTTGGGTCCTACCAAGCTTGGAGGCCAGCTTGCTCCACCTTCTCTGTGACAGCCCCCCAGATATGGGTGATGATTAAGCATCTCCCTCTCAAATGGACAACACGCCAGGGACACGACGCGCCGGGATTCTGTCCAATACAAGCCCTGTGGAAACTCACCTTGCTCATTTCCTCTTGGTGTTCGAATGGAGCGTGTTGTACATTCAAGAGAGTGATGCTTAATAATTTTATAAGAAAATACTGCTCCCTTTCCCTTATGGGGTATTCCAGAGCCCATATACAGTGGTACCTCAGGTTACATACGCTTCAGGTTACAGACTCCGCTAACCCAGAAATAGTACCTCGGGTTAAGAACTTTGCTTCAGGATGAGAACAGAAATCGTGAGGCGGCAGCAGGAGGCCCCATTAGCTAAAGTGGTGCTTCAGGTTAAGAACAGTTTCAGGATAAGAACGAACCTCCGGAACGAATTAAGTACTTAGCCCGAGGTACCACTGTAGAGTCCTTAAGTGGGTTCCCCATCGGCAGGAGAAAATGACAGAGGCCAACCAGAGTATACTGAGAAGCAAAGCGGCTAGTAAGCCTGATCTTTATTCAAGGAACTATTGCAACAGGGTCCCCACCCACCACATGCAGGAGGAAGGCTGAACTCCGAACAATGGTGCGCAAGCCCCTATATAGACTTTTGAAATTGGCCACCCTGTAGCCCAAGACCACCCCCAAAAACATCATACACACATCACAGAAGGAGGAGGTCTACAGCAGAAATCCTGCCTGCCAGGATACCTGATAATGGTCACTGATTACATTGCCTGGGCAGCCTGGCCATTCTTTTGTGATGGTTAATACTTTAGTTCCTGAGTCCAGATCACAGGCTCAACTTTTTCATACACAAATATACCCTTAAGACAGGATTTATAAGCAAAAGACAATGGGGAGGCTTTTCCCATTTTCCTCCCTTACCGCAGAGGAATATTTGAGGTCACTAGGAGAGTCAAAGTGGCTTCAGGATTGCTCTCCCGTACTATTTCAGACACATGGTTTATATATTTAGATATGTGTGCATTTATGAATATTTATTCTATATTGTATGGTTACCAGACGCCCCCGTTTCCCGGGGACAGTCCCCGGATTTACAAATCTGTCCCCAGACAAAATCCGTCCCCGGATTTCATTTAATGTCCCCGGATTTATATTTTAAGTGTTGTAGACTCATTAGTAGAGAATGAATGTTGCGTGATTGGTTCAACGGCACAAGACACATCATACGGGGACTTCCGGCGAGGCAAAATGGCGGGCGCCACGGCAGCGAGCAGCTCTTGAAGCCAGCCAGAGCCAACTGCGCTACCAGGCTGGCTCCGGGCTGCTGAGACTGCCGCCGCCGCTGGGGAACTGGGAACACCCAGCCCGTCAACTGGGGGAACCACTGACACACGCGCCCACGACCCAAATCGAGCCGGGAGCGAGGGTGCCTTGCCACTCGGCCGACTGCCCAGTGGCGCTCTGGGACCAGGAAAACCCCAGAGCCGACGCAGGGAGAAGGAGGAGAGGAGAAGGAGAAGGAAGAGAGAGAAAGAAGAAGGAGAAAAAAGAGGGAGCCCCAACCTTGCCGCGCTGCTGCGGAGAGGTAGGAGAGCACCAGGAGGGCAAGGTCATGTGGCCGAGCCCAGGCCCAACCCAAGCCTACTCCATGGCAGCTAGCGCTCCAAGAGACCAAGCCAGGGCCCAGAGGAAGGCCACGCGACAGAGGAGAACATAGAAGAGAAGATATTACTTCTTTTTTTAAAAAAACAACACTTTTTATAAATAACTTTTTTTTCTTTTTTCCAAAAAAAAAAGGTGTCCCCAGATTCTTTGAAAAAAATCTGGAAAACTTACTATATTGGAGATCTTAAAATTCTTATAACAGGTGCTTCTAGCGGGTCACACAAGAAGCGACTTCCTTTGCAATGATTCATAGAATCTTCGAGTCGGAAGGGGGTCACCAAAGTCATCAATGTGGGGCGCGAACTCACGATTCTGTGACATTATAGAGCATGGATGGGAACCTCCTGAGACAACTTTGATCTGCCAGGTTGCCCAGTTTGGCCCATGAAGCTATTTCTCCAAAACCGCATTCACTTCTCAATCCGCTGCAGAGGCTGCGCTGGAGAAGCAGACTGCTGCAGGGAACAGGATTGGGGTCCCTCTGCTGATGGGTTTAAAAGTCAGTCCCACTAGAAAGTCCTGCTTTCTCAGCACGTTCCCACTGGCAAAGCAGCCCTCCCCCAAGGACGTGTCAGCTTTGTCCGCCCACCTGTCAGTCACCTTTAACAGGGAGAAATGTAAAGTATTGCACTTGGGCAAAAAAAATGAGAGGCACAAATACAAGATGGGTGACACCTGGCTTGAGAGTAGTACATGTGAAAAGGATCTAGGAGTCTTGGTTGACCACAAACTTGACATGAGCCAACAGTGTGACGCGGCAGCTAAAAAAGCCAATGCAATTCTGGGCTGCATCAATAGGAGTATAGCATCTAGATCAAGGGAAGTAATAGTGCCACTGTATTCTGCTCTGGTCAGACCTCACCTGGAGTACTGTGTCCAGTTCTGGGCACCGCAGTTCAAGAAGGACACTGACAAACTGGAACGTGTCCAGAGGAGGGCAACCAAAATGGTCAAAGGCCTGGAAACGATGCCTTATGAGGAACGGCTAAGGCAGCTGGGCATGTTTAGCCTGGAGAAGAGGAGGTTAAGGGGTGATATGATAGCCATGTTCAAATATAGAAAAGGATGTCACATAGAGGAGGGAGAAAGGTTGTTTTCTGCTGCTCCAGAGAAGCGGACACGGAGCAATGGATCCAAACTACACGAAAGAAGATTCCACCTAAACATTAGGAAGAACTTCCTGACAGTAAGAGCTGTTCGACAGTGGAATTTGCTGCCAAGGAGTGTGGTGGAGTCTCCTTCTTTGGAGGTCTTTAAGCAGAGGCTTGACAACCATATGTCAGGAGTGCTCTGATGGTGTTTCCTGCTTGGCAGGGGGTTGGACTCGATGGCCCTTGTGGTCTCTTCCAACTCTAGGATTCTATGATTCTTTGACGTCAGGTGACTGGCAGGCGGTGGCTCTGGCCACCTGTCAAAGTTGACCAGCCGGGTAGGGGAAGAGGCGAACGCGAGGCTGCGAAAGTCCACTATCCCTGTTCTATGCTTTTAGAAGCCGCACGAGGCGCCAACGCATGAGCAAGAACAAGCTAAACAGGTTCTGCGCACAGGTGTCTCACGCTGCCTAATTTATTCTACTTTTTCCGAGGCTTCTGGAGAGGCAAGGAGGGACGTCGGAGGCCTTGAACAAATGTAAGTCAACAGGAAAATATATGTTTGCCTTGGGAAAACACCCTTTTCTCTCATAGTTGTCGTTTAGGAACATCTGGCCTGGCAAAGAGATCTGTGCAGCCTGGCAAAGAGATCTACACTGGCTCCCAGTACGTTTCCGAGCACAATTCAAAGTGTTGGTGCTGACCTTGAAAGCCCTAAACGGCCTCGGCCCAGTATACCTGAAGGAGCATCTCCACCTCCATCGTTCTGCCCCGACACTGAGGTCCAGCTCTGAGGGCCTTCTGGCGGTTCCCTTGCTGTGAGAAACCAAGTTACAGGGAACCAGGCAGAGGGCCTTCTCGGTGGTGGCACCCGCCCTGTGCAACGCCCTCCCACCAGATCTCAAATAGAAAAATAACTACCAAACTTTTAGAAGACATCTAAAGGCAGCCCTGTTTAGGGAAGCTTTTAATGTTTAATAGGTTCTTGTATTTTAGTGTTTTGTTGGAAGCCGCGCAGCGTGGCTGGGGGGACCCAGAAAGATGGGCGGGGTATAAATAATAAATTATTATTATTATGCCAAAGCTTGCGCCGAGCGCATTAGCGTCGCACTGAGAGAGACCGAGCTATGAATCACGAGGTTCCGCATTCAAATCTCACCGCTGCCATGAACTTTGAGGGGGTTGAGGGTAGGCTACATGCAGCGATGGCCAAATGTGGCCCTCCAGCTGTTTGGGGACTACAACCCCCATCATCCCTAGCTAACAGGTCAGGGATGATGGGAACTGTAGTCCCAAAACAGACACCCATAACCCATCACCCGCGTTTCGTACTTCGGATCCTTGACGAGCAGCCGCCGAATGAAGTCCTTCGCCAGTTCGCTGGTGTTGCTAAAGTACTCCTCGTCGAAGTCATAATTGACAGCAGAAATGTTGGTCAAAGTTTCCTGCTTCGTTTCGCCCAGGAACGGAGAGGCGCCGCTTAAGCTGCGAGGGTGAAAGGATAAAAAAGGAAGAAGAAACGGCTTTATTTAGGCGTTTTGTAACTACTAACCAAACAATTTAAATCAGGCATGTCCAAAGCCTGTTTCAGGGGCCTAATCCAGTCCATTTAATCCAATCCCCATGGCAGTATATGTCCTGGGGTAAAATCCTTAAAAAATCTCAGCAAAACTTCAATCCTAAAAAAAAAACCAACTCAACAACTTTGGGGTAAAATTGTAAAAAGAGGATGAGAGACGCTCCTTCTTTTTTTAAAAAAAAAAATAATATTTATTAAAGTTTCAAAAGAAGAAAAATCACATTAATAAAAAAATTAACAATAAAAAGGAAAAAGGAAAAAAAAAAACAGTTAAAAACAATTCCATCTTTTCATTACTTCTTTTACATTTACTTGTTTCCCGGACCTCCTCATACCTCCCTCTTTTGTATTCCAATTCAATTTGTTAATCCAACAATTCCTTTCCCTTCTTTTTAATCCTAATCTTTAATCTTGATATATTATAACTTTAAATTTTTACATATTAACAACCAATTTTTCCATATTCTTTTATACCTGTACAGCTAGAAACCACTCCTTCAGGTATACTGAGACGCCCCTTCAGGTATACTGGGCCGAGGCCGTTTAGGGCCCCCTGCAATGCAGGAATCTTTTGCCTCACGTGGGTCTCGAACCCAAAACCCTGAGGTTAAGAGCCCCGCGCTCTACCGACGGAGCTATGCTTGTTCTCTGAGCAAAGGGCTCAACTTTGCGCAAGGTGTTTTGTTTTGAAATACTCACAGGATATAGGTGATGACGCCGATGCTCCTAGAACGAAGGAAGGGAAAGGAAAAGGAGAAGATCAACGTACTAGCATCGAAATGTCCCAAAAGACACAGAAACATGGGGTGGGAGATCTGCAATCCCCCCCAAAAAAATGCTGCAGGACTCAGCCCTAGACAATATTAGGGATGACGGGCATTGAAGCCCAACAACGCCTGGTGTTCCCCAGTTGACTCAACAGCCGCGCTGACACACGGCTGAGGACAAGGAGTCAGAAATTAGCAATAAAGACAGAATCTGGCAGCAGGAAAGGTCAGCACCTGAAAGCATCTTTGGGTCCCAGCAGGGAGAAGCAAGAGAAGTGAGATTGGGGCAAAGGGGAAGTTTTTGATTTGAGTTTCTACTGAAATGCGGCTGCATTTTAATGTTGTATTTTAATCTTGTTTTAAAGTTGTATTTTAATCAGCCCAGTCTTGGCTGTGGAGGGCAGAGTATAAATAAATTTTTTTATTATTATTATTATTACTATTATTATTATTATTACAACTACAGTGGTACCTCGGGTTAAGTACTTAATTCGTTCTGGAGGTCAATTCTTAACCTGAAACTGTTCTTAACCTGAAGCACCACTTTAGCTAATGGGGCCTCCTGCTGCTGCTGCTGCACGATTTCTGTTCTCATCCTGAAGCAAAGTTCTGAACCCGAGGTACTATTTATGGGTTAGCGGAGTCTGTAACCTGAAGTGTATGTAACCTGAAGCATATGTAACCCGAGGTACCACTGTATTATTATTATTACCCAGCCCATCTGGCCGGGTTTCCCCAGCCACTCTGAGCAGCTCCCAACAGAATATTAAAAACACCATCAAACATTAAAAACTTTTCTAAACAGGGCTGCCTTCAGATGTCTTCTAAAAGTCAGATAGTTGCTTATTTCCTTGACATCTGATGGGAGAGCATTCCACAGGGCAGGCGCCACCACCGAGAAGGCCCTCTGCCTGGTTCCCTGTAACCTCGCTTCTCGCAGTGAGGGAACCACCAGAAGGCCCTTGGCGCTGGACCTCAGTGTCCGGGCTGAATGATGGGCGTGGAGACGCTCCTTCAGGTTTCCTGGGCCGAGGCCGTTTAGGGCTTTAAAGGCCAGCACCAACACAACACAAACAAACAAACAAATAAGCCATGACAGATTAGAGAAGAGGAGACCTAGGAAAGGAACTTGGGCTGCCTCAGCAAAGGACCACGAGGAGGGGAGAGAGGAAGATTTCAGAAGGTTTAGGGTCGTCTAGCGAGGGAGAGGGGTTAAAAAGCAGGAAGGAGAGGAACTGGGTAAGGGACAGTGTAGATAAAGCGAAAACAGAGCTGTTGACTCCCGTGATGAAAGGGGGAGAAAACACACAGAGCATTTTCCCCACCAGAGGTGCTCCAAAAGCTAGAGAGCATCTGAGATCAGAGGCAGGAATCGGGCTCTGCCCAGGAGCTTTCCTGAAGTTCTCTTCCCAGGCCCAGGGTGCTACAGACCTTGGGAAGCGGTTCATAAACAAATAAAAATCCATGGAAACTGTGGAGTTGGAAGGCCCCCAAGGTTCATTTAATCTGCAGATGAATAATTCCTGACAGATGGCCACCCAGCCTCCGTTGAAAAACCTCCAGCGAAGGAGATTCCCACAGAAAGGTAAAGGTAAAGGGACCCCTGACCATTAGGTCCAGTCGTGGCCGACTCTGGGGTTGCGGCGCTCATCTCGCTTTATTGGCCGAGGGAGCCGGCGTACAGCTTCCGGGTCATGTGGCCAGCAGGACTAAGCCGCTTCTGGCAAACCAGGGCAGCGCACGGAAACGCCGTTTACCTTCCCGCCGGAGTGGTACCTACTTATCTACTTGCACTTTGACATGCTTTTGAACTGCTAGGTTGGCAGGAGCAGGGTCTGAGCAACAGGAGCTCACCCCATCGCTGGGATTCGAACCGCCAATCTTCTGACCGGTAAGCCAAAGGCTCTGTGGTTTAACCCAGAGCGCCACCCGCGTCCCGTCACAGCGAAGCTACTGTGCATTAAATAATAATAATAATAATAATAATAATAAACATTAAATTCCACATGAAATCTAAGCCAAGCTTATTTTACTCACCACATATCAGCCTCCAGGCCCAAAGGTTCGTAGTTGACTATTTCTGGAGCTTTGGAGAGAGGGATGAGAAAAAAATAAGCATTTCTGGGACAGAGAACCATAACCAACCAGGATCTGTGCACCTGCCTCTCAAATACTTTGTGGCTCCGGATACATGGAGATAGGTAAAGGTTAAGGTAAAGGACTCCTGGATGGTTCAGTCCAGTCCAAGGCGACTCTGGGGTTGTGACGCTCATCTCGCTTTCAGGCTGAGGGAGCCGGCGTTTGTCCGCAGACAGCTTTCCAGGTCATGTGGCCAGCAGGACTAAACCGCTTCTGGCGCAACGGGACACCGTGACGGAAACCAGAGCGCATGGAAATGCCGTTTACCTTCCCACCAGAGTGGTACCTACTTATCTACTTGCGCTGGCATGCTTTCGAACTGCTAGGTTGGCAGGAGCAGGGACCGAGCAACGGCAGCTCACTCCGTCGCGGGGATTCGAACGGCCGACTTTCTGATCAGCAAGCCCAAGAGGCTCGGTGGTTTAGACCATCCCCTCCTTTCCAGGCTGAGGGTGTCTCCTGCTTGCTCGCCCCTCAACCATCAACCACCCCATTCCGTTGCACTCCCCCAACATCCTGGTCTAACACACATACCTACAAACTCGGGAGTGCCAAAGATGTTTTTGAACTCGTTCCCTGCTTCAATCTTGTGGGCAATGCCAAAGTCGATCAGCTTGATGCGAGGGCTTGGGACGTTCTTATCAAGGAGCATGATGTTTTCAGGCTGGGAGGGGGAAACGTTGAGAGAACGCATGAGTACAGTGTCCCTGCCCCCAGAGGATCAGGGTAATGTTGTTTTTATTATTCACAAGCTGCTCATCTGACCGAGTTTGCCCCCTGCCACTCTGGGCAGCTTCCAACAGAATATTAAAAAACGAAACATCAAATAATAATCATCATAATAATTTATTATTTGTACCCCGCCCATCTGGCTGGGTTTCCCCAGCCACTCTGGGCGGCTTCCAACAAAGACCAAAAATACACTAAAATGTCACACATTAAAAACTTCCCTGATGTCTTCTGAATGTCAGGTTTATCTCCTTGAAATCTGATGGGAGGGCGCTCCACAGGGCGGGTGCCACTACCAAGAAGGCCCTCTGCCTGGTTCCCTGTAGCTTTGCTTCTCACAGTGAGGGAACCGCCAGAAGGCCCTCAGAGCTAGACGATGGGGGTGGAGACGCTCCTTAAGGTATACTGGGATGAGGCCATTTAGGGCTTTAAAGGTCAGCACCAACACTTTGAATTGTGCTCGGAAACGTTCTGGGAGTCAATGAAGATCTTTCAGGACCGGTGTTATGTGGTCTCAGCGGCCAGTCCCAGTCCCCCAGTCTAGCTGCCGCATTCTGGATTAATTGCAGTTTCCAGGTCACCTTCAAAGGTAGCCCCACATAGAGCACATTGCAGTAGTTCAAGCGGGAGATAACTAGAGCATGCACCACTCTGGCAAGACAGTCCAAGGTAGGGTTTCAGCCTACGTACCAGGTGGAGCTGGTACGAAATGTTAAGAACAACCCAATATAGGACTGCCTTCAGATTTCTTCTAAAGGTTGTACAGTGGTACCTCGAGTTAAGTACTCCGTTCTTAACCTGAAACCGTTCATAACCTGAAGCACCACTTTAGCTAATGGGGCCTCCCACTGCCGCCACCACGCAATTTCTGTTCTCATCCTGAAGCAAAGTTCTTAACTTGAGGTACTATTTCTGGGTTAGCGGAGTATGTAACCTGAAGCGTATGTAACCTGAAGCGTATGTAACCTGAAGCGTATGTAACCTGAAGCATATGTAACCCGAGGTACGACTGTATGGTTACTTGACATCTGATGGGAGGGTGCCACTACTGAGAAGGCCCTCTGCCTGGTTCCCTGCAACCTCACTTCTCTCAGTGAAGGAACTGCCAGAAAGCCCTTGGAGCTGGACCTCAGTAACGCTCCTTCAGGTATTCAGAGCCAAGGTTGTTTCCGGCCTTAAAGATCATCACCAAAACTTTGAATTGCGCTCGGAAACGTACTGGGAGTCAACATAAATTCTTCAGGACCAGTGTTATATGCTCCTGGTGGCCACTCCCAGTCACCAGCCTGCGGCCTAGGACCCACATACCTATGGGACCACCTCTCCTGGTATGTCCCGCGGAGGACCTTAAGCTCCACAAATGACAACACTTTGGAGGTCCTGAGCCTCAAGGAGGTTAGATTGGTCTCAACTAGGGTCAGGGCCTTTTCAGTACTGGCCCCAACTTGGTGGAACGCTCCGTCACAACAGACTAGGGCCCTGCAGGACTTGACATCTTTCTGCAGGGCCTGCAAGACAGAGCTGTTCCGCCTAGCCTTTGGTTTGGACTCGATCTGACCCTTATATTCCTCTCCCCTTATGGTCTTGATTTATCAGCTACTTTAAAATGAGGCTGCATTTTAAATTGCATTTTCACCTGTATTTTAAATTGGGGTTTTTTCCACCTTTTCCTCCCCCCCCCTTTCCCCCCTATTATGTTTTTACTGTGATTTTATTGGTGTTAGTCGCCCTGAGCCCAGCTCTGGCCGGGGAGGGCGGGGTATAAATAAAAAATATTATTATTATTATTGTTATTATATTGTGTGAGCAGAATCTCACCTTGAGGTCAAAGTGGGCGATGCGTTTGGAGTGGAGGTAGTGGACGCCGTCCAAAATCTGCTTGAGGAATTGTGTGGCCTCCTCCTCGGTCAGCGACTCCTTTTCGGCCAGGAAATCGAAGAGTTCCCCGCCAGAGACCAGCTCCAGGATCAACACCACGTCCGTCTTGTTCTCGAAGATGTCGTGGAGCGTGATGATGTTGGGGTGCTGGATCTCGCGCAGGATGTCGACCTCCCGCTCGATCTCCTCGCGGCTCACCCCGCGGCGGCTGGAGGACAGGCGGCGCTTCTTGATGAACTTGGCCGCGTATTCCAGGCCGCTCTTCTTCTCGCGGCACTTGCGCACGATCGCAAACTGGCCGCTGAGAGGGAGAGAGAGGGACGGAAAACGTTCACTTGCAGTCATACCTCGGGTTACAGACGCTTCAGGTTGCGATTTTCGGGTTGCGGACGCCGATACCCGGAAGTACGGGTTACGTCCGGGTTTCGGCGGTCGCGCATGCGCAGAAGCGCCAAATCGCACTTTGCGTATGCGCAGAAGCGCCAAATCGCAACCCACGCGGGTTGCGAACGTGCATCCCGCATGGATCACGATCGCAACCCGAGCGTCCACTGTATTTTATTTTTATTTTAAATTTTGCTTATGCTGTTCAGGTTTATACATTTCACTAATTTTACAGTCCTTTTGACATTTCAAATCTTGACTTCCTTCCCCTTTTTCTGAGACTCCTATTTCAGACACTGCACATCATTCCTCTGTGTAAAGTAAAGGTAAAGGGACCCCTGACCATTAGGTCCAGTCTTGGCCGACTCTGGGGTTGCGACGCTCATCTCTCTTTATTGGCCAAGGGAGCCGGCGTACAGCTTCCGGGTCATGTGGCCAGCTAACATAAATTCAAAAGTGTAAATCAGTTTTGATGGACACAATAATGGAATACGGAATGGCATAGCTTTTGTAAAATATGCAGGGATTTATGTTCTGCAAAGTGAACCATGGAAAGAGAAGAAGGGATAGTTGTTGATATCTTAAAGGTAAAGGGACCCCTGACCAGTAGATCCAATCGTGGCCGACTCTGGGGTTGCGGCGCTCATCTCTCTTTATTGGCCAAGGGAGCCGGCGTTCAGCTTCCAGGTCATGTGGCCAGCAGGACTAAGCCGCTTCTGGCGAAACAGAGCAGCGCAGGGAAACGCCGTTTACCTTCCCGCTGGAGTGGTACCTATTTATCTATTTGCACTTTGACGTGCTTTCGAACTGCTAGGTTGGCACGAGCAGGGACCGAGCAATGGGAGCTCACCCCGTCGCGGGGATTCAAACGGCCAACCTTCTGATCGACAAGCCCTAGGCTCTGTGGTTTAACCCACAGCGCCACCCGCGTCCTAAACGTTTCCTACTCTGAACCGGGGAGCTTCACTCCCAAACAAATCCAGCTTCACTGGGCAATATATTGGTCATAATATAGACACAGAAGCGTGGCAACAATTGTGGAATACGGATATAAAATTTACAGCATGTTACAGTTTAAGAAAAAATTACATGAAAATGATATATCGTTGGGATCTAACACCAAGTCAACTGGCAAAAATGTATAAATCAAACAAGTGTTGGAAATGCAAAGAGAAAGAAGGTTCTTTTTAATGATATGTGGTGGTCTTGTAGTAAGGTTAAAGCTTACTGGGAAATGATATACAGCGAACTGAAAAGGATGTTCAAAATAACCTTTGTAAAAAAAAAACCAGAAACTTTTCTTTTGGGACTTGTAGGGACAGAACTACCTAAATTGTATGGAAATTTATTTATGTATGCTACTACAGCAGCAAGAATCTACTTGCCCAAAAGTGGAAAGAAGAAGAAGCCCCAACAAAGGAATAATGGATACAAAATCTTATGGAATATGCAGAAATGGTGAAACTTACCGAAAGAATGAGAAAGCAAGATAAGATAACAAACTTTTAATAAAAGAATGGAAATGGTTTATTGAATATTTACAGATAAATTGCAAACAGATAAAAACATTGGCAGGATTTTTATAACAACCTGCAGCTTCAGAAGAGTATATATTTAAAGTAGATAATTAAATGAATTTGGATATGCAGAAGATAATAAAAAATAAATTTAAGGAACCGCAGAAAGAGGGGGAAGGAAGTCAAACTTCGAAAAGTGAGATTGATTGTAAAACTAACAAAATGTATAAACTTGAAAAGTATAAATAAAAACTGAAGCAGGAACTTTGGGCTTTCCAGCTGCTGCTGAATTGCAACCCCCATCCGTTCCAGGTAGCGTGGCCAATGGCAAGGCATGACGGGAGTTAAAGTTCAGCAACACCTGGGGCAGGTGTGGAAGATTCCCTGGTCCTGAATGGGGTAACTGTGCCCCTGAAGGACCAGGTGCGCAGCCTGGGAGTCATTTTGGACTCACAGCTGTCCATGGAAGCGCAGGTCAATTCTGTGTCCAGGGCAGCTGTCTACCAGCTCCATCTGGTATGCAGGATGAGACCCTCCCTGCCTGCAGACTGCCTTGCTAGAGTGGTGCATGCTCTGGTTATCTCCCGCTTGGACTACTGCAATGCGCTCTACGTGGGGCTACCTTTGAAGGTGACCCAGAAACTGTAACTAATCCAGAATGCAGCAGCTAGACTGGGGACTGGGAGCGGCCTCCGAGACCATATAACATTGGTCCTGAAAGACCTACATTGGCTCCCAGGACGTTTCCGAGCACAATTCAAAGTGTTGGTGCTGACCTTTAAAGCCCTAAGTGGCCTCGGCCCAGTATACCTGAAGGAGCGTCTCCACCCCCATTGTTCTGCCCGGACACAGAGGTCCAGCACTGAGGGCCTTCTGGCGGTTCCCTGGCTGCGAGAAGCCAAGTTACAGGGAACCAGGCAGAGGGCCTTCTCGGTGGTGGCGCCCGCCCTGTGGAACGCCCTCCCACCAGATGTCTAAGAGAACAACAACTACCAGACTTTCAGAAGACATCTGAAGGCAGCCCTGTTTAGGGAAGCTTTTAATGTTTGCTATATTACAGTATTTTAATATTTTTTGGGAAGCCGCCCAGAGCGGCTGGGGAAGCCCAGCCAGATGGGCAGGGTATAAATAAATTATTATTATTATTATTATTATTCCACAAAACGGTTCTATGAAGCCAGGCAGGAGGACCAGGACCATGAAACTGAAGGAGATATTTTGCAGAAAGTGGATGTTTGTGGATTTCCCGTGCTCCAAAGCGGACCCAGTTAGCACAAGGCACATTCCTGACGCTCCCGTCTGCCCCAGCAAAGAAGCACTTCCTGGTTTTTGTCAGCGTGAAAAAGCTGGGAGACATCTACACTAGTTGCTAAAAGAGGAGAAAATGTCCGTCACACGCATATTGTTTCACAAATTCTGGAGTCTTTCCATAGAAGGAAAGGCCTACGGAAGAAGAGAAACCTCTTTGCGCTCTGTTTTAATAAAGCCGCAGGCACGGGACATCGAAATGCAGCTATTTACATTTTTCAAAGGTGAGATCACACACCAAGCTAGCTTTCCATATACGGTTGCCGTTGCAAAAAGAAAAGGACAAGGAAGCAGAACAAAAGCGACTTGACCTGTTTTATTTCTGCTGGCCATCAGCAAAAATTCATCCGGACGGAAAGCAATGAGGCTGGCGGGGGGGGGGTCGGGGAGAGAGAACAAACAGATTTAGCACACAAGGTTTTCTTTAAAAAAAAAGGAAAAATAAGTGGACTGGCTTTGGTTTCTCAGTTCACAGTTCACCATCATGTCCAAAAAAAAGGGGGGGGGTTGATTTAATTGGGATCTTAAATAGGGCTGCCATATTCCCCAAAGTGAAAATCTGGACAAAGTTGCGGGGTTATTTTTTTTGGGGGGGGGGGGACGACGACGAAATTGTTGAGCCTTTTTTGGGGAACATATCTCAAATAAAATTTAAGATTTTGGGGGATTTTTTTATAAGCATTTTTTATTTCTTGGGGGATTTTTAAAAAAATTCTTGTCAATAGAAATTTGCAGCCAGAAAATTTGTATTATCGTTTTGTGAGATTCTCGTGACTTTCCCCAACATCCCCTAACATGGGTCCTTATTACAATAATTAAGACTACATATCAATACGTTCTCCGCTATTTTGATTAGTCCAAATGGTCCATAACCTTCGTTACTTTACAAGTGATTCTTATAGTCCAGCTAAAGTTTTGATTTGCTTACAATGGTCTCCTATTTAAATTACTGTATAACATTTTCCCGTTCCTTTTTAAAGTCCTTGTCTTCTTAGCTAGGATTTTTTTTTTACAGTTATATAAAAAAAAGACTGATTTGGTAATACTTAGAGATAAAAATTGGTAATACTATCAAAAATATGTAGACCAATAACTATGAAATGATTGTGAGGTTTAATAAGTTAACTGTTTATATTTGGGCAACTTTTCTGCTGTGCTTTATTGGAAGGAGAAAAATAATCACAACAATTTAAACAATTTATTTTAACTAAAACAATAATGTTATAGCATATGTATCCATGTTTGTTAACTGATGTGGTTAAACAATTTAAAAAAAAAAAAACTTAGACTGAGTTTTAGCACACATGAAAAACAAATCCTTATTTCCTGATGGACTATAATGTAACTTAAATAGAAAACCACCTTTAGATAGATTTTTCCTCCAAAACCATTTTATTCTAAAAATCCAATTTATTTGTTTAAGAAAATCAATTTAAATAAAAGAAATCCAATTAAAAATTTTAAAAAATCCAATTTAAATAAAAAAAACCCAATTTTTTAAAAAAAAAATCATTGATTTTTATATTCACCCTGGCGGGATTTACGTCCACAAAAACAAGCATATAATGAGGCTGCCCTACGGCTACCAAAGAGGTGACGGTGTTGCAAAGGTCTGGGGCCGAATCCTGCGTCAGATCAGGGTGAGGCCGCAATGTTGGGCAAGGATCTCGCATCACCCCCTGAAACCAAAGTGGCAACACCCGTGGATTCTGAGTTCGGGATATGGGCGAGATCCTTGCGACATCCTCACTTCCTTTTCCCAGGCTGGGGGCGGGGGGGGGGGAAGGGACTGCCTCAAATCTGCTGGCCAGACTAGAATTACTCAAGACAGGAAATGTCCCTGAAATAATTTGTGCAGCTGACGCACTAGTCAAGAATGCAGAAACGCCGCAAGCGACGCTCCAGGGCGATCTGAAATTCTAGTGTGAAGTCAGAACCCGCTTGTGTGAGGCAAGCGCACAGGATGCAAACACAAATAGCCGAAAAATCGAACCAGGGTCTGACGTTTTAAGCCCCAGCACGGCAACAGTCTCCTAGGCTGCCAGTCCCTTGGGTGCTGAAGGTTTCCTCTATTCTCCACAATTTTTATCATCTTTTATGTTTTACCTTTTAGAATATTCATTTAAAGACCCTTAAGATATCAACGGGACGCGGGTGGTGCTGTGGGTTAAACCACAGAGCCTAGGGCTTGCCGATCAGAAGGTCGGCGGTTCGAATCCCCGTGACGGGGTGAGCGCCCGTCGCTCAGTCCCAGCTCCTGCCAACCTAGCAGTTCGAAAGCACATCAAAGTGCAAGTAGATAAATAGGTACCACTCTGGCAGGAAGGTAAACGGCGTTTCCGTGCGCTGCTCTGGTTCTCCAGAAGTGGCTTAGTCCTGCTGGCCACATGACCCGGAAGCTGTACGCCGGCTCCCTTGGCCAATAAAGCGAGATGAGCGCCGCAACCCCAGAGTCGGCCACGATTGGATCTACTGGTCAGGGGTCCCTTTACCTTTACCTTTAAGATATCAACAACTAACCCTTCTTCTCTTTCCATGGTTCACTTTGCAGAACATAAATCCCTGCATATTTTACAAAAGCTATGCCATTCCGTATTCCATTATTGTGTCCATCAAAACTGATTTACACTTTTGAATTTATGTTAGCGGTGCCAACGTTTTCAAATATACACAATTTCCCCCCATATATTCAAACGTTTTCCAATCTCTCTAAACGTACATTCTTCTTGTTTTCTTATTCTATATAAGGGGTCAGCAAACTTTTTCAGCCGGGGGCCGGTCCACTGTACCTCAGACCTTGTGGGGGGCCATACTATATTAAAGAAATGAACAAATTTCTGTGCCCCACAAATAACCCATCTTGAATAAAAGCACATATTCTACTCATGTCAAAACATGCTGATTCCTGGACTGTCCACGGGCCAGATTGAGAAGTCGTTTGGGCCGCATCCGGCCCCCGGGACTTAGTTTGCCTACCCATGTTCTATATATTAAGTCTGCAAGCTGTGCATATTCCAACAGCTTAAGTTGCAATTCTTCTTTGGTTGGGACCTCGCTCGTTTTCCATTTGGGGGCTAACAAAACACGGGCCGCAGTAGTAGCATACATAAATAACCTTTTTTGACACCTGGGAATTTCCTTCTGAATTATCCCCAACGAAAAGGACTCTGGTGTTGTTTTTTTGAAAAAGTACTTTTAAACTTTTTTTTTTTTTCAATTCATTACAAATTATTTCCCAATACTCTTTTACAAGCCAGTCCATTCTATTATGGCGTCCCCGAGCTCTTTGCAAAAAGGCACTTTGAACTAACTTGAACCAACAAAAGCTGCAGGCTGTTTATCAACGTCGCTTCGCTGAGGTTTCCAAGGGAGAAGTTGGAATTGTCCATGGGAGTTTTGCGATATCATCACGAATTGATCAGCAATAACTTTAAAATAACTTACACCAGCGCACACACCAACGATCACACCTTGTTTCCTATAAATTCACCATTGGGGAACACACATATTCTTGGAGATTTCTTGCCTTTTTATTGCTGGTAGTTGTCGACACTGAGGTCCAGCTCCGAGGGCCTTCTGGCAGTTCCCTCACTACGAGAAGCCAAGTTACAGGGAACCAGGCAGAGCGCCTTCTCGGTGGTGGCGCCCGCCCTGTGGAACGCCCTCCCACCAGATCTCAAATAGAAAAATAACTACCAAACTTTTAGAAGACATCTGAAGGCAGCCCTGTTTAGGGAAGCTTTTAACATTTAATAGGCTATTGTATTTTAGTGTTTTGCTGGAAACCGCCCAGAGTGGCTGGGGAAACCCAGCCAGATGGGTGGGGTATAAATAATAAATTATTATTATATTATTATTATTAACTAGGCTGCTCCTCCCTCGTTCCACATTCCTGCCTAATTACCTCCTCCTGTCTCTCCATGCTCTCCCCCTCTGTCAGCAATGGGACACATTATTATTATTATTATTATTATTATTATTATTATTTCTCTCTCACAAACACAGACAAAACATGCAAGCAGATGCACAACGAAGTACTCAGCCAGCTCACCTGCCCAGTTCTTCCTCCATCTCGTAGTAGTCCTCCACATTTTCTTGGCGGAAGGTGGACATGGCTTCCTGTGCCCTGCCCCCCGGGAAAAGCAGCCGTCACCAAATTTCCAGACTGCCCGGCGCTGGATCAATGCTAAAGGAAGAGGAAGGATCAAGATCAGTCAAATGTTCCAGCAACGGAGGAAAGGAAAGTGACTGGGAGTGACCGCCGAGACCACATAAGATCTTCATCAGCTCCCAGGACGTTTCCGAGCACAATTCAAAGTCTTGGTGCTGACCTTGAAAGCCCTAAATGGCCCAGTAGACCTGAAGGAGCGTCTCCACCTCCATCGTCCAGCCTGGACACTGAGGTCCAGCTCCGAGGGCCTTCTGGCGGTTCCCTCGCTGCGAGAAGTGAGGTTACAGGGAACCGGGCAGAGGGCCTTCTCGGTGGTGGCACCCTCCCTGTGGAACGCCCTCCCATCAGATGTCAAGGAAATAAACAACTATTTTACTTTTAAAAGACAACTGAAGGCAGCCCTCTTTAGGGAAGCTTTTAATATTTGTTGAATCGTTGTGTTTTAATATTCTGCTCAAAGCCGCCCAGGGAAGTTTTTAATGTCTGACGCTGTCTTGTTTTTAATATTTGGTTGGAAGCCGCCCAAAGTGGCCGGGGAAACCCAGTCAGATGGGCGGGGTATAAATAATAAATTATTATTATTATTATTATTAAAGGAACAACCACTGTAAAACCACACATTATTATTATTATTATTATTCCCTGCCTTTTCCCGTGACAGGAACTCAAAGCGGCTTCCTTCGGAGACTCCTTTCTCGCCTGCTGCTCCCCCATCCCTAGAGATCCCAGCCATTAACTGCAGCCTCCACCCCCAAAAACCTTCCTCCACCCCCCAAAAGAATCCCAGCCCCATTCACACACACAGCAGTTGCCTCCCAGACCCACAGACCCCTCTGCACCCTATCTTTCCAAAAGTGGCGGCCCTGCGACTTAACCCCATATCAAAAGCAGCCCCACAACTTAACCCACTTCCTTCCCATCAAAAGCAGCCCCACGACTTAACCCCTTCCCTCCCATCAAAAGCAGCCCCACGACTTAACCCCTTCCCTCCCATCAAAAGCATCAAGACTTAACCCCTTCCCTCCCATCAAAAGCAGCCCCACGACTTAACCCCTTCCCTCCCATCAAAAGCAGCCCCACGACTTAACCCCTTCCCTCCCATCAAAAGCAGCCCCACGACTTAACCCCTTCCCTCCCGTCAAAAGCATCACGACTTAATCCCTTCCCTCCCATCAAAAGCATCACGACTTAACCCCTTCCCTCCCATCAAAAGCATCACGACTTAACCCCTTCCCTCCCATCAAAAGCAGCCCCACAACATCAAAAGCAGCACCCCCCACGACTTAACCCCTCCCCTCCCATCAAAAGCAGCCCAACCTCAAAATGTAACCCCTTCCCTCCCATCAAGTGCCCCCCCCACGACTTAACGGTCAAAAGCACCCCCACAACTTAACCCCTTCCCTCCTGGCTCAAACCACCACCACCCTCCCGGCAGCCGTTTCTTAGAACCACAGAAGTGCAGAGCTGGAAGGGACCCGCCAGGGTCATCTAGTCCAGCCCCACATTTCCTCCCCACCCACCTCTAAGGAGGGGGGGGAACCCCAACCCTATATTTCTGGAAACTCCCCCCCTCCTTCCCCTCCCCCTTCCCTGCCTCCCTAACAAAGCCTTTTCCCACGAGCAACCCCTCCATCCCCCCAGCCTCAAACCCCTCGCGTCTCAGAGCCCCACATATCTGCCCCCCGCCCCCTTTTCGCTAAATCTAGGGCCCCCACCAAACAAAAGCACCTCTTTCGCGATTTCCACTTCCAAACCCGCATTTAATAGCATCAAAAAGCAAAATATCCTCCTGCGAAAGAGCGCAGCCTCCCCCCAACCCCCCCACACCCCATCGCCCACCTTAGGAGGGCGAGAGCGCGCCCGGGAGGGGAGGAAGGCGCGTCCCCGAGAGAGACAGCGAGAGACAAGGCGCCGCGTCCGCCCGCATTCCGACACTGGCCGCAGCGGCTCTCCCCATTGGCTAAAGCGCGGAGGTGACGTCACAGTCCCGGGCTCCGGCGCCTCCCCCGCATCCCCGGGCAGGCGGTGACGTCATTCATTCAGCCGGCAAGGCAGCCGAGCAAGCCTTGCAGATTTTGCTTTTTTTGCTGCATGCAAGTTCTTAAAGAAATGGGAGTGCCTGATCACCTCATCTGCCTCCTGAGAAATGCAGGATGTGAATCTAATGGATAAAGCAACGCCACACAGCCCACTTTGGGGGAGGATAAGCTGAACATGGCCACTGGTCCCATCACTTCCTGGCAAATAGAAGGGGAAGAAATGGAGGCAGGGAGAGATTTTACTTTCTTGGGCTCCATGATCACTGCAGATGGTGAGAGCAGCCACAAAATTAAAAGACGCCTGCTTCTTGGGAGAAAAGCAATGACAAACCTAGACAGCATCTTAAAAAGTAGAGACATCACCTTGCCGACAAAGGTCCGTATAGTTAAAGCTATGGTTTTCCCAGTAGTGATGTATGGAAGTGAGAGCTGGACCGTAAAGAAGGCAGATCGCGGAAGAATGGATGCTTTAGAATTCTGGTGCTGGAGGAGACTCTTGAGAGTCTCATGGACTGCAAGAAGATCAGACCTCTCCATTCTGAAGGAAATCAGCCCTGAGTGCTCACTGGAAGGACAGATCCTGAAGCTGAGGCTCCGGTACTTTGGCCACCTCATGAGAAGAGAAGACTCCCTGGAAAAGACCCTGATGTTGGGAAAGATGGAGGGCGCAAGGAGAAGGGGACGACAGAGGACGAGATGGTGGGACAGCGTTCTCAAAGCTACCAGCATGAGTTTGACCAAACTGTGGGAGGCAGTGGAAGACAGGAGTGCCTGGCTTGCTCTGGTCCATGGGGTCACGAAGAGTCGGACATGACTAAACGACTAAACAACAACAACAAGCTGAATCAGTAGAACATGAGAGTCTTAATCTCAGAGTCGTGGGTTCCAGCCTCACAGTGGGCAAAAGATTCCTGCATTGCAGGGGGTTGGGCTGGATGACCCCACGGGGTCTCTTCCAACTCTATGATTCTGTCACTCATCTTCGTTCCGCTCTGTCGAAAATCCCATGTGGACTGATCATTATCAGCACCATAATCATTGATTAAATTTACCAGTCACTTGTGACCCAAAGGTATCCAAGCAATTTACAGCAATATATATATTGTATGCATACATAATTTCGAAGGGGCAGAGGAACCAGAGACTAAATTGCAAACATGTGCTGGATTATGGAGAAAGCTAGAGAGTTCCAGAAAGACGTCTACTTCTGCTTCATTGACTATGCAAAAGCCTTTGACTGTGAGGACCACAGCAAACTATGGCAAGTTCTTAAAGAAATGGGAGTGCCTGATCACCTCATCTGTCTCCTGAGAAATCTCTATGCGGGACAAGAAGCTACAGTTAGAACTGGATATGGAACAACTGATGGGTTCAAAAATTGGGAAAGGAGTACGACAAGGCTGTATATTGCCTCCCTGCTTATTTAACTTATATGCAGAATTCATCATGCGAAAGGCTGGGCTGGATGAATCCCTAGCCGGAATTAAGATTGCCGGAAGAAATATCAACAACCTCAGATATGCAGATGACACAACCTTGATGGCAGAAAGTGAGGAGGAATTAAAGAGCCTTTTATTGAGGGTGAAAGAGGAGAGCACAAAATATGGTCTGAAGCTCAACATCAAAAAACGAAGATCATGGCCACTGGGCCCATCACCTCCTGGCAAATAGAAGGGGAAGAAATGGAGGCAGGGAGAGATTTTACTTTCTTGGGCTCCATGATCACTGCAGATGGTGACACTGCATTCCTTATCAGCTATAGCTCCGCCTTATCCATTTCTGTACTGCTTCCATGCTATTTTGATACTGGCTCTTGTAGGAACACCTTGGTTTTAAGTATGAGAGTTGGTCTGGAAGTCTGGAGCAGGGTATTCTCCCTGCTCCATGCAAATTCTCCCTTCCTCTTACCTTATTTGTGGGGAGGGGGTTTCAGCAGCAGCCACAGCGGTGCAGATGTCATACCCTGCAAGAAAGAAGGAATCCCTGAATGTGTGAATGGTCTGTCACAGACCAAACGACCAGGGACGGGGCTTCAAGAAGCCGTTGCAGGAAGTCCCAGGTGAGCAGAGGGCTCTTGGGCTCGAATCCTGTTTCTGGCGAGGGGCGTACCGATGGGGGGCAGGGGGGTGGGCTGCCCCAGGTGCCATTCTGAAGGGGGGGTGACATTCCGACACCCCCCCTGCCCGCGCCCCCCCAAACCCACAAATCGCGAGTGGCAAAGCATAGAGCGGCAAAGCAATGAAATCCCGGTCCCCTTACCTGTGAGGCGAGAGGCCGTTGTCTCGGCTCCAGGCCCTCCCGGGATGCGGCGGCTCCCAGGCTGAGCCTTCTCCTCGCTGCAAAACAAAGGGAGACATCAGCCGACGCCCGGCTCCCAGCCACGCGAGCCCCAGTCTGGGGCAGGAGGGTGGGGACCTGGGAAGGGGGCATTTCATCCTACCTGATCTTATTAACTGCCCCACCCTGAACTCCTCCGTGCGGGCATCCGGGCTCCATCCCGACCGGCCTGGCACAGAGGCAGCAGCCAAAGTCTCCCCCGGCTCCGGAATCACTTTGGAGGTCTTTTGGATGGGGGGAAGCCTTGGCTGCTGCTTCTGCGCCAAGTACGGCCGGGTAGGAGCCATGCCCGCACGGGGAACGGAGGGAGGGTGAGGCAGGCGAGGATCAGGAACTGCCGGGAACCGCCGCGATGGTCCTTCAATCTTTGTCCCGGGAGCAGGCGCTGGAGCCTCATCCCTGGAGGCGTGGACCTGTGGAGGAAGCAGAAAGCATCTGATGAGAAGGGGCTGGGGCCCCATTTTTGATGCCCCCCCCAAAAGAAGTCCCACAAGGACCCCTTCCTTCCTTCTGTCCCAGTACCTGATGTTCGCCACGTTCCCCACGTCCCTCCAGGGATTTCGCCAGCGCGAAGTAGATGTTGGGGAAAGGCTCCCTCCCTGCAAAGGAAATGGAGGAATCAGCAAGCGCCTGGATCCCAGATGATAGCACCAGTCTGGCGCATGAGGGAGGGGGGACACAGGAAGGAAACATGCCTAAAATATGGGGCACTCAGTTGGCATTTCCACTTACCTGAAGTGGGAGCCTTTCCCCCCTCGTACTGGCGGGCCTCTCGCCTAAGGAAGAAACAAGCTCTGTTAGTCTGATTGCTTGGAGGAGTTCCAGATAAATATATAGATGATAATATTATCATCTATATACTTAGACATATTTCTGGACATCTTTTGGAGCCAATTTTGTGCCCCACCCCTCGCCTGCGCCCCTGGCGGGGGCCCACCTCACCACCCCCTAGCTAGGGCCCTGCCTGGACCACAGAGAAATCCTCTCCATAAAACTATAAAGGTAAGGTAAAGGTACCCCTGCCCGTATGGGCCAGTCTTGACAGACTCTAGGGTTGTGCGCTCATCTCACTCTAGAGGCCAGGAGCCAGCGCTGTCCGAAGACACTTCCGGGTCACGTGGCCAGCGTGACAAGCTGCATCTGGCGAGCCAGCGCAGCACACGGAACGCCGTTTACCTTCCCACTAGTAAGCGGTCCCTATTTATCTACTTGCACCCGGGGGTGCTTTCGAACTGCTAGGTTGGCAGGCGCTGGGACCGAACGACGGGAGCGCACCCCGCCGCGGGGATTCGAACCGCCAACCTTTCGATCGGCAAGTCCTAGGCGCTGAGGCTTTTACCCACAGCGCCACCCGGGTCATAAAACTATAGTGATGTCTAAATCAGGCCTTCCTCCTCCACCCCCAGGATCCCTGGGAAACACTTCCCCTGCCACACAAGGTCACAACATACCTCCGGATGTTGCTGGGTTTCCCTGCACCGCTGGGCTGCTGCTGGTTCCCCAAACCACGGCCCTGCAAAGGAAGAAGGACATTGTACTCTCTAGGGGGGCAGAGCAAGCGCCCCTGCCAGGCTGCCCATGCCCACTTCACCACAGGCTGCCAACGTGCTCCTGCCTGGGCGCCTGACCCCTTGTTTGGAAGGAGGGGGGCAAGGGGCTGAGGCGAGACCAGCCTGCAACCCCCCAACCCAGCCCTGTTTCACTCAGGTCAGCACCATGACCTCCCTGCACATGTGGGGAATGGATTCCCCATGGAATTAACCTACCACAATCTCCAGAGGTTGTGCCCCTCCATCCTCCTTCAGGTTTGGGCGTCTCAGGAGCCTTTTATGTCCTAGGAGACAGAAAGGAAAATAAAAAACATAGAAAGAGGTTACAGGTGGGAAGACTTATAACACCTTCTAGAAATGACACCAAAGAAGGATGTTCTTCTCATTATAGGGGATTGGAATGCTAAAGTAGGGAGTCAAGAGATAAAAGGAACAACTGGCAAGTTTGGCCTTGGAGTTCAAAATGAAGCAGGGCAAAGGCTAAAAGGGTTCTGCCGAGAGCACAAGCTGATCATCACAAACACTATTTTCCAACAACACAAGAGACGACTCTACACATGGACATCACCAGATGGGCAGCATCGAAATCAGATTGATTATATTCTCTGCAGCCAAAGATGGAAAAGCTCTATACAATCAGCAAAAACAAGACCTGGAGCTGACTGTGACTCAGATCATCGGCTTCTTATAGCAAAATTCAAGCTTAAACTGAAGAAAGTAGGAAAAACCACGGGGCCAGTAAGATACAATCTAAGTCAAATCCCTTATGAATACACAGTGGAAATGAGGAACAGGTTTAAGGATTTAGATTTGGTAGACAGAGTGCCTGAAGAACTATGGATGGAGGCTCGTAACATTATACAGGAGGCAGCAACAAAACCCATCCCAATGAAAAGAAAATGCAAGAAAGCAAAGTCGCTGTCCAACAAGGCCTTACAAATAGCGGGGGGGGGGGGGGGAAGAAAGCAAGCAAAATGCAAGGGAGATAGTGAAAGATACAGGAAACTGAATGCAGATTTCCAAAAAATAGCAAGGAGAGACAAGAAGGCCTTCTTAAACGAGCAATGCAAAGAAACAGAGGAAAGCAATAGAATGGAAAAAAACAGAGATCTGTTCAAGAAAATTGGAGATATGAAAGGAACATTTCGTTCAAAGATTACCAAGGACAAAAGTGGTAAGGACCAAACAGAAGCAGAAGGCATCAAGAAGAGGTGGCAAGAATACACAGAGGAATTATACCAGAAAGATATGGACGTCTCGTACACTCCAGGTAGTGTGGTTGCTGACCTTGAGCCAGACATCCTGGAGAGTGAAGTCAAATGGGCCTTAGAAAGCTCTGCTAATAACAACTGGATGATATTCCAGCTGAACTATTTAAAATTTTAAAAGATGCTGCTGTTAAGGTGCTACGCTCAATACGACAACAAGTTTGGAAAACTCAGCAGTGGCCAGAGGATTGGAGAAGATCAGTCTACATCTCAATCCCAAAGAAGGGCAGTGCCAAAGAATGCTCCAACTACCGCACAATTGCACTCATTTCACATGCTAGCAAGGTGAGGCTTATAATTCTACAAGGCAGGCTTAAGCAGTATGTGGACCGAGAACGAAAACAAAAACCATCCCAATGAAAAGGAAATGCAAGAAGGGGGAGAAATGGAGGCAGTGAGAGATTTTACTTTCTTGGGCTCCATGATCACTGCAGATGGTGACAGCAGTCATGAAATTAAAAGACACCTGCTTCTTAGGAGAAAAGCAATGACAAACCTGGACAGCATCTTAAAAAGCAGAGACATCACCTTACCAACAAAGGTCCGTATAGTTAAAGCTATGGTTTCCCCAGTAGTCATGTATGGAAGTGAGAGCTGGACCATAAAGAAGGCTGATCGCCAAAGAATGGATGCTTTTGAATTATTGTGCTGGAGGAAACTTTTGAGAGTCCCATGGAGTGCAAGAAGATCAAACCGATCCATTCTGAAGGAAATCAGCCCTGAGTGCTCACAGGAAGGACAGATCCTGAAGCTGAGGCTCCAAGACTTTGGCCACCTCATGAGAAGAGAAGACTCCCTGGAAAAGACCCTGATGTTGGGAAAGATGGAGGGAACAAGGAGAAGGGGACGGAAGAGGACGAGATGGTTGGACACTGTTCTCGAAGCTACCAGCATGAGTTTGACCAAACTGTGGGAGGCAGTGGAAGACAGGAGTGCCTGGCGTGCTCTGGTCCAGGGGGTCACGAAGAGTTGGACACGACTAAACAACAACAAGTTGCTTTGGGAGACGATAATCAAGCATAGCCCAGTTCTGTGAAGCTTGGAGGGGTGTTTGAGGCATCTGGGCTTTAGCAGCACAGTGGTGGCTCGGGTTAAGAACTTAATTCGTTCTGGAGGTCCGTTCTTAACCTGAAATTGTTCTTAACCTGAGGTACCACTTTTGCTAATGGGGCCTTCCACTGCTGCCGCCGCACCGCCAGAGCACGATTTCTGTCCTCATCCTGAAGCAAAGTTCTTAACCTGAGGTACAATTTCTGTACAAGCCAAGCCCTGGCTCCATGGCTCACCTGAATCAAGGGAATCTTCTTGCTTCCAAGTTTGGAGCGACCCCTTTCTTGCTGCATTAAACGGCCACATTCTCGGAGCAATGGCGGCTGTGTCCAGCTCAGCTTCAGCCCCCCCCTCGTGCCGCCTTCTAGAACCCACCGCTCTCAACCGACTCTCACCTGCCGCCCCCTTCAAACTCCCTTTCCAAGCCTCCTTCCATCTTCCATCTCCACCAGAATTCCACTCTCTCTCTCTCTCTTCCCCCTCCCTCCCTGCTTTGGAATTGTAATAGCATCACCTCACAATAATAATATTGCCACTCATCTCTTCTAGTCCTCCTACCTGGAGAATGCATCTTTGTCTACCAACTCTCACTGTCATCTGGCAGGCATCCCCCTTGGAGGGCATTATATGGCTTGCTGGCAAAGCAGCACTTTGTGACATAGGCTGGCAAACAGGGGCCAGGCTGCTGGGTTGTTCGGCAGCTGAATGAAGAAAAATAAAACCAGGGGGGTCAAAGTGTGCTGGGATGAGGCCACTGTGGTTCAGGCCAGAGGGGGCTGTTAGGGCGTGTGGTTGTGACTCCCCTTCTTCTGCATCTTGCTCCCCCGCCCATTCCTTCTGGTGCTCGAAAGAATCAGAGCATGGCAGAGTTGGAAGGGGTGCCAAGGGGCATCTAGTCCAACCCCCGGCAGTGCAAGGATCCTGCCCACAGCCAGCCCCTGGCTGGGCTCCACACTCCCACCACCTTCTTCCCAGCCGGATGCACAGACCCCTTGCCATTCTGCATGGGGTGGGGAAAGGGGAGAGAGAGATGTTTTGCTCCCTGTCCCTCCGGACATGGATATGAGAGCCCTGTCAATATCTCAAGGGCGTCCCAGGGAGGAAGCTTGTCTTCTCCTGCTCCAGAGGCCCTCAGGACCTGAAGCCATGGCTTCAAGCGACCAGAAAGGAGAGTCCGACTCCAGGAAGAACTTTCTGACAGCAAGAGCTGTTTGACAGTGAGAGGAAATCCCTCAGAAGGTGATAGACTCTCCTTCCTTGGCGGTTTTCAGCAGAGCTTGGGGCGGCCATTTGCCATGGGTTCTTGAGCTGAGATTCCTGCATTGCAGGGGGTTGGACTAGAGCGTGTTACTTCCAGGTTTCGACGCTCATGCATACGCCGACGCTCAAAATGATGTCACGCGCATGCGCGGAAAGGCGAAAAGCGACGCGTGTGTGCGCGCGCAGATGTGCCGTCGCTAGTTACGTTCACTTCGGGATGCAAATGGGGCTCTGGAACGGATCCCGTTCGCATCGTGAGATACCACTGTACTGTAGCATATATTCAACACAAAAAACAGCGGCAATTTGTTTTTGACAAAGGACAGCTGGACATATAAAGGGCCCCATTACCTTCAGTAGCTTCGGGCCTCATCAATCCTAAATCTGGCCCTGCGTCGGACGTTTGGCTTCCAAAGAACGTTTGCAAACCAGAACACTCATTCCGGCGTTGCAGTATTTGGGGACCGGAATGCAAGGCGTTTGAGATCCAAGGTATAACTGTATGTTTTTTAAAATATTTTTTTTTCTCCGTGAAAAAGACCCTGATGTTGGGAAAGATGGAGGGTGCAAGGAGAAGGGGATGACAGAGGACGAGATGGTGGGACAGTGTTCTCGAAGCTACCAGCATGAGTTTGACCAAACTGCGGGAGGCAGTGGAAGACAGGGGGGCCTGGCGTGCTCTGGTCCATGGGTCACAAAGAGTCGGACACGACTAAACCAAAACAAGTCACCATGTTCCCTAAAGCGGTGGGGATCAGCTTGTCCAGACCTTACAACCAACCTCTGACTTCCCAAGCTGCAACATGGGACCGACGTCCACATTTCTGTTTGCAGTTTACACTTAATGTAGAGGGGGAGGAAAGCGGGAGGGGGGGACTTCACTGGCATCCCTTGGGTTTCAGACAGTACATGGGTAAAGGTATTTTAATTTCACCATCTGCAGTGATCATGGAGCCCAAGAAAGTAAAATCTCTCACTTCCTCCATTTCTTCCCTTTCTATTTGCCAGGAGGTGATGGGACCAGTGGCCATGATCTTCGTTTTTTGGATGTTGAGCTTCAGACCATATTTTGTGCTCTCCTCTTTCACCCTCATTTAGAGGTTCTTTAATGGTGACTTTATGGGACAATAAACTCCATCACCCTTGCCGACAAAGGTCCGTATAGTTCAATCTATGGTTTTCCCAGTAGTGATGTATGGAAGTGAGAGCTGGACCATAAAGAAGGCTGATCGCCGAAGTATGGATGCTTTTGAATTATGGTGCTGGAGGAGACTCTTGAGAGTCCCATGGACTGCAAGAAGATCCAACCTCTCCATTCTGAAGGAAATCAGCCCTGAGTGCTCACTGGAAGGACAGATATTGAAGCTGAGGCTCTAAGACTTTGGCCACCTCATGAGAAGAGAAGACTCCCTGGAAAAGACCCTGATGTTGGGAAAGATGGAGGGCGCAAGGAGAAGGGGACGACAGAGGACGAGATGGTGGGACAGTGTTCTCGAAGCGACCAGCATGAGTTTGACCAAACTGCGGGAGGCAGTGGAAGACAGGAGGGCCTGGCGTGCTCTGGTCCAGGGGGTCACGAAGAGGCGGACACGACTAAACGACTAAACAAGAACAAATCTAACAGCTCCTAATCCTTGGGCATGCCAGCTGGGGCTCATCAAGTCCAACATCCTCTGGAAACCCCAAGGCAGCTAATGTTCCTCCAGGATGCCTCCAGCTAAACTGGCCGCCATCGTGCCAAGTGTTGGGCAAATCTAGTTTAGAATGCAGTGCGCTCTGCGTTCAGGCTTGTAGACGCTTCAGAAACCAGGCATGGCAGCAAGAACTCGTGGATACCTGGTTCTTGCACCATACCACGCTCAGTTATCGGCTGCCTTTTTTTGCTTCCTAGACCAATTCCGGGTGCTCCTTAAACTTCCTAAATCAGGAGTGGGAACTGCCCCGAGATCTACGGATCAAGGGCGGTTATAAAGGGTGAATTTATTAAATAATAATTATTCTGTTCGCAAGGCCGTTTCCCCCAAACCACACCCTCTCATGCTAGATAGAAAACACAGATCGCAAGGGACGGGTTGATTGTTCCTTTTTGCTTGGAGCAGTGTGTTCCCGGTGCCCATCAGCTGGTAAAATGCAGGGTTGGGACTGGCAATACACAACGCCCTTTGTGCAGCCAGCTGTTGGGAGCCCTCCATAAGGAATTTTGACAGGTGGAGACAACTCACGTGTACATGACGCCATGCGATTGACCTGTGGGTTGCCCCACACAGCCAGTCCGCCCACTCGGTGGGGTCAGGTAGTAAAGATCCGGACCCCAAAGCCCAAACGATTCCCCACCTGAATATATCTAACATGAGCCTCCCCAAACACAAACTTCAGGCTGAGTCTACCTTAAGAGCCATTAGGCTGGCAGGTACCAGCAGGCCAGACGCGGGTGGCGCTATGGGTTAAACCACAGAGCCTAGGACTTGCCGATCAGAAGGTCGGCGGTTCAAATCCCCGCAATGGGGTGAGCTCCCGTTGCTCGGTCCCTGCTCCTGCCAACCTAGCAGTTCGAAAGCACGCCAGTGCAAGTAGATAAATAGGTACCGCTCCAGCAGGAAGGGAAACGGCGTTTCTGTGCGCTGCTCTGGTTCGCCAGAAGCGGCTTAGTCCTGCTGGCCACATGACCCAGAAGCTGTACGCCGGCTCCCTTGGCCGATAAAGCGAGATGAGCGCCGCAAGCCCAGTCGGCCACGACTGGACCTAATGGTCAGGGGTCCCTTTACCTTTACTTTTTACCAGCAGGCCAGACTGTGTGACCTCAATGCTTGTAGATATCAGGCTGTCTCAAAAGACAATGGAGTGCACCTCCAGGGGTGAAATCAAACCACTGTGTTAGCAACACCCAAGTAACAACCCCAGGGCGTAAGCCTGGGCAGTGAATATGGGGGTCCTGCGCTGCCCAGATGACAAGACTCGCTGATGGGGTCCAAAGGAAAGCAGAGCAAGACACCTGGATGCAGGTGTTGCCAGTGTACAAGCACCACCCAACCATTTTAGGGAATCCATTGAGGATTTGTGCATTTACTCCTTAACCCTTTCTTTTCCCCAAGGTATCTTCGCAAGGCATGGGAGGTTTAGGATCAGTTTCCCTTTTCCTTCCCAGGTTAATAAGCCCCATCTGGCCATACCATGATTAGTGATTAAGACAAATGACAATTTGATAGAAGAAATTTAAAGAATATTTAACTAAATATTGTGATATAAGGGAATTAGAAAATTCTTGGAAGTAACAAATAGGCTTAGGGGCAGAATAAGAATAGGTGGTAGTAAATATTAAGGATTTGAATATTAATAAAAGAGATGAGGCTAGTAAATGAAAGGAATGAATATTATTAGAAGTATGAATTTGGAGAACTACTATACAGGGGTTATAATGAAATTCAGTTAGAGGGGATTTGAGGAAGTCAGGTATCGATGTAACGAGAATTAGAGATTTGAAGTAAGAATTCTGTTTTGTGTTTTTCTTTTCTTGTTGTGTGTTTTGTAATATTTTCTTTTTTTCTGTGATATGTGGAAACCAATAAAAAATGGGAATTTGTTTCCCATTTTTCCCAATCACACATTCAGTTGCACATTTGTTTTTCGGGGTGGGGCGTTTGCTTGTTTGTTAAAAGTTCTAATGAAAATTTCTCCCAATATCCAGATTTTCATATGCAGTTTTGCTCATACACACATTATGCAAGCAATTTCCTGTAATATACAGTAATGCAGTTTTCTGCCACTCGTTTCAATGTCCACTTTAGCCTAATTTAGACATTATGGCATATGTTGGGCTGGATTTGCTAATTCAGAGAAGTGTGACTTTCAAAGGATAGCCACTGTTTTGGTTTGCCTATTGTTTCAGGAAACATGAAACAAGTCCACTTAATTCAGTGAAGTGTGTATACCTCTTAATTATCGCAAATATATCATTCACTCAATCACTACTGGCCTTTGTTCATGTCTGCGAGTCCCCAGGCAACCTATTTTGATTGCTTGCAAACAGGTTAGATTATATCTATTCCTCATGGAGCCTGCTGTTTGCAAGGGAAGAGGGGGTGGTTACAAGTTAATGAGCACTCCTCCTGATGTGATTGCTGGGAGTTTTTTGAAAACCACCGTGTGTGTTTTTGACCAGCTATTCACAAAAATTAAACCCAGAGGCCTTCAGCCGCTAATGCTCTACAGGCTTCAATTCTATTGTCTTTTGAAAAGACCAACCCTGGGTTGTATGACAGTAATCTACGCCAAAATCAGGGGGCTGTGAAACTTCAAGTCAAGGACCACTGATCTTTTTGAGGCCTGTGGGCATTATCTGCTGAACCAGATGCAGCCTGGTCTATATGCTTGCCGCAGGCCTTATTACAACAGTCCTGCGGGCGCCAGCAAAGGACTGTGTGCACGCATACAACCCCTGCACTAAGCGCACCGTTTTCTAAATAAAACTGCTTTCGTACAGCGCAGATGAGCTCCCCCCTTGCTTCCAAGTCTGTGGGATCAGGTCTCAACAGCTGTTAAAGACATCCAACACAACAGGCAGCCTCGTCTTATTAAATTTATTATTCCAGTGGTACTAATACATTGATTTGCACAATGACACCCATTTAGCAGAGAGGCTGCGGGCCTTCTAGCTTTTGCCCAACTAGAAAAGCCTCCCCCCCCCACTTTTCTCTCCCAATCCTAAAAGAAAATTCCTCCAGACTGCCCCCCTCCTCCCCATCGAATCCAGTATCTGAGTATGGAATGAAATTTCACGCACCCTTTTCTTTTCGGAAGTTTGCCTGTCCTCCCCAACCTGCAAACCAAGGGAGGAAAAAAACCCCCCTTCACTTGGCTCCGAGCGTCAAATAAATATGGAGACGGGCAACGTTTCAGTTGCATCAAATGGAAATGTATTTTTGGAAGTTATAATGGCACTGGGTGAGCGGCCCCGCTAGTTCGTGTGCAGACGGCCTGGAACCTCTAAGGCTGAATGCAGACACGGCTCTTTTTTAAAATCTGCCCCGAGACGGAAGATCAAGCAAGGAAGTGGCCCAATGCCTTTTGCAAGACACCTGCGGCACTGATGTTATTATGCAAGTTAAATTTGGAGTCCCACAACATACATTTTTAAATTTATTCTTTTACATCTGGTGTTGCATTTTTAATTCTGCTCGGTTGATTGGTTTTTACAATTTGTCCAGGAAGTTATCTAGTGCGGGAATGCCCTCCTTCAGCCCTTTGCGCTTGCGGGTCTCAGCGACCACCTGGCAGGGGCGGCTGGTGTTGTCGAACGGGTCTCCGGGCAGGATCTGCCAGTGGTCAAACACACACTGGGGGAAAGCCTGGCCACCTGTGTTGGATCTCAAGTCAGCAGTGAAGCCTGTGAAGAGAGAGGGAGAGAGAAGAGTTTATACTATAAAGCAAACAAAACTGTAAGACAGAAATACAGGTGTTCAAGTTTACCCACACACCCCACAACCAGCTCCTTGTCTTAGCTAAAAGCAGCATCCTGGAGGCATCTACCTTAATAAATAATATTAGTAATAATTTATTAATTTATACCCAACCTGTCTGGCTGAGTTTCCCCAGCCACTCTGGGCGGCTCCCAACAGAATATTAAAAGCACAAGAAAACATCAAACATTGAAAACTTCCCTAAACAGGGTTGCCTTCAGATGTCTTCTAAAAGTCAGATAGTTGTTTATTTCCTTGACATCTGATAGGAAGGCGTTCCACGGGGAGGGCGCTGCTACCGAGAAGGCCCTCAGAGTCCAAGCTGAACAATGGGGGTGGAGACGTTCCTTCAGGTATAATGGGCCATTTAGGGCTTTAAAGGTCAGTACCAACACTTTGAATTGTGCTCAGAAACGTACTTAAGAGGGACAGAAGTCTGCTACCAGGGCAAGACCCACTCAACTTTGTAGCGGCCATCTCAGATTAGCCTGGGAGACAACCTCTGATCGATCCTTCACACCTCCAGCTGCTGACAAAGGTTACCTGGAAGATGCAAATGCCAAGGGAGGCTGATAAAAGCTGTCACTTACCAAAGGACTCGTTGACAGGGAGATAGGCCTTGACCACAAACATGGGGGTGCCGGCCACCTGGGACTCCTCAAAGACGTGCCCCCGCTTCCTGTTCAGCACGCCATAGATGCCACCCACAACCTGTTCTGGGCACTGGAAGGGGAAGAAAGTGGGTATACGTTACAGCACTGCACAGAGTCAAGCCAGTGGGCTGCCGCCGCCTCTGAAGAACACAGCCTGCCTCCAGTTACCCACCTGGATCTCCACAAGGTAGATGGGCTCCATGAGGCGGGGCTGAGCCGTCAACACGCAGGCATAGAGGCACCTTCTGGCCGTGGGAATGATTTGGCCACCTCCGCGGTGGATGGCGTCCGCATGCAGGGTCACGTCGTGCACGTCAAAGCGGACGGCGCGCATGTTTTCCTCGCAAAGGGCACCCTGGAGAAAAGAGAGGGGTTGGGGGTGGGAGAGAAAATCATTTTCTAGTTTGCACTCAACCCAACTTTTCTGTCCTTCCTCTCTGAAGCGTAGTTTTTTTAAAATGCCATTAAGCACTCTGCCATAGCAGGCAAGAAGCAAAGGTAGGGCCAATGCCTCCTTCAGCTTATGGTCAGCCTTCTTCCTGCAAACTGTCAGAGCCAGGAGGAGGAGGAGGAGTCGCCCAGGGGGACCAGAGGATGGGAAGAGCGTGATCTACTAAGGGGCAGAGAATCGGAGTCTAGATATGACGGAGAGCAGCAACAACTGAGAAAGGATAGGCATAATATTTTACAAGGAAAGGAAGGAACATCATGGACAGAATAACTGTCACACACAGGAGGGATGAGGATATAGCTTGAATGCTTCACCTGCAGGTTATAAATCATTTAACATGTCACTATGAATAGATGTCGTTAGTACTGCAGTTGTTGTATAAGGGGCTGTTATTTTAACTGGAGTGTAATTGAGATGGGTAAGATTTTGGAACGCAGAAATAAAGCAAATAATCAAACCATCAATTCTAGCACACGGGAGGGCCACCTAAATTATTTAATTTGGCATCTGAATAATTGGAATTAGCAATTGTATATAATTTGGCGTAGGTATAATGAGGCTATTACTGGGTTATTGTAATTGAAAACTAATGAAGATTATTACTGTATTTTTTGCTCTATAAGACTCGCTTTCCCCTCCTAAAAAGTAAGGGGAAATGTGTGTGCGTCTTATGGAGCGAATGCAGGCTGCACAGCTATCCCAGAAGCCAGAACAGGAAGATGGATCGCTGCTTTCACTGCGCAGCAATCCCTCTTGCTGTTCTGGCTTCTGAGATTCAGAATATTTTTTTTCGTGTTTTCCTCCACCAAAAACTAGGTGCGTCTTATGGTGCGAAAAATACGGTATATATAAAAAGAGAGAATTGGAGACTAGAAACAGGGGAGATGCAAATATCCGTCGATTCCCTTTCCATCCCTGCCCCGCAGTAGAGTCGTCCCATGGAATCGGAAGGGATCCCAGAGGTCATCTGGTCCAACCTCTTGCAATGCAGGAATCTTTCCCCCTATGTGGGACCAGAACCTATGACCCGGAGGTTGAAAGTCTCATGGCAGTACCCATGCCCTCAGAGGGGGAACGGACAGAGCACCCAGCAGGGGGAAGGGGAATTTGGAGACGACACCCCCACCCCCCTCGATCAAGGAGGAGAAACGCAGGCAAGCAAAACACAGTAAGGAAAAGTGAACACCTGAAAAGGACGCCCCTTCGCAACTCAGGGGGAGGGGCAAGAGGAAATCACATATCAGGCTGATTCAACTTCTTAAAGCTGGAACACAGCCTTGAGGGGCTGAAGTGATAAAGCACTCAAAAGTTACAGGGAACCAGGCAGAGGGCCTGTGGAACGCCCTCCCACCAGATGTCAAAGAGGAAAACAACTACCAGACTTTTCGAAGACATCTGAAGGCAGACCTGTTTAGGGAAGCTTTTAATGTTTGACCGACTATTGTATTTTACTATTTTGTTGGAAACCTAGCCAGATGAGCGGGGTGCAAGCAATAAATTATTACAGTATTCGGAAACTGCAGCAAGTCTCTGCTCCGTTCCAAGAAGGCAGGACGCAGACAGCCCACCGCCCTGCGATAAGGGGCGCCCACTCTTGCTTACCTCCTTCGTGGCCCACTGGAAGCCTGCCACAACGCTGTCCTTGATTTCGTTGAGGTACTGCACACCCTTGGTGATGTCTGTCAGGATGTTGGGGCCAGTGCCGTCCGGGCCGAAGCACCAGATCTTGCGGGCCTCGGCCACGTCCCACTCATACTTCTCGGCCAGGTAACGGGCCCGTGTCTTCAGCTCCTGGCGGGCCGAGACGTCGCCTTTGTCGATGTCCTCAGCCAGGCCGTCGGGGAAAGGGCGGGCTTTCATGTACAGGCGGTTGTGCTTGTTGGGAGACTTGGAAAGGCACAGAACACTCGACTCCTCGCTGACCGTCTCGCGGTAAGAGACCACTGGGTCGGATTTCTGCCAGAAAGATTAAATATTAATAATTTTTAAGTCCCTAGCCGGTTCAAAGCCAATGCGGACTGTCTTTATTGCATCTTGTACATTGCCTTCAGATAGTCTGTAGCAATGGCTTTGTTTTTATTTATTATAATTTTTTAATTAATTTTCTGTTTTACAATTTGGAATACCCATTTTTTTACATCCTTAAGAGATCAATGACTTCCCTTCTTCTCTTTTCACGGTTTATAAATCCCTGCATATTTTACAAAAGCTATGCCATTCAGTATTCCATTATTGCATCCATCAAAACTTTTTGACACAGTTGAATTTATCTCAATGCTGACAGCGTTTTCAAGTGTACACAATTTTGACCGCGTATATTCAAAAAACGTTTTCCAATCTTCTCTAAACATACGCTCTCCTTGGCCTCTTATTCTATATAGAAGACATCTGAAGGCAGTCCTGCTTAGGGAGGCTTTTAATGTTTGACAGACTATTGTATTTTATTATTTTGTTGGAAGCCACCCAGAGTGGCTGGGGAAACCCAGCCAGATGGGCAGGGTATAAATAATAAATTATTAATTATTATTATTATTATTCATTCTAGTAATGCTCCTGAATACCACTTGCTGGGAACCAAGGGAGGGTGAGAGTGCTCTTATGGTCGGGTCCTGCTTGCCAGTGTCTTAGAGCCACCAAGACCGGGCTCGAGACTTGTCACGTGGTGCAATTACCGTGTTTTTCGCCCTATAGGACACACTTTCCCCCCTCCAAAAATGAAGGGGAAATGTGTGTGCGTCCTATGGAGCGAATGTAGGCTTTCTCTGAAGCCTGGAGAGCGAGAGGGGTTGGTGCGCACCGACCCCTCTCGCTCTCCAGGCTTCAGGAAGCTCTGCGCAAGCCTGGGGAGATCGGCACGACTTCCCGCCGGGCTCCGTAGGCTTGCGGATAGCAGGCTGTTCTGGGGGCTGGGGAAGCTCGGGCTTCCCCCGCGCCAGCCCTGCGCCTGGAGGGGGGGGATAATTTTTTTCCCCTTTATTTCCCCCCCAAAAAACTAGGTGTGTCCTATAGGGCAGTGTGCCCTATAGGGCGAAAAATACGGTATTTATTTTTAATGCAATACTTGGGGTTGTACCTGACTTAAGCCATATTCAGAGCAGAGCAAATGAAATCAATGGGTTGGTTTGACGAGCATGAATTGAAAAATCAGTGGATGCCAGTCACGAAAAATACGGTACCTTAATTGGAATGCAGGCATGGTCCTCCTCAAGATCCTTCAGGCAGATCTCCAGATGCAGTTCCCCAGCGCCAGCTATGATGTGCTCCCCAGACTCCTCAATGATACACTGGAAGATGGGGAAGAGTGAAAGGAATGAAACAGAAATGAGGCCCAGCCCAAACCGAGAAGCGTCCCCCATCCCCAAACCACAATGTGCTGCCCCCCTGTCATCTCCCACACCTAAAAACCCTTTGAAGGCCTCGGTGGGTGGCAGATGAAAATGATGGACTACATGGAATTGGCGGAAATGACTGGCGGAATCCGTGACCAGGGAGAAGAGTTGGTGGAAGAAGATTGGAAGAAATTCAAAGATTATTTACAGAAACACTGCAAAATTAATGAATGTTAGAGTGATGTTGGATTGAAGTTAAGTGGCTTCTAGCTGTACAGGTTTTAAAGCTATAAATATATCAAGATTAAGGATTAGGATCAAAAAGGTTAAGAGAAATGGAAAAATTGGTTCTAAATAGGTAAAAATCTAATGTCATAATATATTAAGATTTAGGACTGGAATTAAAAAGGAGGGAAAGAAATTGCTGGGCTTACAAACTGAATTGGAATACAAAAGAGGGAGGTATGAGGAAGTCCGGGAAACAAGTAAATGTAAAAGAAGTTATGGAAAGACGGAACTATTTTTAACTGTTTTTTCTTTTGTTACTTTTTTCTATTTTGTATGGTGTATTTTTCTCTGTTTTTGTTAAAAATTTTCTTGTTTATTAATGTGATTTTATTATTTCTGAATAATAAATATTAATTAAAAAAAAAAAAAAGGCCTCAATGGGTTTTCTACGCAGGCTAGCCACCCCGGCTTACCTGCACCATGGGGTCAGACTTGGCCAGCCTCTTCAGCCCCTCCACCAGCTTGGGCAGGTCGGCTGGGTTCTTGGCTTCCACGGCGACACGCACCACGGGGCTGACGCTGAACTTCATGACGCGCAGGTTGTGGGCGTGCTCAAAGGTGGTGATGGTGCCCGTCTTGACCAGGAACTGGTCGACGCCAACCAGCCCCACGATGTTGCCGCAAGGCACGTCCTCGATGGGCTCCACGTAGCGGCCCATCATGAGAATGGTTCTAGATTTAAGAAAAAAAGATTTTCTTAATTTACAAAAGTAGGTGCAATGTCTCTCTCTCCTCTCCAAGTAGCATTTTTTACAAATCATTTTCATTTGTTGAGACATTCGGAAGGAGGGGAAAGGGTGGGGAATGGGGGGGGGAAATTGTGGAGAAGTGGTGGGAAGGTAAAGGTAAAGGTACCCCTGCCCGTACGGGCCAGTCGTGTCCGACTCTAGGGTTGTGCGCTCATCTCACTTAAGAGGCCGGGGGCCAGCGCTGTCCGAAGACACTTCCGGGTTACGTGGCCAACATGACGAAGCTGCTCTGGCGAGCCAGCACCAGCGCAGCACACGGAAACGCCGTTTACCTTCCCACTATAAAGCTGTACCTATTTATCTACTTGCACTTAATTGTGCTTTCGAACTGCTAGGTGGGCAGGAGCAGGGACCGAAGACGGGAGCTCACCCCGCCGCGGGGATTTGAACCGCCAAACATACGATCGGCAGGTCCTAGGCACTGAGGTTTTACCCACAGCGCCACCCGCGTCCCCTGGGAAGGTGCAGGACAGCAAAAGCAGCTTGGGGGGGGGAGCGAGCTGGAAAGTCTGCTCTGGGGGCGGACTGGCATTCTTTTGGAATGAGCCACTGCCAGGGGGAAACTATTGACACATCCCCCCTCTCCCCAGGGACAGGTTATGAACATCTAAAGCAGGGGTAGGCAACCTAAGGCCCGCAGGCCGGATGCAGCCCAATCGCCTTCTCAATCCGGCCCACGGACGGTCCGGGTATCAGCGTGTTTTTACATGAGTAGAATGTGTGCTTTTATTTAAAATGCATCTCTGGCTTATTTGTGGGGCCTGCCTGGTGTTTTGACATGTGTAGAATGTGTGCTTTTATTTAAAATGCATCTCTGGTTTATTTGTGGGGCACAGGAATTCATTCGTTTCCCCCCCCCCAAAAAAAATATAGTCTGGCCCCTCAAAAGAATCAGCCCACGGCTGAAAAAGGTTGCTGACCCCTGATCTAAAGCACGGGCCGGCAAACTAAGACCTGCAAGCCGGATCAGGCCCAATTGCCTTCTGGATCCGGCCACGGACAGTCCGGGAATTGCCACGTGGATCGCCAGTGTGCATGTTCTCTCCCTCACACGGAGGCGGCGCCACCTCCCTTAAGCGGGAGCTCTCACTCAGTTCTCCTCTTCTCCACTCACTTAAGGCGGTGGCCTTGGAATCGCAAGTGTGCTAAACCCACTCATGCCCAGCCTGGTTATGTTTTCTAGCGCTACATGTAGCTGGGCTCTGCAGAACAGAATTGCTGGATAAGGTTGGATTTTGTTCTTGAACTCCTATATTCTTTTCAGCTGCTACTTCCTGCCACCCAAAGCCCACGCGAGCCTACGGACAGGGACGGGAAGCAAAGCCCGGCGATTTTTGAAAAACGGACCTCTGGATTGGCTTCAGGTAGAGATCTTCCTTCTTGCCTGGGGTGTAGTTTGGTCCCATAATTCTGCACTTCAGGCCGGTGGACACAATGCCCGAGAAGACGCGCCCAAAGGCATAGAAGCGGCCCTTGTCAGTGGTCGGCACCATTTTGGAGATGTACATCATCAGGGGGCCCTTGGGGTCGCAGTTCTTAATTCCTGGGGGAGGAAAGGGAAAAAAAAAACTATTTAAAGGCTCTAAAGGTAAAGGGACCCCTGACCATTAGGTCCAGTCGTGACCGACTCTGGGGTTGCGGCACACATCTCGCTTTATTGGCCGAGGGAGCCGGCGTACAGCTTCCGGGTCATGTGGCCAGCATGACTAAGCTGCTTCTGGCGAACCAGAGCAGCGCACGGAAACGCCGTTTACCTTCCCACCAGAGCGGTACCTATTTATCTACTTCCACTTTGACATGCTTTCGAACTGCTAGGTTGGCAGGAGCAGGGACCAAGCAACGGGAGCTCACCCCGTCGCGGGGATTCGAACCGCCGATCTTCTGATCGGCAAGTCCTAGGCTCTGTGGTTTAACCCACAGCACCACCCGCGTCCCATTTAAAGGCTCTAGGGGACAAGAAAAAACTGCAACCGTTTCTGTAAGGCCGCTTTCTTCACTAGAGTCAACCTCTTCCTGGGGATGGGGAACCCTGCTCGACTTCAGGTGCGCGGCTACCTACCCATGGCAGCTTCGTCGTCAGGGGGCCCTTCATACAGCAACTCGCAGCGGTACTTCTGAGCGGTGACAGGAGAGGGCAGGTGGATGGTGATCATCTGCAGCAGTGCATCCCCAGCCGGCAGCCAGCGTCTCATCACAGCCTGGGAAGGAGAGGGAGGCACCACGAGTTCAGAGAGGAGAGCCATCTAACCCAGTCACATAGCGAGGTCACCACGAATCAGAGTGGGTAAAAACCAATGGGTTTTTTATTTTAAAAAATGGGGGGGATTGCATTTTTTAAAATTTAAATTGGACTTTTAAATTAAAACATGCATGCATGTTTTTGTGGAAGTAAATCCCACCACGGTGGATAAAAATCAATTCTTTAAAAAAACTTTTTTTAATTTAAACTGGGTTTTTTTATATATAAATTGGATTTTTTTTATATAAATCAATTTTGTTGATTTGAATCGATTTAAAAAAAAAAAAAAAAAAGGATTTTTAGAAAATGCTTTTGGAGGAAACCCTTTCCAAAGATAGTGTTCTATTTAAGTTGCATTATAGTCCAAAGCAGGAACCCCCAAACTCAGCCCTCCAGCTGCTTTGGGACTACAATTCCCATCATCCCTGACCACTGGTCCTGTTAGCTAAGGATGATGGGAGTTGTCTCAGTCAGTTATATTGCACATAGCCAAAGGCTGCCGCAATGTACACAGAATTATTTGACAATTAAAAGAAAATATACTGAATTGGTAAAAAAAGACTTAAAACATTTATATTACTAAAACATTACGTACTCTAAACAAAGCTATAAAAGTACCCCAATGTACAAATAAAAACATTAAACAATAAAATTCATAAGCTAAAATCATCACATGGTCACTAATGTTAAAAACAATATCAATTAATACAGTGTACAATTTATACTCCAGTTTGGTGACAAAGATAGAGCATAGCCTGAGGTAGATAGATGGGATCAAATAAATTCATCTCCTTTACAGTTAATGGCTACCTTGGCTATACAATTTGCTCTAATTTTCCTAGCAGCAGTTGCAAAAAGTGCTACCCGCCAGGTCACATACTTATCTGTGTCTGCAAGGAGATATAACATCATGTCAAGGGGGTTCTGGCCAGGGGACCCTGTCATTATAGGTACCAAAAATCTTTTTCTTGCATCATTATATAACGGACAGTGCGAGATATAATGCATAAGGTCCTCTACTTCAGAACATCCCCTAATGCAAACACGTTCGTTTTTTGGTATGCCTCTGTGTCTGATGAGAGTAGTCCCAAAACAGCTGGAGGGCTGAGTTTGGGGGTGCCTGGTCCAAAGGCTATTCATCAGGAAATAAGGATTTGTTTTAAGTGTTCCATGTGTGCTAAAACTCTGAGCTTCTTCCTCTGGTGCCTACTGAAGGCTTTCTTACCCCAGCAGGGATTTTAACTTCTACTCCCCCACCCCACCCTTCCTAGGGCATGAGCCACCTGCCCCCTCACCTTCAGCAAGGGTTTCCCCTCCTTGTCTTTATCCTCGCTGTCCAGCTTTATGTCCAGCTTCTCTATCAGTTTGGCGGTTTCCTCCTTCTTGAAGTTCATGATCGCATCGAACACCTTTCAAAGGAGAAATAATTGCACAGACGTTAGGCTAGGGTGGGTGCAGCTCCCACAGAAGCAGCGGGTTATGTCTCCTGTAGCAATATTCCCAAAGCAAGGCAGAACACTTAAAACAGGTCATAAGGCTCCCTTCCAACAGGCGAGGGCAATACAGCTAAGGCACAAGTCCATTTGTATTTCACACTGTGCTGGCTGCCCTGACTTTTGGCTTAAAAAAAGCAGCAACTAAAATATCTACACTGTCTGTGCATAGGCTGCCACAGCAGATTCAAGGTTCTTTTGTTCATATACAAAGACCGGAACAACTAGGTCCTGGGATACATTAACGGGCACCAGAGCCTTCATATCCCAGACTTGATCATTGAGATCATCCGGAGGAAAGCTGTTCATTGTTCCCCCTCGTTTACAGAGGCTCAAATGACCACAAACAGAAGTCAAGCATCCAGTCCCATGCTGGTGAACACTCTTCCAGCGAGTACCCTCGTTTTTTTCTCAGGCGTCTCTTCAAGACATTATGACACCAGGCCTACGCAGCTACTTAATTTTCATTGGCTTGTCAGCTTAATAACCATCTCGATTTTTAAAATTTAACTCATTAAGACTACCTTGATATTTTCTTATATGGTGGGACAACAGAATCTGTACAGTCGTACTTTGGTTTTCGAACAGCTTAGCTCTCGTTTTGGCTCCCGAATGCCGCGACCCCGGAAGTGTTCCAGTTTGTGAACTATTTTTGGAAGCCGAACATCTGACTGGCTGCAGGAGCTTCTTGCAGCCAATCAGAAGCTGCACTTTGGTTTTGCAAGTCAAATGGACTTCCGGAACAGATTCCGATCAACTTCCAAGGTACGACTGTACTTCTATAAATAAAATTAACCAGAACCACCATTTTTACTTTCCTATTCCAAGTGCTTTAGGAGTTGGAAACCCCTCTCAAGTCTGGACCTTTACACAGAACCCTTCTACTGGTGCCAAAAGAAACTAAGGCACGACCGGGAGGTTCTCAGACATTTTATCAGGAGGTTCTGTAGTGTGGATTGGCAAACTCTGTCTGGGTCAGACCTACAAAAACTTCTTCAAACTTAACAAGTCAGGTCAAAGTGAAGAATTTTTTTCCATCATCATGCTCAGATCACGCCAGACCACAAAGAGAACCGAGCAACTCTACAGGGAAAACTGGGAGCGGAGTACATCACCTTGAAAATCGGGTCCAGGATCAGCTGGCAGAAAGTCCTTGGCAGCTTCTTCCCATCTGGGCTGGTGGCCGACTTGCTGAATTTGCCAGTGGCTGGGTCAAAGTACCTAGGGACGAAAAGGCATGTGAGCTTCAGCTCTGCAGTGTCTGGCCTGCCTACCACCTTCTCAGAGTACCCACCTAAGCGGGTGGCCTCCTGGAAGCTGCCCGCATGACCATCTTTTGGAAGAGCCAAATTTCTACGTTCCGAGGCCCCCAACGCCTTTGACAGGCTGCCGTTTCCTCACTTGCCCCCCTCGAAAGCAGTCAGCCTCCTCTGTGTCTTTTGCAGTCCTCCGAGCCTAGTTGGCGTGCTGCAAATTGACACTGTCTTGAAATCTGTGGGGTCTCGAGGGCTATGTATCCCCATTCTCTAGAGAAAGCTACATGCTTCACATGTATGGCCTGGATCTGACCCTTGGTGGCCAAGCCAAGTCAACAAATAGGGGACAATTTTCAGGACTAGTCTCAGGATTAAGCGCTTGCTCTGATCCTGCGTGTCTGCGGGGAGGTCAGCTGTAAGTGTTCTCCCGACAGCATTCCGACCTGCAGAGTGGATTCTAAAGGAGAGCCCCAGCTCCAGAAGCCTAAGCTGCTCTCACCTGTCTCCCCACAGCTTCTTCATCATGTCTTCTACTTTCTTGGCACGGTCAGCTGTGCTCAGCTGCCCCTCGCCCTTTGCTGCAAATTTCGCCACGTACATCTCGGCAAATTGCTTCAGCGTGAAAGCCCAGCCGTGCAAGCCGGAGCCAAAGCCGACGGTGCCCAGAACCGGATCAATCTGGAAGGCAAGGAGAAGAACACATCAAGGTATGGAGTTAAGGAGTCAACTTCCTGACGGGCTGGAAGCTCGTCTTTTAATACGTCATTATTATTTTAGCTGTTCTCAAAGAGGAAAAAACAAACCATGAAGGGTACAGACTCTGAAAATGTTTATTACATATTCAAGTTACAGAATGAAAGCTCACTTCAGCACTCCCTAAAAGTGAGGCTATTCTAAGAAATTTGGGCTAACTTCATATGACCTTTCCACAGAGGCAATGAAAATAAATGCCTGTGTGGCATGCGTTTTGAAGAAATAAAACATGTTCAGTTGGTAGAGCATAAGATCTCTTTATCTCAAGGTTTGAGCCCCATGTGGGCGAGAGATTCCTGTGTTGCAGGGAGTTAAACTAGGCGATCCCTTCCCACTCTACAATTCTAGGATTCTAAGCATTCTAATGCTTAAACATCAATACTGATTTTTCTGTCGCGCTTTGGAACAGACCGAGGTGCTCAAATGTCAATGTAACTGTGTTCTAGCGACCATTTGTGACATGCAATAGGGGTTATGTCCAATTCACACTCCTGAGTACAACCACTGAGGCCCTTTTCAAGGGAGATACAGTGGTGCCCCGCAAGACGAAAAACTCGCTAGACGAAAGAGTTTTCCGTTTTTTGAGTCGTTCCGCAAGACGAATTTCCCTATGGGCTTGCTTCGCAAGACGAAACGTCTTGCGAGTTCTTGAGAGTTTGTTTCCTTTTTCTTAAAGCCGCTAAGCCATTAATAACCGCTAAGCCGCTAATAGCTGTGCTTCGCAAGTTGACAAAACCGCAAGACGAAGAGACTCGCGAAACGGATTAATTTCGTCTTGCGAGGCACCACTGTAAAGAGGTTGGCAACCTTTTCAGCGGCGGATCCGTTTGTGGATCACTCTCCTCAGGGAAGAACACCATTTGTTGTCTTGTCTACGGGTGCCAGGCAAAATCACTTATTTTCACGGGCAATTGGAAGTGAAAAGTACATTTTGAGTATTTCATTTGTGTTTAGCACTCATTATATGCCCGGTTTTAATGGACTTCATTTCTATTCTCACCGCACAAGCTGTTCTGAGAAACCAGAGCACAAAAATGTGACTTGATTACTAATAATAATTTAAGCCGGTCGGAGCAGGCCCAATTTCAACAGGTCGACTCTGAGCATGATACAGCTGCTCACAGAGGTGAAAGGTCAAGACTGCACAGGGACACGGCCTGCCTTACCATAATGTTGCCCATGGGGCCGCCCTCGCCTTCCCCGTAAGTGGAGATGATGACGTTCACGTTCTCCACAATGCGCTGGAAGGTCTGGTACAGTTCCTCTGGCTGAAGCTGAAGCTCCAGCAGAGCCCGGTCCATTTTATTCATCATCAGGACAGGCTTGATCCTCTCAGCAATGGCCTGGCGCAGAACGGTCTCTGTTTGGACGCACACCCCTAGGAGGAAGAGGAAACAAAGGCTCAAGTCATCGCTATGGGGCTATGAGCACTTGGGGGGAGTTCTATGCCTATGGACACCCTTGCTTCCCTTCCATATGCCTATGCTCAAGTCATCGCTATGGGGCTACGAGCACTTGGGGTTAGGGCTGCGTCCTACGAAACTTCCTAATGCCGAAGGTGGGGCTTCATTCAGCCTATGGACACCCTTGCTTCCCTCTCCAGCCTATGGGGCGTACGGTCCTTCGGAGAGAGGCCACAGCAAGGGACCATGGCTCTAGGTCTCAAGGCAAAGGGGGACATCTCACCAGAAACACAATCCACGACGACCAAGGCACCATCGGTGACACGCAGGGCAGCAGTGACCTCCGACGAGAAATCCACATGGCCCGGGGAGTCAATCAAATTGATCAGGAAGCCACAGCCATCTTTGCTTTGCTTGATAAATGCCAAATCATTCTCCGCAAGCTCGTAGAAGAGAGAAATTGCCCTGGAGGAAGAAGATGCATAAATTCCTAACCGTTAAACTACCGTTTCACCACAAGAACCCCCTAAGGCCCTTCTTCACGTGCCTCCTCCATGAGTGGTCCGGAGGGTGAAAATACAAGAACGGAAAATACAAGAAGTGGCTCCCCATTTGTGGAACAGGCTCTCCTCAGGGAGGTTTGGCTTTAGGCGCCAGGCAAAAACGTTCCTCTTTAACCAGGTCTTTGGCTAATTGACATCCAATGCCCTTTTAAAGTGCGTTGGAGAGGGAAGGGAATTACTGAATTGTCATTATTTTAATTATGTATTTTGTGTTTTTTACTGTTGCGAACTGCCCTGAAATCTATGGTTACAGAGCAGAATGCAAATTTAATAAAATTATAATAATAATCCTGCCTTTTCCTTGAACTGGGACTCAAGGTTGCTTACACACATTAAAAGAAGACAAATAAAATACAATATACACGTATCGAGGGCCTATGGCTTGTCTTCAAAAGCACTGAATTAATGCATACGTACTTGAATTACATCAGGGGTGGCAAGTTTTACCTTTCCACTGCCAGCTTGAGATGCTTACAGCATAAATCAGCAAAATTTCAGACCTTTTCGAATCACAGAATTCTAGAATTGGAAGGGATCCCAAGGGTCATCTAGCCCAACCTCCTGCAATGCAGGAATCCTTCAACCAATGTGGGGCTTGAAACCATGACCCAGAGATTAAGAGTCTCAGGCTTTGCTGACTGATGTAATTCCCCCCTCCCCCACAGAGCTGAAATGCAGGAATTCTGCTCAACAGCCATCCTTGGGTGGGTGCAAACCACCAACCTCCTATGTGAGTTAAACCCCTATTTGAATCTCCCCCAGCCGAAAGAAACCTGCCTGAATGAGCCTTCTGCTGGGGATTCCTTTTCTGGAAGTTTTAGGAATAGAAGGGGGGGGGGGCGACTCTGGAAAGGACTTACGTGGACTTGATAGTGATGCACCTCTCCTGCTCATCTTTTCTCGTGTCGGTGAAACGGGTTTCTCCCGCACGGGCTGAGGCAATAATCCCAGCTTTGCAAACCAGCGAGTCTGTGAGGGTAGATTTCCCATGATCCACATGGGCGATCACTGACATGTTCCGGATGTTGGCCTTCTTGTCCATGATGGCCCGGATCTGGTCTACGGTGAAGTTCACCTGGGGCAACAGAAGGGAGGTTAATGTGGCTGCTTCAGAGAACAGGCCGTTCCTGGACTGCTTTATTGAAAGGGGGAGAGAGAGAGGGAGAGGAAGCACTGAGGTGTCATTCTGTACAGTGGACACTCGGGTTGCAAACGTGATCCGTGCAGGATGCACATTCTCAACCCGCAGCGGCGTCTATGCGCATGCTGCAATTTGGCGCTTCTGCACATGCGCGACCACCGAAACCCGGAAGAAACCCGTCCCAGTACTTCCGGGTTTCGGCGGTCCACAACCCAACCCAAAAAAACGCAAAAACCCAACCCCAAAAAACACAACCTGAAGCGTCTGTAACCCGAGGTATCACTGTATTAGGAAGCTGGCTATAACTGCTCTACGGAATTTGCCTCCAAACTTGGAAACATGTGGTTCCAGATCCTGCTTAGGGCAGGCCCACACCATACATTTAAAGTGCATCCAACACACGTGACTTCCCTCAAATAATCTTGTGAACTGCAATCCACCCCGCTCACAGAGCTACAACTTCCAGCAGAGGTACAATTCTCACAACCATTAGTGACCTACAGCTCTTAGGATTCTTTGGGAGAAGTCTAATATGGTGTGGATCTGCCCAAACTCCTGTTACCAATGAACCTCCTGCTTGCTGCAGTTGCAAGCATGACCGTTTCTCTCATAAGGCAAGAGGGAAAGGCGTTGTGCACGTGTTTCTCGTTGCCAAGCTGTAGCAGCTCTGAAAGGAGCCTAGCAATGAACCGTTTTGTTGCAAAGCATCAGGGTGGGCGAAGCACTAATCTGCCTTCCATCCCAGAATGCCCAGCCTATCCCAAACTAGAAAGAACTGCCCTTTTATTATCCTCAGTCAGAGTAGACAATACTGGACTAGATGAATCAGCAGCTTGACCTGGTATAATAAAGTACGTAACTTCACTGAGTCACGCCGGCCCCTCTGTGTGCCAATTCTGCTATTACAGAACAAACACAATTTTTTCCAAGGACATTAGAAGGCAAACATGAAGGCCTGTAGATACATTTAAAAAGACACACACAAGTCCACAAACATGTTCTCCATGGGCTTAAAAAGAAAAAAAAGGCACACAAAATCTTTCAAGTTGTACTGGGGATCGCCTCCACGCCCTCTTGTACTCTGAACTATGGAGTCTGGTTGAAACAAAACCACCCGTCGCAGTTCCTAAAACAGCACCCGCAGAACTCTAGTTTGGGTGAACAGATCGTTTCAGCACGAATCACCCGCGTACAGGGCTTTAGGGACGGGAGAAAATCTAATTCCGAAGTCTCTAGGCGTCTCCTCCCCGCCAAAGACCGCAGGGCTTACATAAGACGGCTGCTTTAACGCAGGGAAGAGAAAGAGAGTGAAAATACAATTTCCACTCTGCACGTTGCAGTACCTCCCTTTGGCCGAGATAACATCCTGGCATTCTTCCTCATACTCTGCCACATCATTTCACGTCTCCCCCCGCAACAGATATTTTTACCTGCCAACCAAATATATTCTGATGCATACAGAGCTCTGGGATTCTTTAGTTTTCACTGTGATTCCCAGATCTATTCTCCCCTTATTTGGTAGCTCCCCAAAAAGAAGTCACCCCTATCTTCAAACGTACACAGAACTCACCACGGCTTGAATATGTCATCCCGTGACCCCCTTCCATCCATTAATTTCTTGTTATTACATTTAAACCCCACCTTTCCTCCCGGGAACTGAGGGTTATGTACGTGACCCTCTCCTTTTCCACTTTTTTATCCTAAAAACGCTGTGAGGTTAGGCTGAGGCCATGGCGAGGCTCAAGCCCACCCAACACAGATTTTAGGAATATAGGGAGTTAGGACCCTTGACATGGATGTGTACATACTACATACATTAAGCACGCATTGCGAAGGAGATGTAAAAATGAAATCCATCTATTTGCCCTAGCATATCCTCCAATCCAAAATTCTTTTTGTATTTGAGAAGGGGGGGTTAGGCTTATTCTGCCGCAAAAACAAGGGGGAGGAAAAATAAAGGGGAACCCTTTTAAAAAATAAAACAGCGAGTATAGAAATAAATAAATGCTACCTTAAACGGTTATTTTAAAAAGAGGTTTGTATCCACCTAAGTGGAACCTATCTGAAATTGAAGGGCCCCGAGTTACCTATCAGTTTAATGAGCCTACTCTCGAGTAGGACTAACATGGGAAAGCAACGCGGGGTTTTTTGGGGGGAGCCCTCTCCCACCCACGTTATTAAGGACCAGCTCAAAGCTCAGGAGCCCCCTATTTTTAATTTTAATTATTTTATTATTAGTGCCCCTCTTTTCACCCCAAATTCCCCGGCCACAACATTAGCAGGTTTTACAGTATATAACAGAGCCGCTTTAGTTTTGGTTCGCCCTTTTAGCTTATCTGCTTCCTTTCCAGGCCTCTTCTAGGCCTGGGCCTCTTCTCGCTCCCGGCCCCGCTCCCTCTCCGTAGGCCTCCGACCCCACAGCAGGCCCGGCGGCCTCCCCGGAGCCTAAGCCGCGCTTCCCCCGCGGCCTTACCCGGCCCCGCATTTCGCCCCAGGCCCCCCGCTCCCCCTCAGCCCAACCCCAGCCTCCGATGCCTCACCATGTTGGCGGATGGCGCCGGATTCTCCGGAGGCGCTTCAGAAGGGGCAGGGGGGAAAAAGAAAGGCCGGCAACAATGGCGGCGGCTCGGGTAGCCCTGTCTCGTTGGCAGGGGCCGAGCGGGCGGAAGAGGACGCTGACGTCAACGAGCTGCCTTTTATAGGAGCCGGCAAGGGGCGGGCGGCGGCTCGCAGGGGGAGGAGGAGGGGCCTAGGGCAGGAATCCGGAACACGGCCGCTCTAGCCCCTTCGACGCAGCTCTTTGATCTTAGAGGCGGGAAAAGAGGACGGAAGGGAGAATAGGAAGGTACTTTGGACGGTTTTCGCGCCTGCGCAGTGCGAACTTTTTGATCAATGCGGAAGTGAGCGGGCACGCTGCAGTCACGTGGGTACGGTCCCTGATTGCAAAGGGGAGGTGATGAAGAAACTGCTATATTTTTTATTTATGGCAATAAAGGAATCATATTAGCACTGGTTTTTATTTTGATTTCTGTGTGGTTATTGTATCCCATTCGCAAGCATTTTATATTTTAAAAATAATAATGCTCATTTGTAGCTATTTTCATTTTTTTAAAAAACCTCTATTTAACCTAGACAACGTCTTAAAAAGCAGAGACATCACCTTGCCAACAAAGGTCCGTCTACTTAAAGCCATGGTTTTCCCAGTAGTGATGTATGGAAGTGAAAACTGGACCATCAAGAAGGCTGATCGCCGAAGAATGGATGCTTTTGAATTCTGGTGCTGGAGGAGACTCTTGAGAGTCCCATGGACTGCAAGAAGATCAAACCTATCCATTCTGAAGGAAATCAGCCCTGAGTGCTCAGTGGAAGGACAGATCCTGAAGCTGAGGCTCCAAGACTTTGGCCGCCTCATGAGAAGAGAAGACTCCCTGGAAAAGACCCTGATGCTGGGAAAGATGGAGGGCACAAGGAGAAGGGGACGACAGAGGACTGGACGGGATGGTTGGACAGTGTTATAGAAGCTACCAGCATGAGTTTGACCAAACTGCGGGAGGCAGTGGAAGACAGGAGTGCCTGGCGTGCTCTGGTCCAGGGGGTCATGAAGAGTCAGACACAACTAAACGACTAAATAACAACATTTTTTTGTGTGTCATTTGACTTGCCTTTTGCAGCCAAATTGTTGACCATCGCCTAGAGAGGACTAGCTCTAGACCACGTTAAAAGCTTACGCGGCAATAAAATTCGTTAGGTGACCACAAGACATTTTTTCACACGGCTGTTCCTTGGGGAAATCACTGCACTGAAATGCCAACAACCCCCAACTACTGACCATGCTGCTTGGGGCTGATGTGTGCTGGGTACTGGACTCCCAATTCCTGCCTTATGGCTTGTGGGGGGGGGGCAACTAAGGGGCCAATTCACCTGAGCCCCCCAGCTCTAAAGGGGCCTCAAACTTAAGACACGCTTTAACATTATTTTTTGGCATTTGATCGGTTTTGCAGATTGCTTTTCAGATTTGGCGAAAGACGCAATTATTTTGTTAACGGATATAGACCTTGTCATATCAAACAAGTTTTAAATGTTCCTAAAAATACATGGGTTACGATGGCACAAGGTTAGTGTTTTATTAGCGTGTCATCTCAGGCCAGTTGATAAATGGCTGCGTTTCCCCAGCCACCCTGGTTAGCTCCCAACAGATTATTAAAAACACAATAAAACATCAAACATTAAAAACTTCCCTAAACAGGGCTGCCTTCAGATGTCTTCTAAAAGTCAAATAGTTGTTTATTTACTTGACATCTGATGGAAGGGTGTTCCACAGGGTGGGCGCCACTACTGAGAAGGCCCTCTGTATGGTTCCCTGTAACCTCACTTCTTGCAGGGAGGGAACCGCCAAAAGGCCCTCAGAGCTAGACCTCCATGTCCAGGCTGAACAATGGGGGTGGAGACGCTCCTTCAGGTATACTGGGCTGAGGCCGTTTAGGGCTTTAAAGGTCAACACCAACACTTTGAATTGTGCTTGGAAATGTACTGGGAGCCAATGAAAGTCTTTTACAACCGGTGTTATATGGTCTTGGCGGTCACTCCCAGTCACCAGTTTAGCTGCCGCATTCTGGATTACTTGTCGTTTCCAGGTCAGCTTCAAAGGTAGCCCCACGTAAGCGCATTGCAGTAGTCCAAGCAGGAGATAACCAGAGCATGCACCACTCTGGGGAGACAGTTTGCGGGCAGGTAAGGTCTCAGCTGGCGTACCAGATGGAGTTGGTAGACAGTTGCTTTGGACGCAGAATTGACCTGTGCCTCCATGGACAGCTATGATAAACAAACATCTCAAGAGTTTTATTTTTGTGTGTGCCTTTTGTCTGCATGTCGTCATCTATAATTATGACTAAGGGCCTTTACAGCTAAGGTGAGCTCTCTGAGAGGGGCTGCTGGAGCCGGACCAACCACATGCTAGAGAGGAGTCCCAGGGAAGCCTCATTCTCCATAGCTGCCGTGCCATTTATTAATCAAGGATACAGAAACCTGTTCAGCCAAACTCCACACAGGAAAACCCTCCCCAGCACACATGAAAGTACGAGCATGACTGGGGATTGCAAGAGGTTGCAGAAACAGGGAAAAGGCAAATGGAATGGTTTCAAAAGATGAGCTCACCCCACCCCAAAGCATACAGAGCCTCTCAGATCAAAGGAAATCTAAGGCTCCAGCCACCATGAGTAGATCAGATGTGGGGACCCTTTGGCCCTGCAGATGTTGCTGAACTACAACTCCCATCAGCCACAGCAAGCATGGCCAACTGCCATGGATGGTGGGGCTTGTAGTTTATCAGCATCTGGAGAATCAAAGGTTCCTCAAACCAGCTTGAGACATAGGAAGCTGTCTTAAGATCACAGAATTGCAGAGTTGGAGGGGACTCTGAGGGTCATCTAATCCAACCCCCTGCAAATGCAGGGATCTCAGCTAAAGCATCCATGACAGATGGCCATCCAACCTCTACTTAAAAACCTCCAAAGAAGGAGAATCACCAGCTCTCGATGGAGATAGTTCCACTGTCAAACAGCTCTTACTGTCAGAAAGTTCTTCCTGATGTTGAGTCGGAATCTCCTTTCTTATAACTTGAAGCCAGTGGTTCGGGTCCTAGTGTCTGGGGCAGGAGAAAACCAGCTTATACTAAGTCTGCCAGATGTGGCTGTACCACAGGCTCCATCACTCCTGACCGCTGGGCCATGTTTCCTAGGGTTGACAGAAGTTGTATAGTTCAGCATTATCTGAACATGGAGTCAATAAACTAGGGACAGGGGCTGTATCTCTCTCAAAGTACCGCCAGATCAAAGAAACAAATGTGAAGGGGAAGATTAGAAGACACCCACACACACCCCATTTACAGTACTCAGAGGCAGCTGTTTGGCTATTTGTTCACAACAGTACTCTAGAACAGGGGTCAGCAAACTTAGCGCGCCTCGGGCCGGTGTCTCCAGTGCCAATTGCGCGGTGGGCCGGAGGAGTGCGTGCCCATATGCGTGCACACACGCTATTTTCAGAGCACTTCTGGGTCGGAGCAGCACCGGAAACAGCTTGTGCGCATGTGCATGGGCCTCCTCCGACCCGGATGTGCACTGGAAATAACGCTTGTGCATGCGCACAAGCTATTTCCGGTGCTCCTCCGACCTGCAAGTGGGCAGCTGCGCAGTGCAGCGCCGGTAAGAGCGGGTGGCGGCAGCGGGCGTCACCACGGACTGGATAAACGAGTCCCTCAGGCCTTATCCAGCTCGTGGACCTTAGTTTGGTGATCCCTGCTCTAGAACTAGTTTTGTTCCTGCAAGACAATTCTTACCCATGTTCTTCAGAAATAAACCAACAGCTCTAAATCAACTAAATCTAAATCAACACTAAACAAAACACACATGTTCAGGAGGAGGATACCAGAAGGTGGGGTTCAAGCAACAAAAGACTCATCCTGCTTGCAAGGCCTTCCAAACCATTGGGTTGTCCACTGCTGGAAACAGGACATTGGGCTAAGACGGAGCTTTGAGCCGACACATCGCAACAACTTCAGGCATAAGTGAAAGCAGGTTAAAGTGAAATCTTTCAATTCATTTTATTTAACAAACACTATACTTTTGAATTCTGAAGAATGTGTATTGAAGGAAAGAAAAAATAATAATTTCTTTTCTTTACACACACACACACACACACACACACACACACACACACACACAAACAGAAAAAGGAGGGGAGGGGGGGAAAACCAGGACAGGGATGTTAAGCAAAAACATATGTACAGAATGGAAATCAGGAAGGAAGGAAGGATGCGAAGTCTCAATGGACAGTGTCTGGGATGGGGATGGGGAGCCAAAGAAGTTTAAGCACACAAATTATAATCCTGAGGGAGAGGAGTGGGACGAACTACTGAGTGGCTGAGGAGGCAAGCGACCATCATCTGTACAAGGAAGGACCTTTGCAAAGCCTCAGTGGATCTGGAGGTCTCGTGTGTGCGCGTTTTAAAAACTGCAAACGTATTGCTTCAGTTTGAGATGTTTGACCGGGTGCGGGGGGATATGGATAGATAGATAGATATAGATATATATATATATATAGATATATATATATATATATATATATGGTAATATGGGGGAGGAGAGCGGGGGGGGGGAGTGGAAGAGCCAGGAAGTTTGGATGACTTCCCACACCTCCCTTCCTGCAGCCATCTTTTCTCTACATCAGCTTCCAAGGGACTGGGGCAGGGCTTCGCCCCCGCCGAGTGCTGTTTATCCCAGGGGTCCTTCAAGAGCCCTTCACCAGGCATGGGGGCCGTCAGTAGGGTGGGATGTTCAGGGGGAGAGAAAATCAACTGACAAGAACTACTTGCCACGACCCAGCTGAACTCCTAAGCGCTTTGCTTCTCCTTGAGTGAGGTCCTATACAGCAACCGTTTAGGTCTGGGGGCTTCTATAAAATACACTTGAACTGGCTTTTCTTTAAAACACCCTGGAGAGGGCTTTCTTTCCCCCATGCCACGCGCAGCCTGGAAAAGGGAGACAAGAGACGCACGCTCGGCCTGGAGTCAAGGAGTTGCCATTTCTCTGTTGGCAACACCTCCCTGGGGCACAGTACTTTGGAAGAGGTATTGCTTTTTATTTTATTTTTTGAAAACGCAACGCTCAAGAGAAGCACCACTGGTCTGGATATAAAAAACGATGACGGTGCTGTTCTCTCCAGCTTCATGGGAGAGAGCAGAAGGTGGAGGTGCCTTGAACACACATCATGGTTTGGTTTGGTTTTTCTGGGGGCGGGGGGACAGCAAAAGCACCCCGCATTCCAGGTTTGCTGGGCTGGCGGACGGACAACAGGTGGGAATGGCAGGAAAGGGGGGGGGGAAAGGTAGGGCAAAGGAAACAGGACAAACTCCCCCGAGCCACCAAAAGGAAAATAAAATCCTGGGCCAATTCAGTTTTCAGAGTGTGCAATAAAAGCCCACCTTGCACTGTCTTGGCCTAGTGTAAACGCATGAAACCAACAGACACACTTTTCCTTGCATGGGGTTACTAGTAGTGCACCAGCTCCTGGGCAGAGGGTGTGTGTGTTTTGTGTGTGTGTGTGTGTGTTTGTGTGTGTGTGTGATATGAGGGGCGAGCGTTTCCTCGCTTGCCAGCAATGAAAGTCAAGAGCAGGCGTAGGCAAGCGTTCCGAGGCCAGGCAGAGCAGAAGGGGGCAATATTTAAAAAGAGTTCACGGATACACGAGGGCGTGCGCTTTGGGGGAACAGAGGGGGAGACGTATCAAAGCAGCTGGAAGTCCATAGGCAATTTTTAAAAAGACAACAGTCACCTACATGCTGCCCACCACCACTTCATGACTGAGCTACACCTGAATTTCTGTTTGTTTGTCTTAAAACCGAGGTAGTTGGGTAGAAACAATAATAATAATAATAATAAAAAGTTCCTCCACCTGGCATTTCTGTTCCGGAAAGGGCCATTGTGCCCCCTCCCCAAACCCGCCGGCCCGTCCACTCCTAGCCCACCCCCGCCCCCTGGCAAAAAAGCTGTTTTGTTCCCCAAAACACCCGACTCAAGCTAAAGCCCTGGTGAGATTAAAGAGGGTGTTGGGACGGGGAGACACACAGCCCTTTTCGCCTTCCAAAACACACCAAGTTATTGCACTTCAAAAGAAAGGGGAAAAAAAGACAACAGGTTTGTGGTTCAAGCCCATTCCGCATTCCGACCCCTCCCCGTCCCCACCTCCCACCTCCCCAATGGCTTTGTTCAACTTAAAAAAAGGGGGCGTGGGGAGTAACAGGGAATCAGTATGTAAGAATTCTACATTATTTTCGGAAGAAGCTAAAAAGAGTTCTTTACATGAGGTTCTCTCCCGAGATGCTCCAAGGAACTCTAAGCCATCTTGGTTTCAAAGTCTAGGTCCATCTTTCACCGGCTCCCCTCCCGAAGCCCTTTCCTGACGTGCCCATGGGACGGGGGGCAGTGGAGGGGGGACCAGGGAAACCTGCTGGTTCTAGGAGCCTCCGGGCATCGACGCGAAGGGCAACAAACACACAGCACTCCCTTAAAACGTCCAGCGAGGGGTTTCGCACGTGTCAGAGAAAGGGAAAGAGAGAGAGAGATTGAGGAGGAGTCAGGAATGGTTGTCGAACAAGGCAAGACCAGAGACACATGCCGCTTTTGGGAGGCCCAGAAGAGTTCAGGTTGCCCGCCGGCGCTCAGACATGCTCCGAGCAGCTGGCACCAGGTCATCCAAGAAGCAACGGGGGGGCGGAGAGGAGAGCAGGGGGTCGGGGGCATGAGGAAGGAGAGGAGAGCCAGTGGCCAATTCCCGACACGACTCCTCCATGCAAGAGAGGTGTGTGCCGTCCCGGCCCTGATTCTCGAGGCGGTGCAAGCTGAGCTGGCGAAAGACCCCAGAAAGAGGATGGCTCGCCGGGCAGCGTCTTCCAGCCACGCAGGAGCTCCACCAACGTCACCGGCATACCCTCGCCCCCGGCAGGCCTTCTTAATTTTTTTCTTTTCTTTCTTTCTTTTTTTTTTAAAAAATTCACTTGGAACTGGGAAGTCACAGGGGGCAGCTTTGCAAGAGGGCGAGATGGAGGGGGGAAGGGAGAGAAAGCCCCTCTTCCCACGTCTGAATAAGCACCAAGGTATTCAAGCTTTTCCCACGCAGAGGACCCGGAACGCCCCCTGCAGTCAGCAGGCGGATGCCAAGCCATTCTTGTATAGGCGGGGCAGTTTCCTTTTGGGTCCGCCGTCGTCGTCCTCCTCTTCGTCGTCATCGTCCTCTTCCTCGGAGGACGAGCTGTCCAGCGTCAAGTCCACCACGTCGGCGGGGACCTTGCCGTTCTCCACGCTGGGGGCGGGAGGCGGCACACCGTTGGCCTCCGAAGTGCCTCCTGGAAGCAGGGGAAGGAGAACCGGGGAGAATTAACATGCATTATTATGTTAATCATTATCATCATCGTTATCATCTTCCTAAAGTAGGTATTTCTATTAGGTACAGTGGTACCTCTGGTTGCGAACGGGATCTGTTCCATAGGCCAGTTCGCAACATGACAAGAGTGCAAACTGAAGCGTCGTATCTGCGCAGGTGCACGGCGCAATTTGGAGCTTGTGCGCATGTGCAAAGCGCGATTTAGCGCTTGTGGGGGGCCAGACTATATTTTGAAGGGGGGGGGGAATGAACAAACTCCTATACCCCACAAATAACCCAGAGATGCATTTTAAATAAATGGACACATTTTACTCATGTAAAAACACGCTGATTCCTGGACCGTTCGTGGGCCGGATTTAGAAGGCGATTGGGCTGGGTCTGGCCCCCGGGCCTTAGTTTGCCTACCCATGGTCACGTCCTTCAGTGGGTCTTCTCTGATCAGGCAGGAGTAACGTTGGGTGCAGCTGAAACTTTCAAAGCTCTGCGGCGCCAGGGTTACTGGCCCTTTGGTCCCCGTTTAGGAAGGAAACACAGCAGTGAGCAGCAAATATGTTTAGACTCACCTGTGGACCCACCCACAACTAGAATTGGACACTGGGGGCTGTAGCTCCTCTCCTTCTCTGCTTTGATAGGGCACCAGGAGCCGTCCACCAAGTATTCAATCTCGTCGGCATCTTCGCATTCCGTCAAGATCTTCGACAAGAGCCTGTGGGGGAAGAGACAGCACAGCTGCCAATTTAATTCTGAAATGTGTCAAGTATGCACTTCCAGAGTTCTAGAGTTAACGCTAAATACAATACTTCAGGTAAATGAAGTCACCAGAGGGCCATGAAGATTTGTGTCCCGGGCTTTTTAGACTTACCTACCCATGTACTGGGGATGTGGGTGGCGCTGTGGGTTAAACTACAGAGCCTAGGACTGCCGATCAAAAGGTCGGCGGTTCGAATCCCCGCGATGGGGTGAGCTCCCGTTGCTCGGTCCCAGCTCCTGCCAACCTAGCAGTTCGAAAGCACACCAAAGTGCAAGTAGATAAATAGGTACCGCTCCAGCGGGAAGGTAAATGGCGTTTCCGTGTGCTGCTCCGGTTCGCCAGAAGCGGCTTAGTCCTGCTGGCCACATGACCCGGAAGCTGTACGCTGGCTCCCTCGGCCAATGAAGCGAGATGAGCGCCGCAACCCCAGAGTCGGTCACGACTGGACCTAATGGTCAGGGGTCCCTTTACCTTTTACTCATGTACTATGTGAAACCAAAGGAGCACATTGGTTGCCAGATGTGAAATATATGCCAGATGTGAATGATTAGGTTTATCATTATGTTTTTAAATGAAGATCTTGGAGATCTTGTTAGAAAGCGACACATCAGTATCCTAATTCCTCACACAAGGCTTTGCCTCTCTTTAAAGCCCAGAGATGGAAAGAAGACAAAGTCCCTACCAGAGAAGAATGACAAACTAAGCTGTTGGTCTATGCCGAAATGGCAAAACTTGACGAGGAAGCTCAGGAACCAAGAAGACCGAAACTTCAATAAAGAATGGGGAGAAATTATAATTTACTTGAGAGACCACTGTAAGCAGATAAAAACATTAGCAGGTTTGCACTTGCAATGTAGAAGATATTATGGATCAACTGGAGAGACATAAAATTTGGATGGTGAAATAATACACAGTTGAAAAGGTTTATATTAGGACCCATGGAGGGGCAGGTGGGAAGCCTAGAGATTCGGAGAAGTCTCCAAATATGGATATATATTTGTTCTGCCCGGACACTGAGGTCCAGCTCCGAGGGCCTTCTGGCAGTTCCCTCGCAGCGAGAAGCCAAGTTACAGGGAACCAGGCAAAGGGCCTTTTGGGTGGTGGCACCCGCCCTGTGGAACGCCCTCCCACCAGATGTTAAAGAGAAAAACAACTACCAGATTTTTAGAAGACATCCGAAGGCAGCCCTGTCTAGGGAAGCTTTTAATGTTTAATAGGTTATTGTATTTTAATATTCTGTTGGAAGCTGCCCAGAGTGGCTGGTGAAACCCAGTAAGTATTATTATACTTGTAAAATCAAATAAAAATTATTTCAAAATAAATAAAGTGCTGGGCACGTTTAGCCAGGAGGAGAGAAGACCGAGAGGTTAAGTGAGATCCATCTTCAAAGATCTGCATGGTGGCTGCATGGAAGATGGAGCAAGCTGGCTTGCTTGTCTGCTGCTGTTCCAGGGGCCAGGAACCAGACCAACGGATTCAAAGGACGAGAGATGAGATTCAGACAAAACACCAGAAAGAACTTTCGAAGAGGAAGAGCTGTCTGACGGTGGATTCGCTCAGAAGGCGGTGGCCTCTCCTTCCTTGGAGGTTTTCAAACAGATGGCTGTCCATCAGGCAATTCTTCCATTATGTTCCCTGCATTGCAGGGGCTTGGACCAGGTGGCCCAACTCTGCGGCTCTGTTATTCTAAGGCAGGCCTCAAGACCATAGCTGTCAACCGTCCCTTATTTGGCGGGAAAGTCCCTTATCCCAGCGCCGTGTCCCGCTGCTGTCCCTTATTGATGATGTCCCGGGTTTCAAAGGAAGCAGCTCCTCTCCCTCCCTCCCTGCCGGCCAGGGAGGAGGGAGGCTCCAACTGTGTTGCTTGGCTGCGTTGCTCACCCAGTAAGGGGCCTAAGAACGACTGGGGGGTGGAGCTTGCATGCCTTGTGCCGATCAAATCGGCCGCCTTGCCTGGGGACTCGCCTTTGCTCAGCGCTTCCCAGCGGAGAGGTGACGGTGGTTTTCCTTGCTGCATCCCCTTTGCCGGGTTGCTGCGCTGTGGGAGCCACCGCTTGAGGCTTCGTTTGGCTGCTGGCTGGGCTTTCTGCCTTTGGCTCGGAGGGGCTCCGAAGTTGAACATACCTGTGCTCTGAAAATCCCTTATTTCGGCTGCTGATTCCTTATTTTCAAATCTGTAAGTTGACAGCTATGCTCAAGACACACACACACACAGAGGTAAAAAGAGAGACCTGCTTCCGATGAGGCAATCAGCTCAACTCACCCATCAATCATCAGTTGGTCGTAAGTGGCCGGTTTGTCGCAAACTGGGCACATCCAGGTGGGCTTCTTCTCATTCATCTGCAGGTAGAAAACGGCGTCGAAACACTGGAGATGAGCGCAGGTCTCGGCCCGACACGGCACCGACAGACGCATCTTCACAAGCTTTGGAGAGAAAGGTGAGGAACGTTATGAACGGCCTTGCTCCAGTGTACCTGAAGGAGCATCTCCGCCCCCATCGTTCTACCCGGACACTGAGGACCAGCGCTGAGGGTCTTCTGGCGGTTCCCTCGCTGCGAGAAGCCAAGTTACAGGGAACCAGGCAGAGGGCCTTCTCGGTAGTGGCGCCCGCCCTGTGGAACGCCCTCCCACCAGATGTCAAAGAGAACAACAACTACCAGACTTTTAGAAGCCATCTGAAGGCAGCCCTGTTTAGGGAAGCTTTTAATATTTGATGTATTATAGTATTTTAATTTTTTTTTGGAAGCCGCCCAGAGTGGCTGGGGACCCCAGGCAGATGAGCGGGGTATAAATAATAAATTACTATTATTATTATTATTATCCATACAGAAAACACTGGCCTGCGTAAGCGTCTAAGTGTTCCTTATAAGCTAAACCCTGAGCTAAAACAGCTGTTCTCCCAGCACCTGTCCTCCAGTTAAAATATATGGCTTTTAACTCCACATAAAAGTAAAGCAGAAATTATTATTATTATTATTATTATTATTATTATTATTATTAAGCCCCAGAATGGACCAAAAGGAGGAAGGCCTGGGGCAGCTCTTTTGGCGCTCTAGGAACCACTGTCAGCCTGAGGGCCGCACTTGCTTCTAGACAGCCTCCCGGGGGCCACCTGGTGGTGGTAGGCGGGGCCTGAGCAAAGGTGGGCGGAGCAACAGATGCAAATGTATATCCCTTTGTATAGAAGGCTAATTCCTACAAACACACACCTCTCCAAACTCCATCCAGGCAAGGAAGAGGCCTTTTCAGAGTTCAATGGCACATTCTAGCCATATAGAGGCACTCAAAGAGAGTGCAGAGCGGTGGGGGGGGAGGGCTACCCCCTTTTAAAATTGGGTGGCGCTGTGGGTTAAACCACAGAGCCTAGGACTTGCCGATCAGAAGGTCGGCGGTTCGAATCCCCGCAATGACGGGGTGAGCTCCCGTTGCTCGGTCCCTGCTCCTGCCAACCTAGCACTTCAAAAGCACGTCAAAGTGCAAGTAGATAAATAGGTACCACTCCGGCGGGAAGGTAAACGGCGTTTCTGTGCTATGCTCTGGTTCTCCAGAAGCTGCTTAGTCATGCTGGCCACATGACCCGGAAGCTGTACGTCGGCTCCCTCGGCCAGTAAAGCGAGATGAGCGCCGCAACCCCAGAGTCGTCGCCGACTGGACCTAATGGTCAGGGATCCCTTTAAGGACAGGAATATGCCTTTGCTGAGCAAAGCCCAGCTTCCAAAGGGAGGATGGAAGACTCAATAGCCTCGAGGAGCTTGAAAACAGTAGAGATCTATTTATTAAATTTATATACCACCCTTCCTCCGAAGATCTCAGGGAGATTCCCAACAGGGTTGTTGTGGAGATTAAATGAGGAGTGGGGGAAACCAGGCATGCCACCTTGATATAAATGGGATAAGCAAATAATAAACGTTCCAAGGCTACTGGACTTAAGGAAATCTTAAAAGTGTCAAAGCATCTCCTGCAATGGCACCTTCTCACCAATCAGCTGTTCCCAAGGCATGTGAGCTGTGCTGTGGCTGCCACCTCTAAACGCACACACACAGAGCGAGCGCTTTACAACACAACATGGATCACTTACCGGGCATATGAGAGACACTCTGACACCAGTGGTGGCGATTTCGCTTTCTGGATCCAGGCGAAGCTTCTCTTTAACTACAGTTGTTGAGTCGGGGGGAGAATATGTGGAAGAAGAGAAGAGAGGGAACAAAGCGGTGGTCCTTTGTTAGTGACTTTCACCATTCCCCAGGGAACGGAGAAATCGGGCAGTGGAAGAATCTTTCTCGTTCCCTCCCTCGACCTGCTTCTGCCCAAGACAAAGGGCCCCCTAGACAGGTGTTTTACGGCAGGTATACTCCACAACGTGTTTTTTGGCACAATCATTGTGAGCTAGGGGTTGGGTTTGTTATGATTTATCGGTTGTGCTGAGGCTCCTCCCCAATAGCATGCTGTTCAGAGGGGCTACAGTGATATTATAATAATAATAATAATAATAATAATAATAATAATAATAGTAAATAATTCATACCCTGCCCATCTGGCTGGGTTTCCCCAGCCTCTCTGGGCTGCTCCCAACAGAATATTAAAAACACAAATACAGTGGTACCTCGGGTTAAGTACTTAATTCATTCTGGAGGTCCGTTCTTAACCTGAAACTGTTATTAACCTGAAGCACCACTTTAGCTAATGGGGCCTCCCGCTGCCGCTGCGCCGCCACTGCACGATTTCTGTTCTTATCCTGAAGCAAAGTTCTTAACCCGAGGTAATATTTCTGGGTTAGCGGAGTCTGTAACCTGAAGCGTATGTAACCTGAAGCATGTGTAACCCGAGGTACCAGTGTAACATCAAACAATAAAAACTTCCCTAAACAAGGCTGCCTTCAGATGTCTTCTAAAAGTCTGATAGTTGTGTATCTACTTGACATCTGGTGGGAGGGTGTTCCACAGGGCGGGTGCCACTACCGAGAAGGCCCTCCGCCTGGTTCCCTGTAACCTCACTTCTCGCAGGGAGGGAACCGCCAGAAGGCCCTCGGAGCTGGACCTCAGTGTCCAGTCTGGACGATGGGAGTGGAGATGCTCCTTCAGGTATACTGGGCCTTTGAGGCCGTTTAGGGCTTTAAAGGTCATCACCAGCACTTTGAATAGTGCTTGGAAATGTCCTGGGAGCCAACGTAGGTCTTTCAGGACCAGTGTTATATGGTCTCGGCGGCCGCTCCCAGCACAACACACATCGGCCAGAACATCTGCGGCATCAAATGTTTGCAGGATCTTGGCAGGAGGATACAGGATATGCACCGACTGGGAGTGATAGAACCGTGAGCACACAGGATTGAGAATGCACGGTTACAGTGGTACCTCAGGTTAAGTACTTAATTCGTTCTGGAGGTCCATACTTAACCTGAAACTGTTCTTAACCTGAAGCACCACTTTAGCTAATGGGGCCTCCCGCTGCTGCCGCTGCGCCGCCAGAGCATGATTTCTGTTCTCATCCTGAAGCAAAGTTCTTAACCCAAGGTACTATTTCTGGGTTAGCGGAATCTGTAACCTGAAGCGTATGTAACCCGAGGTACCACTGTACTTAACAACACACCCTGTAGAGTTCTATCTGTGCTATTTTATCCACACAATCAGGACAGATTTCAGGAACCAGAGAGTTGCACTGAAGAATACAACTTCCTAGTCGCCTGGCCTTCCCAAATGGCAACTAGGGCAATCTGTTTTGGCAACTGCAACACTGGTTTAAGGAGCCATTTTGAACCTCGTTTACATACCTGGCTCAGGGGCGGCGAACCGGCAGCCTTCTGGAGACTGCCGGATTGCAACTCCCGATCTGCAGAACTCCCTTCTTCATGTACCGCCCCCCCCCTCCACAGGAGCACGATACTCTTAATTTCAGGGCCGTGGGTTCGAGTCCCATGTTGAGAAAAAGATTCCCGCATTGCATGGCCTTCGGGGGTCCCTTGAGACTCTACGATTCTACAGAGAAGCGTGCCAACTCACCAAGTGCCTTGCACAGCTCTGGGTGCTTAATGCCGATTACTCTCAACCTCTGGAGCAGCTCTGCCGACGTCATCTGTCTCACGAGGAAGAGGCCCACGGAATAACTCTGAAGAGTGGGATGAGAACAGAGGGTTTGTGAGAAATCGCAGGGCAGGGAAAGCTTCCTTGGTCTTTCAAAGCAGCCCTCCTATCACCTTGCAAAGGATCCTTCCTGCGTTTCGGTTCCTGTGTTACCGTCTTTCCCCGAAAGTAAGACATCCCCCGAAAATAAGACCTACCGTGTTTTTCGCTCCATAAGACACACTTTTTTCCTCTTAAAATCTAAGGGGAAATGTCTGTGCGTCTTATGGAGCGAATGTGTGGTCCCCTGGGCTGGGGGGGGGGGACCTGGGCTTCCCCCACCAGCCCCACAAGCTCTGGGAGCAGCGGGAAGGCTGGGAGCAGTCAGTGACGGGCTGCCCTTCTCCCTCCTCGGGGAAAAGCCTGCAAGCGCCGCACACACGCTCCATGCGGCTCATGAAAGGGATGCATACGGGCTCTGCTCAGCGCTCCCTTTGAATAATATTTTTTTTCTTGAACTCCCCCCCCCTAAAAAAAGTAGGTGTGCCTTATGGTCAGGTGCGCCTTACGGAGCGAAAAATTACGGTACTTCCAGTTTTGGCTCTCGCTGTAATATAAGGCATCCCCTGAAAATAAGACCTCCCCGATAATAAGGCCTCCCCCGAACATAAGGCCTCCCCGGAATATAAGGCCCCCGACAGTGGCGTAGCGTGGGGGGTGCAGGGGGGGCCGGGAGCAACATCTGGGTGGGGCGCGCTCGCACTCGCAGCTCTCTGCCCCTACCTGGCTCACTCACTCTCTCTCACTGCAGTGCTGGCTGTGCGAATCCGATCCGAGCCGCTGGGTCGCCGCCCACTGTGGAGGCGGTGGGTGCCAGGCGTGCGGTGCGGAGAGAGAGCGAGGGACTATCTGGGGGAGGGACAGTGCAGCGGCCGCCCAGCGCAGCGCTGAGCGCGGGAGAGAACCACACCACACCAGACCAGGCAGCAGCAAGAAGAAGCTGGCAGCGGCGGCAGGTTAGGGGTTAGGGGGCGCAAATTACTTGCCTTGCCCCAGGTGCTGACAACCCACGCTACGCCGCTGGCCCCCGAAGCTACCATAAGGCGTCTGACTCCTCTGGACCGTAGCGGCAGGTGCCGCCACGCAGCTCACTGATTGGCCGCAGTGCAGCAGGAGCTGTTCAGGCAGTGCGAGGTCTCTTTAAATCAGAGAGCCTGCGCCACTGCCAGGATAAGCTGCTGCCTGCTGCTTGCTCTGGCTGACTCACAATTAGACAATAAATGTGCACCATATTCTTCTTCATGGAAAAATAAGACACCCCCTGAAAATAAGACCTAGCGCACCTTTGGGAGCAAAAATTAATATAAGACACTGTCTTATTTTCGGGGAAACAGGGTATTATTTGAACCAGGGGAGGGGAACCTCCAGACCTAGCGGCAAATGCAAGCCCTCTAGGCCATATACCCTCCTGAGCCACACCTCTCATTGGCCTTGCTTTGCCCACCCGCTCCTTGCGTATTCGTGCCAGGCTAGAATGTGTTTCCTGACCATGCTTCCTGCTTTCCTGGGTGGAGAAACGTGAGAGCGACGGAACTAGCTGACTGCGCAAAGGCAAAATTCGTATCTCCTGCTCCGCCCATTACTGACCCTCTCAGGGCGTGCGATCAAGAGAAGATGCCTGGGTGCCTGACCTCTCCACCATTTGGAGGACAATGCCTGGAGATCCCTGGATCTTCAATGTTTTGACAGTATTATCACATCCTGTAGAATTCTATCAGCTATACAATGGTACCTTGGTTTACGAACTTAATCCATTCCGGAAGTCTGTTCTTAAACCAAAGCGTTCTTAAACCAAGGCGTGCTTTCCCATAGCAGATTTACAATTTGCAAATGGAACACACTCAACATGTTCTGCTTCCAAGGCAAAGTTCACAAACCAAAACTGTTGTGGTTCTGGACAGTTAAGAGTTAACACTCCAGGAAGCGTTCTTATTCACTGGGTACATTGCTCACATGACCCGGGCATTTTCCTTCGATCTGTGCTCTGTTGGGGCTGAGCTCTCTTTGGAGAGCAGTCTGTCTGAGAACGTGAGCAAGACAGTTGCATTTTTGTTAGACAGAAAGCTGCAAGCATGCAGCTAGATTCTGTAGGTTTTTCTTTTCTGTTTTTGAATGCTTCTAAAGAGCGTCAGAATAGAAGCACTGGTGTCAAGCTGAATTACTGGAGGCATCACGTCGACAGAGACCATAGCTGTCAACTTACAGATTTGAAAATAAGGGACCAGCAGCTTCGAAAATAAGGGATCAGCAGCCAAAATAAGGGAACAACAATTACTTTGATAAAATACATATTTTGTCGCGTGCAAATGGCTTTAGATACCTATTAGGTCCATAAATGACCATATAGCATATATTCAACACACAAAAAAGCAACAATTTGTTGTTGACAAAGCACAGCTGGACCTAGAAAGGGCCCCATTACCTTCAGTAGCTTATTTAAGGGACATCATCAATAAGGGACAGCAGTGGGACATGGCGCTGGGATAAGGGACTGTCCCGCCAAATAAGGGACGCTTGACAGCTATGACAGAGACAAGCCATTTTACGCTGCGTGTGAACCCTGCTATCATCCTGCAACTGAGAAGAGTGGCAGCGCGCGAGTGGAAGCATGTGGGCACAATTGGAACTTTGTCGGAGTGGCAATAAATCATGTTTATTACAGGGCCGTTGCAGCAGATTCAGTGGGTCAAAGGATTTATGACCCACAAACTTTAACAAAAGCACCTCCTTCTGGGTTTGCAGCGTTCTTAATCCAAGTTGTTCCTAAACTAAGTTGTTCTTAAACCAAGGTACCGCTGTACTTCATCTGCACAATTGGAATGAATTTCAGGAACTAAAATGCTTTTTCTGTGCGGCCTAAGCAGGAACAGGGAAAAACCTCACAGTGAATTGCCGTCGCTTGTCTTCGCTTAGCCCAGCCCACTGCCCTGCTCACAGCTGTGAAGAATATTCTTACATTATCAGTGGTCTGGGTCACCATTGAAAAAAAGAGGCCGGAGGAAGCCAATATACAGTGGTACCTCGGGTTAAGAACTTAATTCGTTCTGGAGGTCCGTTCTTAACCTGAAACTGTTCTTAACCTGAAGCACCACTTTAGCTAAGGGGGCCTCCCGCTGCTGCCACGCCACCACCACGCAATTTCTGTTCTCATCCTGAAGCAAAGTTCTTAACCCGAGGTACTATTTCTGGGCTAGTGAAGTCTGTAACCTGAAGCATCTGTAACCTGAAGTGTCTGTAACCCAGAGTACCAATGTATATGTGGACTGTCCTAATTAAACCTCACAATAATTTCATAATTATCGGTCTATGTATTTCTAATAGTATAACCAAATCAGTAATTTTTGATATAACTGTAAAAAACGTCTCTGGAAATTTATCATTCCAAAAATGAAACCTTCATCTGGTTGTAAATGTTAAGCTTATACTAACAAGAATGAGTCTTTCTGGGGAAAAAAAAAAGATTTAAATCAAGCCTTACTGACTAGAGATTTAAATCGCGATTTAAATCAATTTGATTTAAATCAGGGTTCAGCAAACTTTTTCAGCAGGGGGCCGGTCCACTGTCCCTCAGACCTTATGGGGGGCCAGAGTATATTTTGAAGGGGGGAAAAAGAACTAATTCCTATGCGCCACAAATAACCCAGAGATGCATTTTAAATAAAAGCAAACATTCTGCTCATGTAGAAACCCCAGGCAGGCCCCACAAATAACCCAGAGATGCATTTTAAATAAAAGGACACATTCTACTCATGTAAAAACACACTGATTCCCGCACCACCCGCGGGCCAGATTGAGAAGGTGATTGGGCCGGATCCGGCCCCCGGGCCTTAGTTTGCCTACCCATGATTTAAATCAAATCCACTCTGTTCTGAGCCAAGGTTGTGACAGTCACACAAAGGGTGGCCAATCAGCACTTTGCACAGCCGGCTTCTTAAAGGAACAGGGAGAGTCAGCAGCTCAACTCAGTTTTGACACTGGCACACCTACCGAAAGAGGGAGTGGGCGTGCATAACCACACCCGGGCACAGATGAAAACACGTCTGCATACGCAAAGCAGGACAAACATATAAGGGAGGAGGAGAAGAGGGGCAGCGGCAATTTTGCGACTGCCCGCCCAACTTGCCCCGCACCTTTCCGTAATTGCCCCAGATGACGGTGATGCGGTTGGTTGCGGAAGACAGGTACATGAGGTGAGTGAGGTTGATGGGACGACAAGGCCGCTTGGGCTCCACACCTGGTTTGTTGGAGGGATAATAGCCCTAGAAAGAAAGAGAGAGAGGGAGAGAGGGAGAGGTGTTTGTTTCGTTGCCAGCAAAAGACACAAATCACGCACACACCCGAAAAGCGGGAAGCAGCCAATGATGTAAACAAAGAAGAAGAAGAATGCATCTCCAAGATGCCTGTCTTTTGCTAAAGTTCTGCTCAAGAACCTTCAAGGGCTTATTTGTTTCTCTGCAATCTGCTCACAAACCGTCCGTTTCAAAGACCCTGCAGGGCACAATATTCCCAGCAAGGACATTGAGGAAAAGCCACCCCAAACTGGATGCAGCTGGATATAATAATGTAATAGTAATAATTTATTACTTATACCCTGCCCATCTGGCCGGGCCTCCCCAGCCACTCTGGGCGGCTCCCAACAGAATATTAAAAACACGATCAAACATTAAAAACTTCCCTAAACAGGGCTGCCTTCAGATGTCTTCTAAAAGTCAGATAGTTGTTTATTTCCTCGACATCTGATGGGAGGGCGTTCCACAGGGCGGGCGCCACTACCAAGAAGGCCCTCTGCCTGGTTCCCTGTAACCTCACTTCTCACAGGGAGGGAACCGCCAGAAGGCCTCGGAGCTGGACCTCGGTGTCCGGGCTGGAAGATGGGGGTGGAGATGCTCCTTCAGGGATATTGGGCTGAGGCCATTTAGGCTGCAGGCTTCCTCAACCTCAGCCCTCCAGATGTCTTGAGACAATTCCCATCATCCCTGACCACTGGTCCTGCTAGCTAGGGATCATGGGAGTTGTAGGCCAAAAACATCTGGAGGGCCAAGGCTGAGGAAGCCTGGTTTAGGGCTTTGAAGGTCAGCGCCAACACTTTGAATTGTGCAAAACTCTGCCCCATCCAGGGAGGCTGGCTATGGTTGAGGACAAAGTCTTGGCCTGGAGAAAGCGGTGGCAGCTTTCACGTCTGCAAATGATGAGACAGCCCACCCTCCATGCTGCTGACGGATGGTAACACCAACGGAAGGCAGCCCATCTCACAAAAAATGGGCAGTGGACACCCCTGTCCTCTTCTGTACGAGTTTCAGAGGATTTGGGTTGACTTACCGGGACAGAACAGTAACTATGGTTCACTTTCACAGCGATGTTTGGGGGATACTGGTCTTCCTGAGGGCACCTGGTATCTGTGTAGCAGATTCTGCGGGGGAAAGAAAGCAAAGGCTCTAGACCAGTCGTTCCCATGCTTCTTTGCTCAGTTCCACAAACCCATCCCCAGTTCCCTCTAAAAAGCGTTATTCAGAATAGCGGTTTGTAAACTCCTGGACGGTTAAGTCCAGTCAAAGGCAACTATGAGGTTGTGGCGCTCATCTCGCTTTCAGGCCGAGGGAGCCAGCGTCCCTGCTCCTGCCAACCTAGCAGTTCGAAAGCACGTCAAAGTGCAAGTAGATCAATAGGTACCGCTCCGGCGGGAAGGTAAACGGTGTTTCCGTGCGCTGCTCTGGTTCGCCTGAAGCGGCTTAGTCATGCTGGCCACATGACCCCAGAGTCATCCACGACTGGACCTAACGGTCAGGGGTACCTTTACCTTTACCTTTACTTCAATATGTGTAGGAAAATGAGAGTACAGTGGTACCTCATGTTAAGAACTTAATTCGTTCCGAAGGTCCGTTCTTAACCTGAAACTGTTCTTAACCTGAGGTACCACTTTAGCTAATGGGGCCTCCCGCTGCTGCCACGCGATTTCTATTCTCATCTTGAAGCAAAGTTCTTAACCCGAGGTTCTATTTCTGGGTTAGCGGAGTCTGTAACCTGAAGTGTCTGTAACCTGAAGCACCTGTAACCTGAGGTACCACTGTACGCCTAAACATTTTTTTGGAAACACTGAATTAGCCTCTGCAAATGTATCAGAGGCCTGTGCCCCAGGCTGTGTACACTGCAAAAAATAACCCTGTGAACTGTAGTTTGCCCACCACACAGCTACACCTCCCAGAAACCTTGACAAACTGCGGCTTGTAAGATTCTCTGGGGGGAAGCCATGTGACTTAAATGCACTGTACGGAAGCAGCCCCGGTCTCTTGGAAACCTAGCCGTCACCTTCATTTTTTTAAAAAAATGATATTTATTAAGGTTTCAAAGAAAAGAATTACATAAATAAAGAAGAAGGGAAAAAACAAAACAAAAAAAAGACAAAAATAAAAATACAAGAAAAATACAAAATACAGAAAAAAGAATAAAAAACACTAAAAAAATACATCAATCTTTCCATGCCTTACATTCATTTCCTTGCTTCCCTGACCTCCTCATACCTCCCTTTTTTGTATTCCAATTCAGTTAGTTAATTCAGCAATTTCTTTCCCTCCTTATTTTATCTTAATCCTTTAACTTAATATATTATAACTTTGGATTCTCACCTGTTAACAGTCCATTTTTACATACACCTTTATAACATTGCTGCTTAAACCACTTAACTTCATTCTAACATCATTCTAACATTCATTAATTTTGCAATATTTCTGTAAATAGTCTTTAAATTTCTTCCAATCTTCTTCCACCGACTCTTCTCCCTGGTCTCGGATTCTGCCAGTCATTTCCGCCAATTCCATGTAGTCCATCACCTTCATCTGCCATTCTTCCAGAGTGGGTAGATCTTGTGTCTTCCAATACTTTGCAATAAGTATTCTTGCTGCTGTTGTGGCATACATAAAGAAAGTTCTATCCTTCTTTGGCACCATTTGGCCGACCATGCCCAGGAGAAAGGCCTCCGGTTTCTTCAGAAAGGTATATTTAAATACCCTTTTCATTTCATTATAAATCATCTCCCAGAAAGCCTTAACCTAGCCGTCACCTTCAAAAGCTCAAGGCTCTTCCTCGCGATCAGGCGTGGCCATGGAAAACAAGCAGATCCACAGGCAAGCTGCGACCTTGTGAATCAGAAGGAGCTTTGAATTAGGAGAGGGAGACTGGGGTCCAGGGAACCGCTATGCAGGGAAGCCGCTTGCAAGTTTGTCAGCCAAGGATCTCTTCCGATGACGCCACTGCCTGGCTTTTGTAATATTCCTCCCCCCACCCACCCACTGCCCCCATCTCAGGGGCTTTAATTAGCAGCCGCAGCGTTCAGACTTACCTGAGGACTACCTGGACCGATCTCACACCTGGTTGCAGCTCCCTGCCAAATGAAAACAAGACAAACATCCCCTCCAGGTTAAGCATCTGTGTTCACAGAGAAGGGAAACGTTTATCGCAAGAGTAATAAACCCAAGACCGACCCCAGGATTTTTCAGCGGGGACACGGGGGGGGGGGGACACCCACAAGAATTTTGGTTTTTCAGCTTAGATTCTGTTCTCTGACGTTGTTCACTGCTAATTTGCAGACCAGAGGCCAAAAGCTCTGCTGGAGGGTTTGTCACTTGAACGTGGGACAATTAACGCAAACGCACTTCGGAACAAATGTCACAAGATGCAGCCATAGCAAAGGGGTCCCACTCTCAGGACAATGCCCGAGGGTCAACTGCGGGGTGTTGTCTGCCCACCGGCTCCAGATTCCAGCTTGCGAGACCTGGAGAAAGGCTTAACCCAGGTAAAAACCCCAGCAGGGAAACAGGAAGTCTCCGGTCAAGGGGAAACCGGATAGGGAAAGGCTAGGAACCCCAGCAGAATACCTGGAATTTCTGATGAGCTCCACTTGCCTCGGCGTCAAGGCAAAGACACACGGGCTCTCCTGTAGCTTCTCGTTGTTCTGCGGGACTGCACACAGGGAACAGAGAAGGAGGTCAAGCAAGCAGGCGGCCTCGAGGAGGGAGACAAACGGAGCAGAAAACTGGCCCTCTCTCCGAAGCAGTCTTATGCAACAGAACCAAAATCGGCTCAAGGCTTGCCAAATCCCTGAACTGCAGCCTCATGGGGCGGGGGCGCAGTGGCACAGGGCGCAGGGGGGGAGAAAGGGAAACCATGAGCTTCTTTGCAAGCTTTTGGGTTGCCTCCTGTCTTTCAGAAGGACTTCAAAAACTGGGGGGGGGGGGGATTCATACAGCAAGATTTATCTAAATGTTGTAAGGACTTTTCCACTGCAAGCTGCAGGGATTGTAAGCAACAACGCTTTCTATGAAGGTGAACAGCCTTCCTGCAAGTGTTCCATTTAACGAAGGGTGCATGCCACAACTAAAGCATCCGTGACAGATGGCCATCCAACCTCTGTTTGAAAACCTCCAAGGAAGGAGAGTCGACCACCTTCCGATGGAGTTCGCTCTGCTGTCAAACAGTATCTCCTGTCTTGTAACTTGAAGCCATTGGTTCGAGTCCTACCCTCCAGAGCAGGAAAAAACAAGCTTGCTCCCTCTTCCATGTGACAGCCCTTCAGATATTTGCTAGGGGAATGGAACTTAGCTGAAGACAAGCCAGTAATCTCCGTAACTTGGGGTTTTGTGGTTCTATCAACAGCAGCCTAAAATCCTATCTGCAGCTGCACCGGGAGGGTGTGCGTATGATTTATGCACTCCGCTCAGCTGAACGCAACAGGGCTCTCATGTGTTCACGTGGAATCCCTCGCACAAGCCGTCTCAGAGAGCCCAGCACGTTTTTGGAGTCAGAGCAACAAATAATTTCTCAGAGGACATGCAGGGCTCTCGGCTCCTCCTGCAATCAAAACACTGGCGTTGCCTCAGCCACTTTGCTGCAAACCTTTACGCACATGAATTTTTCACCACAGGGGGAAACGAATTGGGAGATGCCCCCACCCCTGCAATCATCCCTTGAAACCCCAGTTCCAACACCCACCGGGCCCTCTGCCTTCGACAAGAGATACTGCTCCGTTAATATGATTGAATGGCAACTGCTGAGAGCCACGTTGGGGGGCGGGGTGGGTTTCTTCTGCCCAAAAAGTGGGATATAAATACAGGGGTACGTTGGTACTTGAACGGCTTGGCCACTGAACAAATCGGCTCCCGCAAACCCAGAAGTGACTGTTCAAGTTTCCAAATGTTTTTTGGAAGCCGAACATCTGGCGCAGCTTCCAATTGAGAGCAGGAAGCTCCTGCAGCCCATCAGAAGCCGCGCCTTTGTTTTCAAACCGTTTTGGGAGTCGAACGGACTCCCGGAACGGATTCAGTTCGAGAACCAAGGTACCACTGCATGCAAAACAAATCTGCAGGCAGAAAAATGCAGACAGTCATATTAATTCAGCGTGGGAGAGGAGACAACCAAGAACAGGGAGAGGGACATGATACCTTTAATTGAGATCAAGTAAATATCACAAGACCACAAGTAGCTTCCAGACGGCACCCAATTCAGCGTGATGCTACAACAGCAATTCTTAAGAGAAGGGGTGGGAAGAAACAATAAACAGCTAAGAAGCCTTCTGAGACATCCAACCTCTTAGCCTTAAGGGGCGGTTCAGAAAGTTATCTGCAGACAAATCCACTGCCTTATGCAGAATCCGACCACTGGCGCATTTCAGTCTCCTCCAACCTGGTGCCCTCCAAGTGGTTCTGGACTGCAACTCACATCAAGACAGTGGTCAAGGCAATGTAAATCCAACAGCAACAGCAGGGCACTAGGCAAGAACTACTGTGGTAACACGTTGTCAGGCTTTGAAAGTGGTGGCGCCAGTGTTGTGGAATGTCCTCCCTGATGAACATCTGACCCTTGGCTCTTGACCGCTCCCTCTTTAGACAAGCATTTTCCTGACCTCCCGACTCGACTCTCCTGCTTTGATTGTAGTTGCAACTGACCTTATGGGAATTTTTATTTAATAACTGGTGTTGTTATTTTCCCATTGGCTTTTAACCTGCTTGTGAACCACCTTGGTATTCTTCTCCTTGAAATGAATTCTTTCTTTCTTTCTTTCTTTCTTTCTTTCTTTCTTTCTTTCTTCCTACCTACCTACCTACCTACCCTGCCTTTCTCCCTAACAGGACTCAAGGCCGCTTACAGACAAGAATAAAAACCGCTAAAAGCATAGAAAAATAACTGTTTAAAAAAATTTATACAATGATAGAATTAAAGCTATATGGGCTGAAGATGGCAACAAGTAAGGCTTCTGGCCCTTGCGCTCCATGCTCCTCCATGCTCCTCCCTGGTTTTCATTTGTTTTAATGTTTAATAGGTTCAAAGTCAGTTGAGTCAGCAGTTAATGGTAATTGCAGCAGACAGGCAAGGAGCATTTCTGCTTTACTTTTATGTGGAGTTAAAAGCCATATATTTTAACTGGAGGACAGGTGCTGGGAGAACAGCTGTTTTAGCTCAGGGTTTAGCTTATAAGGAACATTTAGACGCTTACGCAGGCCAGTGTTTTCTGTATGGATAATAATAATAATAATAATAATAATAATAATAATAGTAATTTATTATTTATACCCCGCTCATCTGCCTGGGCTTTCCCAGCCACTCTGGGCGGCTTTCAACAAAATATTAAAATACAGTAATGCATCAAACATTAAAAGCTTCCCTAAACAGGGCTGCCTTCAGATGTCTTCTAAAAGTCTGGTAGCTGTTGTTCTCTTTGACATCTGGTGGGAGGGTGTTCCACAGGGCGGGTGCCACCACCGAGAAGGCCCTCTGCCTGGTTCCCTGTAACTTGGCTTCTCGCAGTGAGGGAACCACCAGAAGGCCCTCAGCGCTGGACCTCAGTGTCTGGGTAGAACGATGGGGGTGGAGACGCTCCTTCAGATATACTGGACCGAGGCCATTTAGGGCGAAAGATTCCTACGTTGCAGAGGGTTGGGCTAGATGATCCTTGTGGTCCCTTCCAACTCTATGATGCTATGATTCTACGATTCAAATCATGTCAAGAGCAAGAACCAGGGGCAGCAGATTAAAAGCCGGGCCCTGCAACCACTATGTTGCACCACCCAATATGGTTTTAGGGACAATGTGCCTAGCACATGAGCCAAATCAATCTCATATATAATCCTCATAATCCCCAATCTCATATTTAAACCGCCAATGAAGGACAAGCTACATTAAATGGCTCTTGGGCTCCTCCTTCGGACTTTTTGCACTTTTGCAAACGGTTTTTGCACAAACCTGCTGATCCCTCCCTCGTGTGTGCATTGCCATTTTGTACATATACACAGAGGCACTCACCTCTGAGCACTGGAAGTGGGGGGACAAGGGACCCTGTATCATTTCTGAAATATTGTAAACTGCGTTGGGAAGGTTGCGTACCTGAAAAGTGGCGGTTCAGTAATAAAACGCAGTCCCTTCCTAACTCCGCAGCTTGAGTTTTGAATAACCTCCACAGGGGGCGGGCAGGCAAGTAGCTTCCTCGCATGTAGAAAAATAGCCGATCAGGGTTAAGGTTTCAGTGCTAGGCTTCTGCCCCACATGTAGATTTTCTACATGACCAGTTTACCTTTGATATGCAGAATGGGTAATTGATATGCTCTTGGGGTTCCTTCCAACCATACAATTCTATGGTTCTACGAAAGTCTATCACGTCTTTCTGTCTTCCAAGGGTATTGCGATTAGTGCTCAAGAACAAAGGTGATTAACCACTGGTGTTTAGGGACACAGGACGCTGCCTAACACTGAGCCAAACCACTGGGTCCATCTAGGTAATATTTTTACTATACTGACTGGTTACAGCTCCCCAAGCAGCGTTCGAAATTAGCCATTTTGAACCTGGCTTTCGACTGCTTGCAACAGAGTGAAGATACCTGGGTGCCAGGATGGCGTCTGACATCTCCACTATCTGGGGATCATTGGATTTGGACTGCTTTCACACACTAACACCACACCCTGTAGAATTCTATCCGTTCTATTTTATCTGTACAACTGAAACGAATTTCAGGAACCAAAATGCTTTGCCTGTGCAGCCCGAGCAAGAGCACGGAACGACGTTATAATTAATTGTTTTCGCTGGTTTTCGCTTACCCCACCCCACTGCCCTGCTCACAGTTGTGAAGAACATTCCTACGTTACAAATGGTCCATGTCACCATTAAGAAAAAGAGGTCGGAATAGGCCAATATATAAGCGGAATGTCCCTGGATCGAGTGACTTTTCTTCTTTCAGTTCTCAAAGCTCTTCAACAAGGCTGCAATCTGAACGAGCCAGGTATTTTAACTGATAATCAATCACAGTCCAGTCCATCACTTGAAAAATAAAACTTCAGAGCCATCTTGCCCCAAAACGGCAACTAGACATTCCGTTTTGGCAACCGTAACCTTGGTTGAAGGAGCCAGTTGGAGCCTAGGTTATATATCTGAGTTGCTAATGCTGTAAGTTTTCAGACAGTAAGGGTTAGGGCATGGGTAGGGAAACAAAGGCCTGGGGGCCGGATCTGGCCCAACCGCCTTCTAAATCCGGCTCACGGACGGTCCAGGAATCAGAGTGTTTTTACACGAGTAGAATGTGTGCATTTATTCAAAATGCATCTCTGGGTTATTTGTGGGGCATAGGAATTCGTTCATTTATTTTTTTTCAAAATACAGTCCGGCCCCCCACAAGGTCTGAGGGACAGTGGACCGGCCCCCTGCTGAAAAAGTTTGCTGACCCCTGGGTTAGGGCCTGTGCACGCAAGCAGAAGAAGAAGCCAGCTGCCATGAACAAACCGGCCACCTGCAGATGTGGGACGAGGCAACATCCCAGCCATCCAGGGCCATCCCAATCCCGCCCACCCAACTCACCGAGCTCGGTGGGCTTCAGGAGTTCGTCCAAAATGCTGTAGAAGGGGAGCTTGACCAGCTGAACCTCAGGCTTTGCCGGTTTGACGGGTAACCGCCCCAGTCCGTTTAAGTACTTCCCGTAGAGGGAGGGATAGTCAATGTTGGCGGTGGAGAGAGCAGTCCTGGCCACCGCATTGCTGCTGCGGTCGTAGGAGGAATGGATGGAGAGGGTTTCCTGGGGAGGTCTGTGCTGGGGCGCCTGCTGCTGCTGCTGTTGTTGCTGCGGAATCTGCCCTGCATCGGAGAGCTTGGCGTAGCGCGTCTCGTAAATCTCCTTGATCTTCTTGAAGAGTTCCGGGCTGCAGTCAAACTGGACCAGCTGCAAGGCCCGGGTCACCAGTTCGTGTTTCAAGCCGCTCTTGCTTCGGCCGACGAACCCGAGCAACATCTGGAGGTCCGAGACTCGGAAACTCATCACCATGTTCTGCGGGCGGAGAGGGAGGGCAGGCAGACAGACAGACAGACATTTGAAGTCAAAGATAGCGAATAAATCAAAGCACCGTTTATGGGGCTGGCAGCAAACATACCCCAAGATCTGGCTTAGGTAACCCCAACTCGAGGAAGGAATTATTAACCAGCCTTCCTCTTGCCGTGCTGCTTTGCCCATGGCTGTATTTATTCTGAATACCATTACAAATGTATTGTGGTTATAGCATTATTATACATTTGCAAAGACCATTATACATTTATTTACACACACACACACCCCCCAATTTTATGCCACAGAACAGACCATATGGGGAAAGCGTTTAGGGTCAAGTATCATGGTTATAACAAAAAGGTCGTATGTTCTCTTTATTCTTCTGTGTTTTCTGCAAATACAGAGGTGCCCACATTCAAAATACAGTGGTACCTCGGGTTAAGTACTTAATTCATTCTAGAGGTCCGTACTTAACCTGAAACTGTTCTTAACCTGAAGCACCACTTTAGCTAATGGGGCCTCCTGCTGCTGCCACGCCGCCGGAACATGATTTCTGTTCTCATCCTGAAGCAAAGTTCTTAACCTGAAGCACTATTTCTGGGTTAGCGGAGTCTGTAACCTGAAGCGTATGTAACCTGAAGCGTATGTAACCTGAAGCGTATGTAACCCGAGGTACCACTGTATAGGAACGATTGTCCGTCAGTACTTAAGAGCAGTGCTTTTTTCTGGGGGGACGCAGGGGTACGCATACCCCTAAACATTTTGTGAATCTAAGTTTGGCCTCATTGAGGGGCAGTATTGCAATATGAGCAGGAAATTAAGAGTACCCCTAAAAAATTTTTTTAGAAAAAAGCACTGCTTAGGAGTCAAACCATTTGTTCACGTAGACCAGCATTGTCAACACTGATTGGCAGTGGCTTTCTGACTATGTACGCAATGCAACACAGTGCTCTACACAGTGCTCCAATCCTTCTCTCTGAAATGAACGAAGATTCTAGTCCTTATGGTTCCGAATGAAAGGCTGATTTAAGCAGGAACATCAGAAGCTACCTTACACCCAGTCTCCCTCTGCCTCTCTGCTCTGTGCCATGCACAATGTTACAAAGGACAGAGTGGGTTGGATCAAGGTGAGCATGCATTCGCTCCAACAAACTCCTTCTCGCTGGGGCCAATCAGGTTTGGGGAAGGCACCCACAACCCCTGGGACCTCCCCACTTCACGGAGATGCCCCACCATCACAAGGCAATGGAGGCAGGGCTATTGGAAGCCGATCCGCGCAAGGCGGGTAAGAAAACACCCTTCCTCTCACCCCACACCAGTTACATCTTGCTACCCACAAGCAAACACGTGCGTGTCTGGTGGTGGAGAGTCATTCCAGCACTGTATGTTTACCCCTGCCTCTATTTCAACGAAACCAAGTCGCTTGCCCTCATGGAAACGAGTTCGAAAGGCACACGGTGGAATTCCAGAACTTTTTCCTGCTTTTAAGCGTTAGCCGCAGGTCCCAAAGGTCAGTGGGTGGTGCATCGGCATTCCAGTGGCTTACTGCCCCCTTGACGCTCACGCCCTTGCGGCCAAAAATCCAGCCTCTGTGGTAGAACAGCTGGCATAGGGTGATAACCTCACTCCAGACCCAGCCCAAGGGATTTCGGCACCTGAGGCAAACCAGAAAATGGGTGTGGGAGAAGGGGTGAGTGAAGATCAGGAATGAGGGGGGAATACAGATACGCTTCGGGATCTGCTACCCCCATGGATCCTGCCACCTGAAGCGCTTGCTGCACTTTGCCTCATGGGTGGGGCTGGCCCTGCCCAGACCCTGCTGCTGCCAAACCAAACTGGGGACGAGCCTTACACATGGTAAGTGGCAAGCAACCAAGGAAAAACAGAGGGCGGAATTGCCAGTTGGCCAACCATCGTCAACACCCTCATGCGTGCACATTCAGTGAACCAGTGTGGTGTAGTGGTTAAGAGCGGTAGTCTGGTAATCTGGGGAACCGGGTTCGATTCCCCGCTCCTCCACCTGCAGCTGCTGGGGGACCTTGGGCCAGTCACACTTCTCTGAAGTCTCTCAGCCCCACTCACCTCACAGAGTGTTTGTTGTGGGGGAGGAAGGGAAAGGAGAATGTTAGCCGCTTTGAGACTCCTTAAAGGGAGTGAAAGGCGGGATATCAAATCCAAACTCTTCTTCTTCTTCATTGCCTACCCAAGTTAAAGCTTGGGTGTGCTACGGTTTCCCAGGCAACCGCAGCTTGAAAAACAGCCCTGGGAGCAAATGGACTCTTTCTCATTCCAGTCGCTCCAAGCCTCTGGTTGGTGAGAACGTGGCGCTGATAACACCAAGGCCGCAGGTTCAATCCCCGTATGAGACAGCTGCATATTCCTGCATTGCATTTCGTGAATCTAAGTTTGGCCTCACTGAGGAGCAGTACAGTGGTACCTCAGGTTACAGATGCTTCCGGTTACAGGCGCTTCAGATTACAGACTCCGCTAACCCAGAAATATTACCTCGGGTTAAGAACTTTGCTTCAGGATGAGAACAGAAGTTGCGCAGCAGCGGTGCGGCAGCAGCAGGAGGCCCCATGAGCTAAAGTGGTGCTTCAGGTTAAGAACAGTTTCAGGTTGAGAACGGGCCTCCGGAACGAATTAAGTACTTAACCCGAGGTACCACTGTATTTCAATATGAAATATGATCCTCAGGGTCCCTTCCAGATCTACAAGTCGATGATCCAATGAATGCCACTGGAAACCACAAGGGAAAACAGCCCCTCTGGGCCACAGCTCCTCGTTTCCCACAATAGCCAACAACAAATTCGTGAAGGAGGATGAAGATCTATCTGGCATGCACCACGGGACTCTTAATCTGAAGACTGTGGGGTTCGAGCCTCACACTGGGTGACAGATTCCTGCATTGCAGTGGGTTTGACTAGATGACCCCTTCCAACTCTGATTCTATGACCTCTCTCTTTCCTCTACCAGCCGTGATGACTTGTATGTACGTATGTATGCATATGAATGCCAGTCGCAGGAAATCTCAAGAGGGAGAATTGCTGCTGCTGCCGCTGCCACCCTCAAGTTCTGTTTGTTGGCATCCTAGGGGGTGGCATCTGATTGGTCACTGTGAGGACAGGACGTTGGGCTCGATGGGTCTTTGGCCTGAGCCAGTGAGGAAATTCTTATTTATTCAATTTGTACGCAGCCCTTCACCCGCGGATCTCAGGGCAATGCTCGTAATATAAAATTACAGCCTCGAAACCACAAAATGCATAGTAAAAATAAGAATAACGACGAACCAATAATCCCCGCCTCCACAGAACATTTTAAAAGGGCACTGGATTGCTAATTAGCCAAAGGCCTGGCTGCAGGGGAATGTTTTCGCCTGGCACCTAAAGGTGCATAATGAAGGCCCTGGGGACAGCATTCCACAGACGGGGAGCCACTGCAGAAAAGACCCCGTTCTCATGTTGCCACCCTCTGCACCTCTCGTGGAGGAGGCACACAAAGAAGGGCCTCACAAAATGATCTCAGGATCCGGGTGGGTTCATATGGTAAGAGGCGGCCCTTGAGGTATTGTGGTCCTGCTCCACTTAAGGCTTTATAGGTCAGCACTTTGAATTGGGTCCAGAACTAATCAGCAGCCGGTGCAATCAGGCCAGGGCAGGTATAACATGCTGAAACCATCTTGCCCCAGTGAGCCCCGATGAATTCTACACCAGCAGAAGTTTCCGAACCGTCTTCAGATGCAGCCCTACGTACAATGTGTTGCAGTAATCTAACATTCTACAGTGGTACCTCGGGTTAAGTACTTAATTCGTTCCGGAGGTCCGTTCTTAACCTGAAACTGTTCTTAACCTGAAGCACTACTTTAGTTAATGGGGCCTCCTGCTGCCACTGAGCCACCGGAGCCCGATTTCTGTTCTCATCCTGAAGCAAAGTTCTTAACCTGAGGTACTATTTCTGGGTTAGCGGAGTCTGTAACCTGAAGCGTACGTAACCTGAAGCGTCTGTAACCCAAGGTACCACTGTACTTCGATATCAGACATTTAAGCATCATCTGCATCACCAGCTCACTGCTGCTTTTAACTGAAGAGAGTGGGGGCTGAAATCTGGACCATACCGCATGCAAAGCAGGGTCCCTAACACCAAGTTATGGGTTGCTAGACCCACTGAAGTTAACAGGCCAAAGTTCATCCATGCCAATGGCTCTACTCGGAGTAGGGCTGGTGCAGCAAATCCCCCTTTGTCGGTGCTTCAGACGTCTGCCGGTGTTGTTCTTTCACAAGAGCAACACCAGGGGCATCTGCCAGCTGTATCCTCCACTCTCCAGTGCAAATGGACCTGCACAACCGAGTTACCAAAGCAGCAAGGAGGGCAAGTGAAGGAATACAGTCAGCGCTCCAGCACTTACAACGGGAAGATATTTCGCTGGTTAAAACAACACAGCATGTGGACCAGGAAGCCAAATTGCAGCCCACCTCCAGCAAGCAGAACCTGCCAAGGACTCAACGGTCCTTCTTGTTTTGCAGCCTGGGAGCGAAACCAGGTTTATCAAGCACTGGGGGCGGCAGCGGGGTGTGTGTGTGCTTGCCACACATGGATGGCAGGCAGCTGAGTCACAACTTGCACCTGCCAACCACAAACACAGTGGCAAGCCAGAGTGGGGGGCAACTGATCACTTGAGAGTCACGAAAACAACTCTCTCTGCAGATCCTGAAGATGCCACCTTGGCGGCCCATCAAAGACCAAAGACGTGAAACCAACTTAAAGAATGCAACTCAGAACTTGGGACTATTTCTCCAGCCCGAATCGCAAACGCTGAATGGGAAAGGACGCAAGAGTGATCTCTGAAACTGGTTGGTTTGTTTTAAAGAGTTTATAAACCTCTTAAGGGACGCGGGTGGCGCTGTGGGTAAAACCTCAGCGCCTAGGACTTGCCGATCATCAGGTCAGCGGTTCGAATCCCCGCGGCGGGGTGAGCTCCCGTTGCTCGGTCCCAGCGCCTGCCAACCTAGCAGTTCAAAAGCACCCCCGGGTGCAAGTAGATAAATAGGAACCGCTTTATAGTGGGAAGGTAAACGGCGTTTCCGTGTGCTGCGCTGGCTCGCCAGAGCAGCTTCGTCACGCTGGCCACGTGACCCGGAAGTGTCTTTGGACAGCGCTGGCCCCCGGCCTCTTAAGTGAGATGGGCGCACAACCCTAGAGTCGGACACGACTGGCCCGTACGGGCAGGGGTACCTTTACCTTAAACCTCTTAAGGTTTCGAAAATCTCTAGTCCAAAACACTCCAAATATTATACTTTAAAAACAGAGTCTAAAAGCAGTAAAGCAGCATTTAAAACATATAAAAGCAAATTATTCAAGGGAGCCATGCCTCTAAAACAGGGAAAGCCTGAGCAAAAACTTCACGACATGTGTAAAGCAGCTGAGGGCTGCTGCCTCTGCCTCATGTCTGCAACCCTACAGAGCAGCTGCCGGTCAGTGTAGACAATACTGAGCTAGACTAACCAAGGACTGACTCTTAATCTTAAGTCAGCTGCCTATGTTCCTTCACATATGGCAGAGGGAAGGCCATTCGATGATACTAGCAGCAGAAAATGCCCATTTATATAGGGGTTGTTACCTGCACCCTCGTAAGGGACAAGGATGGAGCTGTGGGTTAAACCACAGAGCCTAGGGCTTGCCGATCGGAAGGTCGGCGGTTCGAATCCCCGCGACAGGATGAGCTCCTGTTGCGCGGTCCCTGCTCCTGCCAACCTAGTAGTTCCAAAGCACGTCAAAGTGCAAGTAGATAAATAGGTACCACTGCGGCAGGAAGGTAAACGGCGTTTCCGTGCACTGCTCTGGTTTGCCAGAAGCAGCTTAGTCATGCTGGGCACATGACCCAGAAGCTGTACGCCGGCTCCCTTGGCCAATAAAGCGAGATGAGCATCACAACCCCAGAGTCGGCCACGACTGGACCTAATGGTCAGGGGTTCCTTTACCTTTACCTCCACCCTCACTCTTAAAGCATCAAAAACAAAAGCTGAACATGGGTTGGCAAACAAAGGCCTGGGGGCCGGATCCGGCCCAATCGCCTTCTCAATCCGGCCCGCGGACGGTCCGGGAATCAGTGTGTTTTTACATGAGTAGAATGTGTCCTTTCATTTAAAATGCATCTCTGGGTGATTTGTGGGGCATAGGAATTCGTTCATATTTTTTCCCCAAAATATAGTCCGGCCCCCCACAAGGTCTGAGGGACAGTGGACCGGCCCCCTGCTGAAAAAGTTTGCTGACCCCTGATAAGTGCATGAGGTACAAAGTGATAGAATCAGATTGGAAGGCACCTTTTAAAGGGTCATCTGAAAGGAAGGAATCACGGCTAAAGAATCCCTGGCAGATGCCCATCCAACCTCCGTTTACAAACCTCCATCAAAGGATAGCCCACCGCCTTCTGAGGGAGTCCATTCTACTGGTCAAGCCAATGGTCCCATGTAGCTCAGGACCCTCTACACAGCAGCCCTCCGTGATTTCAGACAAGAACCTTCTGCATGCAAAGCAGGTGTTCCGCCAACAACATAATCCGCCACCTGCAACATAATACAGTGGCACCTCGGAAGTTGAACGGAATCCGTTCCGGAAGTCCGTTCGGCTTCCAAAATGTTCGGGAACCAAGGCCTGTTTTCTGGTTGGCCGCAGGAAGCTCCTGCGGCCAATCGGAAGCCGCGGAACCCACGTCGGACGTTTGGGTTCCAAAGAACGTTCGCAAACCGCAACACTCACTTTGCAGGGTTCGGGAGCCAAAACGTTCAAGTCGCAAGGCGTTCGACTTCCGAGGTACGACTGTATTTAACCTCAGCAACCAAGTGAGGAGATAGCCTTGGCCTACCATGCCTGCCCCCACAGCAAATAAACAAATAAAAATGCTTTCTGTCTCAGGATGCAGACCCACCTAACCCTTCACTGCAATACTAATGTTCCAGGGATGGTTGTGGGCAGGATTCTTACACTAAATGACTCTCAGGGTGCCTCCCAAATTTACAATTCTATGATCCCATGATTATTGCAGGACTTTGAGGCGTAATAGGTATTGTGGCCTGGATTTTTGCCGGCTCCCTTCATCAGATGTGTGAAGTAATCCTCAGCAGTCAGGTGCAGCAAACAAATGTTGCGCCCTCCATATGCTAAAAATAATGAGAGCCAGCAACTTGCTTTGCCCTTTTAATACGGGGATTAAAAAAAATAAAAATACTGATAGACTTTTACAGAAGACGAAAGAAACAGATTTGGCTGAACATGAGGGGGACCTTCTTAGAGTAAGGGTTGTTAAATTAGGAACAGGCTGACTTGAGAGGCACTGGAGGTTTCTGCAGATCCTGTGCTGAACAGAAGGCTTGGCTAAACACTATGGTTTGACAATGCTGCGCAGATCTCTTTAAGGCACTGGAATTGTGGAACATCATCTGTGTCTAAAAAGCGGTATATAAATTGGTTAACGGTAACAACAGAAGAAGCAGCAGCAAAGCCTCCTATCTGCTCCAACTAATTTAAAAAGTAGGTCTCCGCTTATTACGATTCACAGCCACTGCCTTAAAATCTCAAAGCTTCAAACCCCACCATTTCACAGCTGCACCACCGAAGCTCCAGCCGCTCAGGACAGCACAAGCAAAGGGAAGCCCATGCAAAAACGACAAGAGCAATAGATTGGCAGGCAGGCAGGCAGGCAAGCAAGCAAGGACTTGGCAGTGGAGGCAGCAGGTGGGATTCCTCAGTGCCAAATCCAACCATCCCAGGGCTCTGTAGCTGGGCCTTGGAGTGTTCCACCGGCCACATACCCTCACCAGCCTTTGCTTTGCACCCGCCTGGAGTGACTTTGCCTGGCTGGAATGTGTCCTCTTGCTTTGTCTGGATGACAGATAGAGAAAAGTGTGCTGGAAGCACCCTGCTGCACAAAGCTGTAATTTGCATTCATTGCTCCACCCACTTCTGCCCACGATTGGCATGTGGCTCTTGGAAGGTTTCCCAGAAGGCCCTCGGGTTGGAAAAGGGAGCAAGGAGACAGTGATGCCTGTCGCACCTCATGCACGCCAGTTTGAGAAAATCTGCTGCTGTCCGTATCAGACTGGACAAGTCTACTGCAGATAGTCATTTGCTACAATAATAATTAACATTTATAGAGTGCCAAAACGCCGTAGCACTAAAAGATGCTGTACTCCTTACAACAGCCCTGTGAGATGGGCTAGCCTCATTTCCCCCCTATTAGAGCTGGGGAGCTGGGTCTGACAGAAGCAAGACTTTCCTTGCAGCCTTCACACTAACTGTAGCTGAGATAAAGGGCCCCTTGCACACTCCTTTCCCATTTGTGTTTTATCTATCAGATTCTGAGTCTGAGGCCAGGGGTTGTCTTATTATTGAAATTTATACGCTGCTCTGGGAGCTTCATATGGTTCATAGACTCATAGAATCTTACGAGTTGAAAGGGACCAAAGGATCGTCTAGTCCAACCCCCTGTAACGCAGGAATCTCGGCTAAAGCATCCATAGAATCATAGAATCCTAGAGTTGGAAGAGACCACAAGGGCCATCGAGTCCAACCCCCTGCCAAGCAGGAAACACCATCAGAGCACTCCTGACATATGGTTGTCAAGCCTCTGCTTAAAAACCTCCAAGGAAGGAGAGTCCACCACTTCTCGTGGGAGTCTGTTCCACTGCTGAACAGCTCTTACTGTCAGAAAGTTTTCCCCCCAAATGTTTAGACGGAATCTCCTTCCTTGCAACTTGAAGCCACTGGTTCAAGTTCTACCCTCCAAAGCAAGAGAAAACAAGCATGCTCCCTCCTCCGTGTGATAGCCCTTGAAATATTTGAAGATGTCTATCATATCTCCTCTCAGTTTCCTCTTTTCCACGCTAAACATACCCAGCTCCTTCAAGTGCTCCTCATAAGGCTTAGTTTCCAGACCCTTGACCACCTCGGTTGCCCTTCTCTGCACACATTCCAGTTTGTCAACATCCTTCTTAAATTGTGGTGCCCAGAATTAGACACAGTACTCCAAGTGTAGCCTGACCAAGGCAGAATAGAGTGGGACTATGACTTCCCTTGATCTAGACACTATACGTCTGTTGATGCAGCCTAGAACGGCATTAGCTTTTTTTGCTGCTGCATCACACTGCAGACTCATGTTAAGCTTGTGGTCCACCAAGACCCCTAGATCCTTTTTACATGTACTTCTAGTAAGCCAGATGTCTTCAGGAGAGATAAAAGTGCTCTAAATAAGTAACAAATACGTAAGTGCGTGGAAATTCAAGGTTTCAACTGAAGACTTCCCAGTTTGTGTCCACAGCTTACTGAAAAAAACTGGAAGCCAGCCATTCCAAATTCACTCAAAGAAGTTAACTACCCTAAAGTCTTTGTTTCTGAATATTCACGAAACAAGCCAGATCCACTATTGTAAAGTAAAAGTACAATCATTAATACAAATGGTAGCACTATACATGACGTTGCTTGCTATCTGAGGTGTCCATTGGTTTCACAACTGGATCTGCATGGTTCAACAATACAGAACACACAGAGAAGGAGCCTTAAAGTATCCCACAGAAATTCCATTTTGGCAGGTGGTTTTGTGACTTAAGAGTCTAATTACATAGAAGATAAGGCTATCAGCATCTACTAGCCATGACAGCTATGCCCTACCTCCATGACCACAAATTGTATACCTCTGAATGCCAGTTCAGGTAGAGGAGAGTTGCGGTTGCACTTAGGCCTCCCATCGTGGCATGTGGTTGGCCACTGTGAAAATAGGATTCTGGACTAGATGGGCCATGGCATGATCCGGCAGGGCCCTTCATAGGTCCTTATGTGCCACAGAAATGCATTTATAGCTTTTTCTGTTATTATCCACATGCATGCATATACAAGGTAAACAAGGGAACGGCTAAGAGATGTGTTGATCTGTTAAATGTTTCAGATTCACCCTCCTCCATTAAAACAGCTAAGGTTTCAAATTAACAAATAAACACACACACACATGTATGCACAATAAATATCTGTCAGGAGAGAGCCAAAACCTGACAAATCCAGTTCACAAACGTGCTTCAAGCAGAATAAACCTGTTTCACTTTCTAAAAGGTACCGCCACGCTCGGTGGGTGCCCGTGTTGGCTGCGCGGCAGGCGAAGGCTGCAACCCTTACCTAGAAGTCCAGCGATTTCCAATTAGGAATGTACAGTGGTACCTCAGGTTACATACGCTTCAGGTTACAGACTCCGCTAACCCAGAAATAGTACCTCGGGTTAGGAACTTTGCTTCAGGATGAGAACAGAAATTGTGTTCCGGCGGCGCGGCAGCAGCAGGAGGCCCCGTTAGCTAAAGTGGTGCTTCAGGTTAAGAACAGTTTCAGGTTAAGAACGGACCTCCGGAACGAATTAAGTACTTAACCCGAGGTACCACTGTATACGATTGCCAAGCTGCTATTCCAGGCGACTTAACCAGCGAGTAACACCACCCCCCTGAACCCAAGGGCGGCTTACTTCTGAGTAAGACCTGCGTGAGATTGCACTTTGCTGCAACAGGGGGTTGTTGAAGCCGCTGTTGTGTTTTTGTTTTGTTTTTGCTTTCAACACACACACACACACACCAATCAGGATTAAATCAGCTCCAAACAAACCGTCCCCCCAAAAATCCACCTTGCAGGGCAACTCCTCCTGGCTGTCCTAAAGTGCCCCAAAGGGAGGGCTGGCATGAGGGCGAGATAAAAGGCATGTAAACAAACAAACAGACAAACAAACCCTCCTGGGGGGGTGAGAGGAAATGGGGAGGGTCTTCTCTGGCATGGGGGGAGGGGAGGGCTGTCTTGAAGGTGGGGGTGGGAAAGCAGCAGCAGGTAGGGAGATGGGAGAGTGGGGGGGATTGGTGAGGGGGGGTCGTCCCTGGAGGGGGGTGGGGAGGCCGCCCCCTCCCTCGGGACGAGGGGGCGGGGCTTCTGGCCGCCCCTCCCCTTTAGCCACGCCCCTCCCTCCTCAGGTGCCCCTCCCTGTGGCAGAGATTCATAGGCTCCCCCCCCCAAAAAAACATACCTCAGTGAGGGGGGCACGGGGCGCCCCTTCGGACCCCCGCTTCTCCTCTCCCTCCCTCCCCTCCCTCCCTCTCCTCTTTCACTCACTCACTTTCGCCTCCACCAGCTCCGCCGCCATCTTGGCTTCCAGCATCCAACGCGCCGGGAACAGGTGGAGGGAGGGGCGGGGGGCGGGAAGAAGAAAGAGAAGAGCCGCCCGCGTCACGTGACGGGGGGGACGTCAACGGCTAGGCGCCCCGGCTCGGCCAATCCGGAGCGCGCGTCTTGCGGTTTCTTTCCCCGCCCCCGCCCTCTTTCCTCCAATCAGCGTCGACGCTCCGTACGAAAACCCTCTCCCGACGTGCGACGCCGGAGACGAGGAGCGCGGCGCATGCGCATGCGCGCCAAGCGACCCGGCGAAGCTTTCTCGGGCCGGCCTCGCGCTTCTCCTCCGCCAGAAGAGGGGAGAGGCGGCGCATGCGCACAGCGGCGGCAAGCCAACCCGCCTTGCCCGCTTCCTCTTCCCGAGGAAGAGCGATGACGACGCGTGGCCACGCCCAGCCGACTCTTAAAGAGACACTCACCCCCAAAAAGGGGAAATAATTTGCGGGCAGGATTTAATCTGTGGTCATATTTAGGTTCGACTTAACCTTAGGAGAGGGTTTTGTAGTGGCTAGGCTCGGTTTTAGTGGACGAACAGCAATATGGTCAGGGAGGCCCTCTGGGCATGTGCAGAGTGCATTTAAGAGGCCCACCAAGTAGCCACAATTTAAAAATAATTTGAGAGAAAAGGCAGGATGTGAATCTAATGGATAAAGCAACGCTTTACCCCCACTTTTTTGGGGGGGATAAGCTGAATCGGTAGAACATGAGAGTCTTAATCTCAGGGTCGTGGGTTCCAGATTCCTGCATTGCAGGGGGTTGGGCTGGATGACCCCACGGGGTCTCTTCCAACTCTACGATTCTGTCATTCATCTTCGTTCCGCTCTGTCCAAAATCCCATGTGGACTGATCATTATTGTCACCATAATCATTTATTAAATTTACCGGTCGCTTGTGACCCAAAGGGATCCAAGCAACTTACAGTAATACGTATTTTATACATACGTGCGAAAGGCTGGGCTGGATGAATCCCTAGCCGGAATTAAGATTGCCGGAAGAAATATCAACAACCTCAGATATGCAGATGACACAACTTGGATGGCAGAAAAGGAGGAGGAATTAAAGAACCTTCTAATGAGGGTGAAAGAGAAGAGCGCAAAACATGGTCTGAAGCTCAGCATCAAAAAAACGAAGATCATGGCCACTGGTCCCATCACCTCCTGGCAAATAGAAGGGGAAGAAATGGAGGCAGTGAGAGATTTTACTTTCTTGGGCTCCATGATCATTGCAGATGGTGACAGCAGTCACGAAATTAAAAGACGCCTGCTTCTTGGGAGAAAAGCAATGACAAACCTAGACAGCAGCTTAAAAAGCAGAGACATCACTTTGCCAACAAAGGTCCATATAGTTAAAACTATGGTTTTCCCAGCAGTGATGTATGGAAGTGAGAGCTGGACCATAAAGAATGGATGCTTTTGAATTCTGGTGCTGGAAGGAGACTCTTGAGAGTCCCATGGACTGCAAGAAGATCAAACCTCTCCATTCTGAAGGAAATCAGCCCTGAGCGCTCACTGGAAGGACAGATCCTGAAGCTGAGGCTCCAAGACTTTGGCCACCTCAGGAGAAGAGAAGACTCCCTGGAAAAGACCCTGATGTTGGGAAAGATGGAGGGCACAAGGAGAAGGGGACGACGGAGGACGAGATGGTGGGACAGTGTTCTCGAAGCTACCAGCATGAGTTTGACCAAACCACGGGAGGCAGTGGAAGACAGGAGGGCCTGGCGTGCTCTGTTCCAGGGGGTCACGAAGAGTCGAACATGACTAAACGACTAAACAACTACTAACCTTAGGACAGGGTTTTGTAGTGGCTAGGCTCGGTTTCAGTGGATGAACAGCAATATGGTCAGGGAGGCCCTCTGGGCATGCGCAGAGTGTATTTAAGAGGCCCACCAAGTAGCCACAATTTAAAAATAATTTGAGAGGAAAGGCAGGATGTGAATCTAATGGATAAAGCAACGCCACCCCCCCCTTTTTTAGGGGGGATAAGCTGAATCGGTAGAACATGAGAGTCTTAATCACAGGGTCGTGGGTTCCAGATTCCTTCATTGCAGGGGGTTGGGCTGGATAACCCCACGGGGTCTCTTCCAGTTCTGTCATTCATCTTTGTTCCACTCTGTCCAAAATCCCATGTGGACTGATAATTATCATCACCATAATCATATATTAAATTTGCCAGTCGCTTGTGACCCAAAGGTATCCAAGCAACTTACAGCAATATATATTTTATACACACATTATACACTATGGGAAGGGGGGGCAAAGCAGGAAAACTGTACAATACATCAATGTTTTGTCAGTTTATTTATTTGCCATATTACCCCCTGCCTTGCATCACCAGTGTCAAGGGGTCTAGTAATACCACAGTTTTCAGAATTCTGGAAAATCGGGAGAAGTGGCAAAAGAGGCAAAAATTATATATCATAGCTGGTGCCTGTCAGAGAAAAGGAAAGAAATAACAGATAACCCCACGTGTTTATTATAAAGACAGCATTTCAGTTTTCTATAGATTTCAGATATTTGCTACAGCCTTTGGCGGTGGGCATTGTATTTCTGTATTTTTTAAAATATACGCCACACTGCCTAGACAGTTTGCCTGCCCCTTAACAACCTAGCATAGCTTTTCTGCTGCTGCCACGCTGAATAAATCAGCAGTAATTTATGGATGCAAATATTTCAGGAACTTCCTGCAGATTTTGGCTTGAAGGACGCTGCCTTGATCTCATTGGAAGCCCAGAGCCTGGGAAGCTCATTCGAAAAAAGGAAACGAGTTGGACATAGGGTTGCCATATATCAGAAAGTGAAAATCCAGACCAAAAAGTTGTTGAGCTTTTAGAGCTTTTTTTCCATATAAATCGCCAAAATTGCCACTTCCGATACGTCCAGATTTTCCCAGACGCATGGCAACCCTAGCTGCACATTCAAACTTTCCAATAAAGAACTAAGTGTCGGTCATGTTCATCCCTTTACAAATGAACTAGTTCATCCAAACGGTTATCAGCTGCTGTGCTGAATTATAAAATATACTTACGTAGGTTTAGAAAACACCAAAACACACTCACAGATTGTTTGATTTACTTCCCCCAACAATCGTGATTTAAGCTTAAAAGAGTCTATACAGTGGTACCTTGGTTCTCAAATGCCTTGATACTCAAACAACTTGGAACCCAAACATTGCAAACCCGCAAGTAAGTGTTCTGGTTTGCCAATTTTTTTCAGAAGCTGAACATGCTCCGTTTTGAGTGTTATGGTGAGGTTTGTCTGTTTTTGCTATTTATTTTGCGTTTCTGTTTTTGTGGCTCTTTTTCATTTTGTTTTTGTGACTGTGTGGAACCCAGTCCAGCTACTGATGGATTGATTGTGTGTCTGCAGTACATCGTTTATTTTATGGACCAATGGTCTTGTTAGATGGTAAAATTCATGTTAAATTGCTGTTATAGGGGTCTTTTTTTAAAGTCTGGAACGGATTAATCCATTTTGCATTACTTTCTATAGGAAAGCTTGCTTTGGTTTTGGAACGCTTTGGTTTTGGAACGGACTTCCGGAACGGATTAAGTTTGAGAACCAAGGTACCACTGTAGTGCAAAGAAAATACCCACACTTAAGAGAATGAACTTGAAGATGAAGTAGAAATTGTTCTAAAAGTTACAGAAATAGTTCTAAGTTACCTAATGTACACCTATTTGCAAAGTCAACTTTCCCCCTAAAATAATGCATTTGATACATTTAGTAATACAGTGGTGCCTCGCAAGACGAAATTAATTCGTTCCGCGAGTTTTGTCGTCTTGCGAAGCACGGTGTCGGGAAAGTTTTGGAAAAGCTTCAAAAATCACCAAAGTCTTTAAAAACCTCAAAAAAGGCTACCACACCGCGTGCTATGAGTTGCTCCTCGAAGTCAAGTCGCAACTATATTAACGGTGTTAAGAAAAAGGAAACAAACTTGCAACAAACTTGCAAGACGTTTCCGTCTTGCGAAGCAAGCCCATAGGGAAAATCGTCTTGCGAAGCAGCTCAAAAAACAAAAAACCCTTTCGTCTAGCGAGTTTTTTGTCTTGCGAGGCATTCGTCTTGCGAGGTACCACTGTATATGCATAAAAAACACTCTTTAATATGGACATTTTTGTGACTGGAGAACTGCATTACAATATTTGGACAGCTCCAAATAATTAATAATAATAATAATAATTTATTTATACCCCGCCCATCTGGCTGGGTTTCCCCAGCCACTCTGGGCAGCTCCCAATTGAATATTAAAAACACAATACAGCATTAAACCTTAAAAACGTCCCTAAACAGGGCTGCCTTCAGATGTCTTTTAAAAATTATTATTATTATTATTATTAGGCTGTGTTTCAGTTCACATATAGTTTCAGAAAGTGTGAATTATGTAGATTTGCCTTTAAATGTGAACTGAATTTGTGCCCCACTCAGGCAAGGTGGGACCTCAACTTAACAACAATTCTTTAGATATTGTTTTTATCGAGCTATTATTTGGGCGTCCTGTTTTTGTGGGGTTCTAGCAGTTTTTACTGGCGTCGCCACACGCAGCTCTGGGAGATTTTGAGGCCAAAAGATGGGGTTAGTAAAGGTAAAGGGACCGCTGACCATTAGGTCCAGTCGTGGACAACTCTGGGGTTGCGGCGCTCATCTCACTTTATTGGCCGAGGGAGCCGGCATTTGTCTGCAGACAGTTTTTCCAGAACATGTGGCCAGCATGACTAAGCCGCTTCTGGCGAACCAGAGCAGCGCACAGAAACGCCCTTTACCTTCCCGCTGGAGTGGTACCTATTTATCTACTTGCACTCTGACGTGCTTTCAAACTGCTAGGTTGGCAGGAGCAGGGATTGAGCAATGGGAGCTCACCCCGTAGCGGGGATTCGAACCGCTGACCTTCTGATCGGCAAATCCTAGGCTCTGTGGTTTAACCCACAGCGCCACCCGCGTCCCAAAAGACGGGGTTACACATGTTAAAATAAAGAAAGAACACAAGAGGCTCCTGGATCATGCCCATGGCGCATCTAGTCCAGCAAGCTGTTCTTACCGTGACCAAACAAATCCTTATGGAAAACCCACAAGCAGGACGTGACCACAAGGGCACAGGGGTCAGTTTTTGTATAAGGCAGCTTCACGAGTTCTTTTTTTCTAACCAAGACCTTTATTCAGGTCTAAGAGGACTGGAAACTTACCTTTTTGTTCGGGGAGGGAGCAAAAAGCAGCGGCAGAACATCTGTTCTACATACAGAAGACCCCCCCCCAGTTAAATTCCCAGCATCTCCAGGTAGGCCTGGGCAGAGGTGAAGCAACCTGGACCGGCGCTTGTCCCAGGGGACATGGCATGCTCCCCAGGTGGCGTGGCGTGCATCCCAAGGGCGTGGCACTCGTCCCAGGGGCGTGGCACTCATCACAGGAGGTGTGGCACTCACCCCAGGGGACATGACATGCGTCCCAGGGGGCGTGGTACTCATCGCAGGTGGTGTGGCGTGCGTCCCAAGGGCGTGGCACTCATCGCAGGAGGTGTGGCACGTGTCCCAGAGGACATGACATGCGTCCCAGAGGACATGACATGCGTCCCAGGGGGCGTGGCACTCATCGCAGGTGGCGTGGCGTGCGTCCCAAGGGCGTGGCACTCGTCCCAGGGGCGTGGCACTCATCGCAGGAGGTGTGGCACGTGTCCCAGGGGACATGACATGCGTCCCAGGGGGCGTGGCACTCATCACAGGAGGTGTGGCACGTGTCCCAGGGGGTGCGCCGCTGATCGGGGGCCGGCATTTTGTCACCCCCCTTTGGAATGGCACCTAGGTCCGACCGCCCCCTTGCCCCCACCTCGGAACGCCCCTGGGCCTGGGGAAATCCCCCAGCCTGAGACCCTAGGGCAGGGTTCCCCAAACTTGACTGTTAATATTTGGGCAACTTTTCTGCTGTACTTTATTGGAAGGAGAAAGTTTTTTCCTTAATAACAATTTAAACTATTTATTTAACTAAAAAACAAACAAACATCATAGCATATGTATCCGTGTTTGTTAACTGAGTTTTAGCCCACATGAAAAACTTAAAACAAATCCTTATTTCCCTTTGGACCAGGCACTCCCAAACTAGGCCCTCCAGCTGTTGTTGGACTACAACTCCCATCATCCCTAGCGAGCAGAACCAGTGGTCAGGGATGATGGGAACTGTAGTTCAAAAACAGCTGGAGACAAGGAGTAGCCGAGCTAGAGGAACGTGATGTAGGACAGCTTACTGCATTCCTGTTCTGTGCAGCTTCAATTTCTGCGGCAGCCTCTTATTTTACTCAATTTGGAATTTGCTCTGATATATTTTAGGAATTACTCCTTAGCTTGCCAGCCGTCCTGGCAGATGATGATAATCATAATCATAATAATCATAATAATCATAAGAATCATAATAATTTATTATTTGTACCCAGCCACTCTGGGCGGCTTCCAACAAAGACCAAAAATACACTAAAATGTCACACATTAAAAACTTCTCTGAACCTTCAGATGTCTTTTAAAAATAGGATAGCTGCTTATTTCCTTGACATCTGATGGGACGGCATTCCACAGGGCCACTACCGAGAAGGCCCTGTAGCTTAGCTTCTCGCAATGAGGGAACCCCCAGAAGGCCCTGGCGCTGCACCTCAGCGTCCAGGCAGAACGATGGGGGTGGAGACACTCCTTCAGGTATACTGGGCCGGATGCAAAAGGGCAGGATTAAAGCGAAAACAAAAATCCTAATGAAATGAAATAAAAACGGTTCCTCTTTTGTTTTCCTAGACCCTCCTGTGACCCCCTCCCTGACCACCACCCCCCGTCTCCTCCAGCTGCCGCCAACCTGTTGGTAAACCCACTCAGAATTCCTGTATCCCGAGCGGATTAATCAATGTATTTATTAGGCTTAGATGCCAAATCCTGCTAAAGCTAAGTCTTTGCCAGATAAACAGGCTTCTTTGCGGAGGCAGCCCGTTTGTGAAAACACAATTAGCAAACCCTGTAATCTGCACTAATTACAAGCCCAGCCCTCGGGAGACGCTTCTGTTTCCGCCGCTGCCCCAACGCAGCTCCTGGACCTCGCTGGACTTCCAGGACCGGCGAAGATGAGCTGAGATCAAGGGCACCCCAAGTTGCGTCCGCCATGGAAAGGGCAGAGGCAGAGGTCCAGAGGAAGCCTAACATCTCCTTCACCATTGACTACCTCCTTTTCGAGAACAGGAAACCACCCCGCAGGGATCCAGAACCGAGGGGCGAACAAGCGAGGGCAGAAGGGAGAGGCGTCGCAGAGACAGAGCAACCTGGACCTCACACACCTCCAGATCTCCTGGACAAACCCAACCAGTCTTATATCGCCCTCATTTCGACTGCCATCCTCTCCTCGCCGGAGAAGAAGCTTTTGCTGTCCGATATCTACCAGTGGATTATGGATAAATACCCGTACTTCAAAAACAAGGTGAGTGCCACCAACAGGTACCCTGGAGAACATGGGTCGTCACCTTGGGCCTTGAACTACCTTCAAGACTCGCCCAACCTAGAGCCCTTGTCCATTGAGCAAGCCAACTTGGTGGGCGAGGACATGGCTGGTTTCTTCCAGGGTACAGTGGCCGAGAGTCATAGGACCCCAGAGGAAGCTGCCTTTTCCTGACACAGACCATTGGTCCATCTAAGCTCAGTATTGTCCATCTCTCCAGGTTTTCGGGCCAGAGCCCTACCTGCTGAGGATAGTTGGTGGAACCTTCTGCATGCAAAGTAGATGTTCCACCACCAAATTGCGGCCCTTGCCTTATACAGTCCTGCTAGTTGGCAGGTCTCCGAGAACAGTCCTCTGTCTGAAGAGGAAGGGCTGTCCCGTTCCGGTCCAGTTAAGAGATAAAAAACGTCTAAGGTTCATGAAATGATCCATTGACAGTTAGCCCCACAGAAGGCTGAGGAAGCATACATATGATCTAGTCACCCTCCCCTGCGTTATGACGAGGTTTAATGGGTTGTATCCAACCGGGGCCGGATATAGGTTTGATGAGGCCCTAAGCTACTGAAGGTCATGGGGCCCTTTATATGTCCAGCTGTCCTTTGTCAACAACAAATTGCCGCTGGTTTTTTTTTGTGTTGAATATATGCTATGTGGTAATTTATGGACCTCATAGGTATCTCAAGCCATTTGCACGTAACAGAATATGTATTTTATCAAAGTAATTGTTGAACTGAAATACAATTAAGAAGAAGTATATTAATAGTGAAATATAATTAAGAAGAAGTATATTTTTTGGGGGGGTCCCCAAGAGAGTGGGGCCCTAAACTATAGCTTGTTTAGCTAACACTTAAATCCGGCACTGTATGCAACCCTAGTCCTGCTGAAATTAATGGATCTAGATTAGCCATGTTCATTGATTTCAACAGACCTACTAGCATTGGATTCCACCCATTGTACCCGTTTCCGTTTCGAGTTCTTATTTCCAAATGTGCCCCATGCATATAGCATGCAAAATATATGCAAATCAGCACCCTCTTTCCCCCTCCCTTTTGGCGATACGTAAGTGGCCGTCCTTTTCACGAGACGTCGGACGCCAGTGACACAGTTTCTTGGCCTTTTTAACACCCAGTTCTCTTCTCACTCTGGTCCGGGGATATCTCAGCAGAAATCCCTAGGGCTCGGGACAGAAGCTCAAAACATTATAGGAGATTCCTGCCAAACAGCCGTAACTCTCAAGTAGCTCTCCTGCAGAGGGTAGAAATTTACTTTCCTATTTACTCCCTTTTTGAGCTTCTGACTTGCAAACATTAAGTCTAGAGAGCTTCCTTCGCTAGGCTTGCGGGGAGAACGTTGATTCCGTCTGCAATTTAACAAACAACTACAAAACTCCCACCTTTTTTGAGCCGAAACAGAGTTATCCTTCGAAATCCGTGCTTCTCCAGATTCCGTGGTGCAAAGAGACATGCCTTAGAGGAATGGGTGCGTAAAATTCATGAAAATAACACACAAAAATGTACTATAATTAGGGTGAGCTGCTTGCAAATGTTTGTACAGCAGTCTAAACAGCATCCAAGAATGTTGTTCGTTTGGAGAAATTTGCACTGAAATGTTAACGTATTTTCCTGAGGACTTTATTCTTGGAAATTGCAGCAGAATTCAAAAGTAGGAGGGAATTAGAAGCTGAGAGAAACCCAAACTGACAGATATGTCTGCCTCTATTAAGTCTCGCCAGACCGCGGCAAGTTCTGTTGTTGTTGTTTAGTCGTTTAGTCGTGTCCGCCTCTTTGTGACCCCCTGGACCAGAGCACGCCAGGCACTCCTGTCTTCCACTGCCTCCCGCAGTTTGGTCAGACTCATGTTTGTAGCTTTGAGAACACTGTCCAACCATCTTGTCCTCTGTCGTCCCCTTCTCCTTGTGCCCTCCATCTTTCCCAACATCAGGGTCTTTTCCAGGGAGTCTTCTCTTCTCATGAGGTGGCCAAAGTCTTGGAGCCTCAGCTTCAGGATCTGTCCTTCCAGTGAGCACTCAGGGCTGATTTCCTTCAAAATGGAGAGGTTTGATCTTCTTGCAGTCCATGGGACTCTCCAGCACCAGAATTCAAAAGCATCCATTCTTCGGCCATCAGCCTTCTTTATGGTCCAGCTCTCACTTCCATACATCACTACTGGGAAAACCATGGCTTTAACCATGGCAAGTTCTGGGGCTACTCTAATGACCCAAGGACCGCAACAAGTTGACCTTGGGGAACAGGGTATCACTAGTAATATTTCGAGAGTTGGCAATGAAGCTTCAAGTGGCTAGTAAACCAAAAGCTCGCCACCGATTTATCTCAGTTGTCACCAGACAGTTGCCTGCGGGAAGTTTTGAGGGTAAATAGGGGACTAATGCATGCATGCTACTCTTCCAACAAGTAAAAATCAGATTAAAGTAAATAAACAATGTTTTTGATTGATAATAAAGACATTGGCTGATTGTACAAACAAGGTTTGGAGTTAGGCTATTATTGTTGGTTGGTTGGTTGGTTGGTTGCTTGCTTGCTTGCTTGCTTGTTTTATTAAATTTGTATACCGCCCTTCATCCGAAGATCCCAGGATGGTTCACAACAGAAAAAATACAAAACGAGAATACAAAATATATAATAAAACAAAAACAAACCAATCCCATAAAGAACATTTAAAAAGCCGTAGAATGTTAATCAGCTGAAGGCCTGTCTGAAGACAAACATTGGTTTGTTTTATTTATTACGTTGTTATTGAATGGTTTATTTATTAAATCGGTTAAATCATTACATTGAATAGTGGGATCTGCAACAAAATGTTGCAGTCTGGAGTTCTCCTGTTCAGGGTGCCAGCCAGCCAGCCAGCCGTGCCCTAGTCTGGATTCTCCATTCCCACCCACCCACCCCTCCTGCCCCCACAATGTTTTAGTTGCTTAATTGTCTGTTTGTTGCACTTCCATCCCACCTGTTTTCTCAATGGAGCTCAAGGTGGTGAGAAACATGATTCTCTCCCTCCTCTTTTACCGCCCACCACAACCCTGTGAGGTAGGCTAGCCTGAGAGTGATTGACAAGGTCACACAGTGACCTTCGTGACCCAAGTCAGAGCAAACCGGCCAGCCAGTCCCCAAAATGCAAATGAAACAGAGATGCCTTCAATAGACACCATAAAGACATGATACCAAAGACCAGAAAGCATTTAGATTAGATATGGAAGCGATGGAAGTCAATCAACGAAATTTTATTCTATTATTATTTTCGTATTGAGATATTTGTAGAATAAATTTGGAAGAAATTCTTCCAACTTTTCTTCTTCTTCTTTTCTCTTTATTTCTTCTTCTTTTCTTCTCTTTTTCTCTTTTGCTCCTTTTTTCATATATATGTGCTTATTTGAAATATATATGTATGTACAGTGGTACATGGGTTTACATATGCTTCAGGTTACATACGCTTCAGGTTACAGACTCCGCTAACCCAGAAATATTACCTTGGGTTAAGAACTTTGCTTCAGGATGAGAACAGAAATCGTGCTCTGGCGGCGCAGCAGCAGCAGCGGGAGGCCCCATTAGCTAAAGTGGTGCTTCAGGTTAAGAACAGTTTCAGGTTAAGAACGGACCTCCAGAACGAATTAAGTACTTAACCCGAGGTACTACTGTATGTATGTATTTGTAATATTTTGCTTATATTTTGTAACAATTATGATACATAAATTAAAAATGTTAATAATAAAAAAATAGATTAGATATGACTTATCTGCTAAAATGCCCTGGATATTGCATGATTGCTTTGTGCATTAAAGACATACAAAGTTCACTTTCAAAAATAAAAAAGGAATCACTAGTTCAAGTTTAACAGATCCGCAAAGGAACTAGTTCGAGTTTGGGTTTAACAGGTCCCCAAAGGAACTAATTCCAGTTCATGCTGGTCCCTTTACAAAATTAACTAGTTCGATTCCCAGCCAGTTCAATTCAAGTTCATCCAAACGATCCTCAGCCGAGTATTTCCCCCCAGCTTTCAGAATGTTATAAGCTGTTGTGCTAAAGAATAAAATATACTTAAGAAGACTAAAGGACCGCCTCTCTTGGTCTGCCCCACGGAGAGCCTCAAGGTCCATAAATAGCAACACCCTAGGGGTCCCGGGCCCTAAGGAAGTCAGATTAGCCTCAACCAGAGCCAGGGCCTTTTCAACACTGGCCCCAGCCTGGTGGAATGCTCTGCCTCATGAGACCAGGGCCCTGCAGGATCTGATTTCTTTCTGCAGGGCCTGTAAGACAGAGTTGTTCCGCCTGGCCTTTGGCTTGGAGCCAATTTGATTCCCTCCCTCTCTTTCTTTTTTCTTTTCCTTCTCCTCCTGCAATGAGGCTACATTTTAATGTTTCATTATTTTAATGTTGTTTTTAAGTTGTAATCCTTCAACTTGTTTTTATTATTGTTTGTAAGCCGCCCTGAGCCCGGCCTTGGCTGGGGAGGGCGGGGTATAAATAAAAATTATTATTATTATTATTATTATTATTATTATTATTATGAAGGCATGGGGGGAATCAGAAGACGCACACCGTGGAATGCAAATGGTTTAATTTATTCCCCCCCCCAACAGTTACGATCCTTAAACTCAAAGGTCCAAGGGTCTAAAATGGGCTTGAAGATGGACTAGAATTTGTTAAAGGTCCTACCCCAAAATGAATTTAAAGGGGAAGCACTCTGCACATACTCAGAAATTAGGCTCATTTTAAATATTGCTGCACATGTTCCAGAGCTATTCCCCCGATCCTGCCATTTCCGCAAGGCTTTGGCCCTGTCGTGCCTTGCACAAATGGAAATTCTTCCTTGGCCTTCTCCAGCCTCCTAAGTCACTTAAATAACACAGACAGCACCCAGAGAGAAAAATACCGTATTTTTTGCACCATAACACTCACTTTTTTCCTCCTAGAAAGTAAGGGGAAATGTCTGTGCGTGTTATGGAGGGAATGCCTACGGGTGGCATGCCTACGGATTTTCCTCCTCTAAAAACTACGTGCGTGTTATGGTCGGGTGCGTGTTATAGAGCGAAAAATGCGGTAAATCCTTAGAGCTCTTCACTAAGGACAGCTGAACAAAAGCAGTGTCATCATCCGAGGAGAAATAAGCAAAGGGGTCTTTGTCTTTCTTATTCCAAGCCTTAAAAGGGACGCGGGTGGCGCTGTGGGTTAAACCACAGAGCCTAGGGCTTGCCGATCAGAAGGTCGGCGGTTCGAATCCCCGTGACGGGGCGAGCTCCCGTTGCTCTGTCCCAGTTCCTGCCAACCTAGCAGTTCGAAAGCACATCAAAGTGCAAGTAGATACAGCGGTACCTCTAGACACGAACGGGATCCGTTCCGGAGCCCCGTTCGCACCTAGAGGTAAACGTAACTAGCGACGGCACGTCTGCGCATGTGTGCGTCGCTTTTCATACGCGTGACATCATTTTGAGCATCTGCACATGCGCAAGCGGCGAAACCCGGAAGTAACGCGCTCCATTACTTCCGGGTTGCCGCGGAGCACAACTCGAACACGCTCAACTCGAAGCGTATTCAACCCGAGGTATGACTGTAAATAGGTACCACTCCGGCGGGAAGGTAAACGGCGTTTCCATGCGCTGCTCTGGTTCGCCAGAAGCGGCTTAGTCCTGCTGGCCACATGACCCAGAAGCTGTACGCCGGCTCCCTTGGCCAATAAAGCGAGATGAGCACCACAACCCGAGTCGTTTGCGACTGGACCTAACAGTCGGGGTCCCTTTACCTTTACCTATTCCAAGCCTTTTTCATAGCTAGGAGACGTCCAGCCAAACATACAGAGGCGAAACTCCCTCAGAACTCCCTCCTGTCATTCTGCCTGGTTCCTAAGCAAAACCTCCGCCCCCCGGCAACCCCCGTTTTTACCGGCGGCGGAGTTAACCCTTCAGTGGCAAACTGAATGATCCCCCAACACCCCTCTTTTTCCCGTTTTTTTATGTGCAGGAGAAGAGTTGGCGCAACAGCGTCAGGCACAACCTGTCGTTGAACGAGTGCTTCATCAAAGCGGGCCGCAGCGACAACGGAAAAGGCCATTACTGGGCCATCCACCCGGCCAACCTGGAAGACTTTTCTAAGGGAGATTACCACCGGCGGAGAGCCCGGCGAAGGATCCGCAGGTGAGAGGCATCCCCGCGGCTTTGACGCTGCTCTTGCGCATAGTTGTCAAGCGTCCCTTATTTGGCGGGAAAGTCCCTTATCCCAGCACTGTGTCCCACTGCTGTCCCTTATTGATGATGTCCCTTAAATTTCCCGGGTTTCAAAGGAAGCAGCTCCTCTCCCTCCCTCCCTGCCAGCCAGGGAGGAGGGAGGCTCCAACTGTGTTGCTTGACTGCGTTGCTCACCCAATAAGGAGTCTAAGGACAACTGGGGGGTGGAGCTTGCATGCCTTGTGCCGATCAAATCGGCCGCCTTGCCTGGGGACTCGCCTTTGCTCAGCGCTTCCCAGCGGAGAGGCGATGGTGGTTTTCCTTGCTGCATCCCCTTTGCCGGGTTGCTGCGCTGTGGGAACCACCGCTTGAGGCTTCGTTTGGCTGCTGGCTGGGCTTTCTGCCTTTGGCTCAGAGGGGCTCAGAAGTTGAACATACCTGTGCTTGGAAAATCCCTTATTTTGGCTGCTGGTCCCTTATTATCGAGTCTGCTTGTCCCTTATTTTCAAATCTGTAAGTTGACAGCTATGCTCTTGCGCCAAACAAATCCCCCATTTATCCCTCCCCCGGTTCTCCATGCACCATATGCAGAATGAGCCCTACTCATCCTATCCTTTAATGTGCTCTATTAACTCTCCAATGCCCATGGGAAGGATAAGACCTTTAGCCCTCCGGCTGACCTCAGCTTGACCTCCCCAGAACCTGCTTCCCTGCTCTGCTTTCTCCCTTCGGGGTTGGGTAAGGAAAAGGCGAGGGCCATTCAGTCCCGGCGCCAAGGTCTGTTATCACGCAGGCTTGCGGCCCAATGGAGGCCGAGTTGTGTCCGCCCACTGCCCGGCATTTACAGGACATTTAAATAATAATTTATTATTTATACCCCACCCATCTGGCTGGGTTTCCCCAGCCACTCTGGGCGGCTACCAACAAAACACTAAAATACAATAACCTATTAAACATTAAAAGCTTCCCTAAACAGGGCTGCCTTCAGATGTCTTCTAAAAGTTTGGTAGTTATTTTTCTCTTTGACATCTGGTGGGAGGGCGTTCCACAGGGAGGGCGCCACTATCAAGAAGGCCCTCTGCCTGGTTCCCTGTAACTTGGCTTCTCACAGCGAGGGAACCGCCTAAAGGCCCTCGGAGCTGGACCTCAGCGTCCGGGCAGAACGATAGAGGTGGAGACGCTCCTTCAGGTATACTGGGCCGAGACCATTTAGGGCTTTCAAGGTCAGCACCAACACTTTGACTTGTGCTTGGAAACATACTGGGAGCCAGTGTAGGTCTTTCAAGACGGGTGTTATATGGTCTCGGCGGCCGCTCCCAGTCCCCAGTCTAGCTGCCGCATTCTGGATTAGTTGTAGTTTCCGGATCACCTTCAAAGGTAGCCCCACGTAGAGCGCATTGCAGTAGTCCAAGTGAGAGATAACTAGAGCATGGACCACTCTGGCGAGACAGTCTGCGGGCAGGTAGGGTCTCATTCTGCGTACGAGGTGGAGCTGATAAACAGCTGCCCTGGACACAGAACTGACCTGCGCCTCCATGGACAGCTGTGAGTCCAGAATGACAGGCAGCTTTCTGCAAAGATCCCTGGGATCTGTCGTTTGTTAAGGATGCTGTGAACTATAGCTCTGCGAAGGGGAAACTACGGTTCCCATTATTCTTTGGGCGGAGGTCCTGTGCTTTAAATGTGGGCTGTGGATATGCCCCGTGGGGTTCTTCTATAATTATAATTTCATAATAATATTATTTGTACCCCATTCATCTGACGGGGTTGCCCCAGTCCCTCTTGGGTGGCTTCCAACATATACAAAAACATAATAAAACATTAAACCAGGGGTCAGCAAACTTTTTCAGCAGGGGGCCGGTCCACTGTCCCTCAGACCTTGTGGGGGGCCGGACTATATTTTGAAGGGGAAAAAAATGAACGAATTCCTATGCCCCACAACTAACCCAGAGATGCATTTTAAATAAAAGCACACATTCTATTCATGTAAAAACATGCTGATTCCCGGACCGTCCGCAGGCCGGATTGAGAAGGCAGTTGGGCCAGATCCTGCCCCCGGGCCTTAGTTTGCCTACCCATGCATTAAACATTTAAAGGTTTCTCTATACAGGGCTGCCTTCAGGTGTCTTCTAAAGGTTATATAGTTACTCATCTCCTTGACATCTGACGGGAGGGCATTCCCAGGGCGGGCGCCACTACCAAAAAGACCCTCTGTCTGGTTCTCTGTAACTTCACTTCTTTCAGTAAGGGAACCACCAGAAAGCCCTCAGAGCTGGACCTCAGAGTTCGGGCTGGACGGTGGGGGTGGAGACGCTCCTTCAGGTATACAGGATTGAGGCCATTAAGGGCTTCAAAAGTCAGCACCAACACTTTGAATTGTGCTCGGAAATGTACTGGGACCCAATGTAGGTCCTTTAGGACTGGTGTTATATGGTCTCGGCGGCCGCTCCCAGTCACCAGTCTAGCTGCCGCCTTCTGGATCAGTTGTCGTTTCTGAGTCACCTTCAAAGGTAGCCCCATGTAGAGCGCATGGCAGTAGTCCAAGTGGGAGATAACCATTAATCCACAGTAATGCTTAAAGCACATGCTTTCTCCCAAAGAATCCTGGGAACCACTATTATAAAGAGCAGTGTGGCGTAGTGGTTAGAGCATGGGTAGGCAAACTAAGGCCCGGGGGCCGGATGTGACCCAATCGCCTTCTAAATCCGGCCCGCGGAAGGTCTGGGAATCAGCATGTTTTTACACGAGTAGAATGTGTCCTTTTATTTAAAATGCATCTCTGGGTTAGTTGTGGGGCAAAGGAATTTGTTCTTTTTTCTTCTTCTTTTTTCAAAATATAGTCTGGCCCCCCCACAAGGTCTGAGGGACAGCTGAAAAAATTTGCTGACCCCTGGGTTAGAGGGTTGGAACAGGAGCAGGGTTCAAATCCCCACTTGGCCATGAAACTCCCTGGGTGAACTTGGAAGCCAGTCACTGCCCCTCAGCCCAGTCTACCTCACAGGGTTGTTGGGGGGAATTCATTGAGGAGAAAGGGGAACGATGTAAGCAGCGGCGTAGCGTGGGTTGTCAGCACCCGGGGCAAGGCAAGTAATTTGCGCCCCCTAACCCCTAACCTGCCGCCGCTGCCAGCTTCTTCTTGCTGCTGCCTGGGCTGGTCTGGTGTGGTTCTCTCCCGCACTCAGCGCTGCGCTGGGCAGCCGCTGCACTGTCCCTCCCCCAGATAGTCCCTCGCGCTCTCTCCGCACCGCACGCCTGGCACCCACCCCCTCCACAGTGGGCGGCGACCCAGCGGCTCGGATCGGATTCGCACAGCCAGCACTGCAGTGAGAGAGAGTGAGTGAGCCAGGTAGGGGCAGAGAGCTGCGAGTGCGAGCGCACCCCCCCAGATGTTGCGCCCAGTGCGGCCGGGCCCCCCTGCACCCCCCACGCTACGCCACTGGATGTAAGCTACCTTGAACTCCATGGGAGAAAAATGTGGGATGGAAACGCAACTAATGTTTCTGTGAAAACTTGGGAAACAATCAGTCTCTTCTGTTATCAATCTGCGGAGAAAAGGCAGAGAATGAAACTCTTAATCTCAGGGTGTTTGGGTTCAAGCATTGCAGGGGGGTTGGACCAGATGGCAATTCTATGTTTCTATGAAACAGCGTATAAATAAATACAGTGGTACCTTGGTTCTCAAACTTAATCCGTTCTGGAAGTCCGTTCCAAAACCAAGGCATGCTTTTCCATCGAAAGTCATGCAAATGCAAAATGGATTAATCCATTCCAGACTTCTAAAAACAATCCCTAAAACAGCAACTTGACATTAAGTTTACTATCTGACGAGACCATTGATCCATCAAATGAAAGCAATAAACAATGTACTGCAGTCACACAGTCAAATCAATCAGTAGCTGAACTGGGTTCCACGCAGTCACAAAAAATAATAGCCGCAAAAACTCAAAATAAATAGCAAAAGCAGACAGACCTCAGCGTCGCACTCAAATCGGAAGCGTAAAACTCAAAACAGAGCTCGTTTGGCTTCTGAAAAATGTTCGCAAACCGGAACTCCCAATTCCGGGTTTGCAGTGTTTGGGTTCCAAGTTGTTTGAGTACCAAGGCGTTTGAGAACCAAGGGACCACTGTAGATATAAACGCAAAGCTGTCCCACCAATGGCCTGTTTCCTGCGAATGTGAATTTTGGTCCCTGCTCCTCTTCCTTCTCCCAGGATGGCGGTGAACTTTGGCTACTACCACCCATATGCTTTCTATGGACTCAGCTGCTGCTCCCCGGGGCGCTACTGCCTCTGCTGCCCTCCATATGCCCACGCCGGCCTCCCTGGCATGACTCCACCTTGCCCGCCTGGGCTCCCTCCTCTCCTGCTGCCCTCGGCTGTCTCCTGGCCTCATCCTTTCTTCTCCGGAGGAGGGAAGGAGAAATCCCAGGCTGAGAAGAGGCTGAACTGGGCGGCTTGGAGCAGACCGCAACTGCAGATCGGGCCCGTCTTGGCCCACGCTAATCCGTGACGCCTTCTCCAGCTTGGGTCCACCAGCAGCCTCTGCATCAGAGATGGTTCATGGAAAAGACAATCTTTTTAGGTGCTGCTTCTCTCGAAGAGGCCTGGGCTGAAAGCTTCTCCTGTCTATTCAGCCCTCGGGATTCTCCCCAGGCCATTCTGTTGGAGAGAGAGGTTTGGAGGAGATATTCCTACTCTCCAGAGTTAAGCATAATGGCGATTGCTCCCAGCACATTAAAACTTGGTTAGATTTACATCCGCCCTTTCCCATCTTTAAACAAATATTCTTCACAAAAGAGGCTTAGGCTAGAATAAATCACAGACACTTAACTTTGCAACAACAACAACAAAAATTGAATGTTGTACTCACAGAGGCCCCAGATGTTGCATCAAACATATCTCTATCTGCTGGCAGTGAAATTAATAATAAAAAAAAGGGTTTCAAATGAATTAAATGGGAAAAGCATATTGTTTACTTACAAAAAAGGATCACGCAAACTTTTGGTTAGCAAAGATGCAGGCTGTAAAATCTCATTTGTTGAGAGTTTCAGTTCACTTGGCTTGTAAAAGACTGAGAAAGAGGAGCCAGAGGCTGCTGAGAGCCTAAGCCACTCCCACTTGGGTAACTTGAGCGCAGGGCTCCAGTTAACCCTTTCATGCATGCAAGTCAGGAACTGTAAATTGCAACATGCACATCCCCGCCGCAGGCCACACACACCCTGACTTGGCCACACCTCACACTGGCCGTGCTCTGCAGCCCCCTCAGATCCCTTTTCCTGGCTAGAATGTCATTGAACTAGGATTATGCTTCTTCCTTGCCTAGAGAAAGGATGGAAAGGGGTTTGTGAGGTGTGCATGCATAAACTAGTGTTGTGCCCTGACTGCAGGGTTGTCGCTTCCGAAAACAGGCTGCTTCCGTGCGAGACTCATTCAGACTCTATCCCGGTCTGCTTTGTTCTCCCACAAATCACTATTGGGCAATGTTTGGATGGGGGAGGCTATAACTCCCCCCACATTTTGACAGAAGCAATTCCCAAGCCTCCAGAATGGATAGAGCAAATTACAGGTAAACAAGGATCTAGGAGTCTTGGTTGACCACAAACTTGACATGAGCCAACAGTGTGACGCGGCAGCTAAAAAAGCCAATTCAATTCTGGGCTGCATCAATAGGAGTATAGCATCTAGATCAAGGGAAGTAATAGTGCCACTGTATTCTGCTCTGGTCAGACCTCACCTGGAGTACTGTGTCCAGTTCTGGGCACCACAGTTCAAGAAGGACACTGACAAACTGGAACGTGTCCAGAGGAGGGCAACCAAAATGGTCAAAGGCCTGGAAACGATGCCTTATGAGGAACGGCTAAGGGAGCTGGGCATGTTTAGCCTGGAGAAGAGGAGGTTAAGGGGTGATATGGTAGCCATGTTCAAATATATAAAAGGATGTCACATAGAGGAGGGAGAAAGGTTGTTTTCTGCTGCTCCAGAGAAGCGGACACGGAGCAATGGATCCAAACTACAAGAAAGAAGATTCCACCTAAACATCAGGAAGAACTTCCTGACAGTAAGAGCTGTTCGACAGTGGAATTTGCTGCCAAGGAGTGTGGTGGAGTCTCCTTCTTTGGAGGTCTTTAAGCAGAGGCTTGACAACCATATGTCAGGAGTGCTCTGATGGTGTTTCCTGCTTGGCAGGGGGTTGGACTCGATGGCCCTTGTGGTCTCTTCCAACTCTATGATTCTATGATTCTATTCTATGATTCTAAGGCTCAGAGGCTTTTGTGCTGAGAGCCTTAAAAGAAAAACACCTAAATGTTTGACCAGAAGTGGATGAAATTTGCAGGCGAAGTTAACCCTTCCGAAGGTAATGTTTTCTCAGCAATTGGTTTGGGAATTGCAAACGAGAGAGGGGTAAGGAACTGAAGAGAAATAAATAAGTTTGTGCTTCTAGATACCATGAAAGTTGGGGTGGGGGTGGGAGAATTAAAAGTTATTTGCTTGCCGGAGGAATTCATTCCCTCTAATTACGAGTCTGACGAACAGCCACAACATAGCTCCCTGTCCACTACCTCCCCCAAACTGGTCCAGTCAAAACAATGGGTGTGACTGGCATCCACTGATTTTTCAATTCATGTCGTCAATCAAACCCATTGATTTCATTTGCTCTGCTCTGAATATGGCTGAAGTCAGGTACAACCCCAAGTATTGCATTAAAAATAAATACCGTATTTTTCGCCCTATAGGGCGCACCGGCCCATAGGGTGCACCTAGTATTTTGGGGGGGAATAAAGGGGGGGAAATTATTTCCCCCCAGGAGCGGGGCTGGGGCGGGGGAAGCCCGAGCTTCCCCCGACCCCAGCCCCCAGAACAGGCTGCTCAGCGCGCCCCAGACTTTGGGATGCAGGCTGCTATCCGCAAGCCTAGGGAGCCTGGCGGGAACTTGCGGATAGCTTCCTGAAGCCTGGAGAGCGAGAGGGGTCGGTGCGCACCGACCCCTCTCACTCTCCAGGCTTCAGCAAAAGCCTGCATTCGCCCCATAGGACATACACACATTTCCCCTTCATTTTTGGAGGGGAAAAAGTGTGTCCTATAGAGCGAAAAATAGGGTAAATGGGAAAGGGGTTCTGAATTGTGTTGTCATCCTTACCCTTGGAGTCTTCTCACCTCCAGACAGAGTACATCAAGTCCCTTCAGCCTTTCCTCAAAGCAGCATGAGATTCTTAATCTTGGGGCTGTTGGTTTGAGCCCCATGTCGGGCAAACAGATTCCTACATTGCAGGGGGAGGGGGTTAGACTGGATGACCTTTGGGGTCCCTTACAGCTCTAATTCTGTGATTCTGTTACAATAAACCGTGTCCAAAGTAACAGTTGTTGGGTTGTTGTTGTCTACAGTCATAGCTCTTGTTACGTTCGGTTCAGGTTATGTCTTCTCAGGTTGCGTCCTGCGGCAACCCGGAAGTACCGGAAAGGGTTACTTCCAGGTTTCGCCGCTCGTGCATGCGCAGACGTGCAAAGTGACATCACACGCATGCGCAGAAGTGGTGAATCACAACCCGTGCATGCGCAGATCCCCTTCGTAACCAGAGGTACCACTGTATATCATTTAACTGTGTTTCTGAACCTTTTGTTTCATTTTGCACGCATTGGACCCACAAGGTGCAAATACATATGGGGCTTAGTTTCAGTCTCCCAATTTACGTTGGGGGGAAGCGGGGGGACGACGTTGTTGGAGACCTAATGCAGAAATCGATTTGCTTGATTGCCTAAGCCTTCGTTTTTATTTAAAAACACATACACCCGCAAGGCCTGGCCCTAATTGCTTGCCTGCTAATTGTTCCTGATGCTGTTTAATGAAAATCTCGGATCTAGGCCACTAAGTGGCATTAAGGAAGATAACATTGGCTTTTAATCCCACCAGATAAGCCCCCCTAAATCTTGTAGCGGCCTCGAAAAATAGGAAGCTTATGACACAAACTAATCTTTTAACGTTGTCATTTGCCCTTTGCACCGAAAAAGGTGTAAAGCTAATATAACAACACAGCCGAAGGTGCTGGGGGGGTCAGGGTTGAAGCCGAAACATCTCAGGTAGAAAGAAGAAAAGGAAGTCGCTGAATGGGATACTCCCACAAGAGGAGTTCAGACAGACCCAATAATTCACTTCCATCTCTTATGTGGGAAATAATATAATGTCTGAAGATTGGGAAAGGGTGTGGAGGAAAGGGGTCAAGTTTACTGCATGTACAATGTTAAAGGAAAATAGAATGAAAATGATGTCTAGATGGTACTTGACCCATGTAAAATTAGCAAAAATTTACCACAACAGTGAAAATCTATGCTGGAAATGTAAAGAAAAGGAGGGTACCTTTTATCATATGTGGTGGACTTGTCCCAAGGTGAAAGACTTCTGGGAAAAGATTTAGAATGAACTGAAAAAAATGTTGAAATATACATTTACTAAGAAACCAGAGGCCTTTCTTCTTGGAATAATAGGTTTGGAAATGCCCAAGAAAGATGTTAAATTATTTTTGTATGCCACAACTGCTGCTCGTATTTTGTTAGCTAAAAAGTGGAAAACCCAAGAATTACCAACAATAGAAGAATGGCAGGTGAAGATGATGGATTTTTCGGAGCTAGCCGACCTGACCGGAAGAGTCCGCGACCAGGAGGAGGAGGAGTATCAGGAAGAATGGAAGAAATTTAAAGACTACTTAGTGAAATATGTTAAGATAACTTAACTGGGAGAGCTTGCAAATAAATAGATAGGCTTAGGAGTTAAATATGCAAGGACAAGATTTAAGATGTTTAATGTCAAACTAGAAAGAATGAAAGAGCTTAAGTGACCAAGTTAATTTTTTGAGAAAATCGATTTTGGAAAACTGTTAAAAATGAGATACAATGAAATTCCGCCAAAGGGATTTGAGGAAGTCACTTAATAATGTTACCAAGATCTAAATAGGATGTATGTATGTATGTATGTATGTATGTGTGTGTGTTTTGAAATTGTGAAAACTAATAAAATTTCTTACTTCAAGAATTCACTACCATCTCTTCACTGTGATCCGAACCAGGGACTGAGAAGAAATTTTATTCGGGTCACATTTAAAGGCGAACGTACAGGAAACGCACCTTCCAGAACAAGACGCCAACCGAAAAACAAACACCCTTCAAAATTCACACTTCTCTGAGTTTTGCAACCCAGCCAAGTGGCAGGCAGGGGGGAAAGCATGTGCCTAAAGGGCGTGCAAAAAACTGTGCAAGTTTCACTGCAAACAACATTTTAAAAAACGCATTGTAATTCTGGGAAATTGCTGTGCCAAAAAATGTGCCTGTTAGGCACATCTGTATACAAACAAAAGGCGATTCAGACTAGAATGCTGGTGAATGTTCATGAAGACTTGAAAAATAATAATTCACAAACTGATATTGAAAATGTCAGAGAGAAAGAAATAAAAAAAATGACAGATTCGCCCACCAACAAAATATAGTTTGAGGAAGGAACAGGTCAACTTTATTCTGCCT